GATATTACTTGTGTGTATGTGTGTTTTTTTTTACTATGCATATTTTAAAGCTTATTTATAGCTTAGCATGTTAATAAGTAATATAGATTATCGTAGTTATTGAAATTTTTTATCTCACCCCATGGTTATTATTTTACAAGCTCTACTGTCGAGTTTGAGCAAGGGAAGAAATGAAGCAAGGATTAGTTGGGTACAATGTAATGCCCGATTTTATTTTAAGCTGTATACATAAATTTAAAGATATATTATTATATGTTGCAACTCAGAATGCATAACATTTTGTTGATTATACTTGTATTATATCATGATATATTATATTTTAGCCCTATGTTGTATATGTGGAGAATATATGATAATTTTTATGGTGAAGGGCTAAAATACTAGTACAAATATAAGGAACGTTATATATATGTAGTGATGATGTAAGCTTAGTGGTTTATGTGGCAATAAAGAGGCCAAATGGTGTGTATTTGTGATTTTGTGATTTTGGTCATATTAGGTGAAACTAGCATTAATTGGCTGAATTATGTGGTTGATATGTTATCGTATATTTAAATGGTCATTTAGGTGTATTTTGATCTATTAGACTTGGTTTAAGCTTCAATATGAGTTAATGGTATAAGTTTTAAGTTTTTGGTACTTGGATGCCTGAAAACCATTTTAAAATCTCACTTTTTGCATTCAAATGCCTAAAATTCTCATATAGTGTTGGATTGTGATGAAACTTATATCATTAATTAGCTTATTAGATAAGTTTCACATGGGTACTTGAACCACTCCAATTGAACATCATATATGAAAATGACATGGGTCCGAAGTTCATTATGAAAAGCTATCATAATATCATTTTGTTGTCATGATAGTGACACGTGTGTTGCGTCATAGTACACACAAGCAGCAACACATGACACAAAGGCTGAATTGGTCTCTTTGTCTCGCATGTCATGGCACATAAACCACTTGCAGTGGTATACATGCTAAAATGTGCAAAAATGACATTTTTGTTCTTATTTTCTAGTGTTTTGCTTTCTAAACTTTTTCATATTTCCTATATCTTTAAAAATTATTAAATTTAAACTCAAACTACTTATTTGAAGGATTTTCATGGATCTCAAATATTCTAAATTATTTTTAAATGTTTAATAGTTTTAACCCTTTTATGTTTATAGTGAGCTTAGGAACGATTTATAGCTCTTAATTACCATGTTATGCTATAATTGTATGATGAATATTGGTAATGTTAAAGCGAACATTATACAAACCTAATGTGACAAAGATCCATTGAAAAGTATATGAGGACTAATAATTAGAGCCTGAATTAAAACTATGAAAAAGGCCTTGAATTGTCTCCTTAAAGAAGCCCAAGAACTTGAGCCCATGTTCTTTGAAGAATGTCACACATCCAACAAGCCTAATGAAAAAGGTCCAAATGTACTTAACATCTCGAAGATTTAAGTTTATGAAGATGCAAGCTCAGTTGATGAAAATCTAAGCCTATTTAATTCATCATGTGTTAAATATGCTTGAAGGGTATTATGAACAAGAGAAGTATGCCGTTTATGAATTGATTTGAAGAGATAAGGGCATGATTTCCATAATCTATCTTCAGCATTCAATATAGATTTGACCTTTGTTTAGTTAGTTTCCATTTTTTTTGTTAAGTTTGAATGACAAGACTAATTATTTTTTATTTTTATTTTTAGCTTTAATGTTGATTCCCTTTCTTTATTCTGGCTTCAATTAATTGATTTGATTTAGGAATTAAGTCTTTTGTTTTTAGTAAAGTTTTTAAATTCTTCCAATCAAATTTTATTGTCGAATCTTCAAGAATTAAGAAAACTTTTAATTTATCAAGAGCAGGCGTTATCTTTGGAAGATTCTTCTAGGGTTTGAGCTTCATTTGAGTCTTCTATTTTTTTTTGGCCTATAAATAGACCTCCTTATGTACTCTTAAAGGCGTTTTATGAATGATAATTTTCTTTTGAATTTGTTAAAACTCTTTTGCAAACTTTACAGAATTTTAAGAGGAATAGTGACGTGATGAAGAGTATAATCAACTTTTATGAGATTTTAAAAGCTAAATTGCTGGATATAAGTGCTCTTCATAACCCTTTCCTTGATCATTATCATGATAACTTCATTTCTTCTATTTTGTTTCTCTTTATTTATTCTCATTTTTTGTTTGTGTTTTGAGTTCTCTCGCGAACTAGTAAAATTCTACTTCAGCCCCCATATCACTCTCAAAGGCATTATTTTGTGTTCACACAAATTTAAATTTGAGACTTTTTGTTCAAGCGGTTATGACTCATTTCACCAGGACCAATGCACGTCGGTCTGATGGTCCCACACTTTTTCTTCTTCTCTCATGTTCTCCCCTCCTTCGTGCACTTGTTTTGGATCATACCAAAGCCCAATTCAACAGCACTTCCTGAAACTCCCCCAAGCCCCCCTACAAAAAAGAAGAAAATTATTAGTTAAAAAAAAGTGAAGTGACAGATATTGAAATGTCAGTGAACAAATTATACGTAGTGATTCGTCTGGAGAGAGATTCCAGATAAAGATTTTGCGCGTCATTTAAGGCCAACAACTCATCTAGGGATAATGAAGTGAAGCGTGACTGACTATAATCACTATATAACTAGAGTTTAAACCTCTATGAAGTAATAAAAATAACTAAATCTATAATCTCTTTTCTATGTTTAATTTCATCTACAGAGGAACATGGTTATACATTGTTACGTTGCATTTTTAGAACCAAGAAATTTGCAAAAAACGGATTTTGGATGATAATCAGCAATGACTCGGACTTATGGGCTTGTCTATCATATGATCTGCTATTATCTCTTTAATAAATACATTAGGAGTGTTCAGTTTATATTCATCCCGATTGGTCGAGTATCATCTCAATTATAGCAGGATTGGTCTTGTCTCGGCAAAAAAAAAAAAAATCAAATTTTGTGAGATGGGATAGGAAAGATATTCAGGATAGAGCGAGACACAAGATTGCCATCAAAACGTCCCATCTCATCTCAAATATTATATATATATATATATATATATTATTTTTTTAAATATATTAATTATATTAATATAATTTATACTTATATTAATTATATCAATTATAATTTCAATACTTGCAATTCTTATTTAAAACTAAAGTTTTTTTTATATTGATAATTTTAATGACATAGAGTAAACATGACAATATTTTTCTTTATATTATATTAATTATATTAATATAATTTATTCTTATACCTATCTATTTAATAACTTTTATTTATGTTTTATTTCTTGTTTTATTTTTGAAATAATAATTAACTTAGCATATCTCAACTAAAGTAAAAAAGTAATGATTTAATGTTGTGCTTAACTTATCTATTATTACTACTCTTATAACCTAAAAATCACTTGTATTTATTATTATAATATGTAGTTGTGATTAATATAATTCAATAATTAACTTTAAATTGTTATAATTTATATACTTATGTTATTTTAATTTTAAATTTAATAAATTATATGATTTAAAATTTTAATGAACATTATTATATGAATTTTTTTTGACATTATTTGATTTATGGAGACAGTAGAATGGCCCAATTTTATCTCGATCCCAATCCAATTCCTAATGAGACGAAATATAATACTAAAATTTAATCTTAATTTTTTTTAAGACGAACATAAAATAGGAGTGTTCTGATCCTGTCCCATCATGTAAATAATCTTAAAATCCACCAAAGGCAAGTAAATCATTTTTATAGGGAAGATTATTTTTCCCGTGTTATTTACGTCTCTCTTTTTCTTGTATATTTTATTATAAAGAAAAGTCTCTTTTTCGCACGTTTGTATGATGAATGACGCTGATATGATTGAATAAATCAGAAAAAAACCAAACTTTAATAGGAGTCTGTAAACTGCAATACACAACACCTAATCAACGTGTCTTATAATTAATGGTAATGATGTAAGACTGGGGGAAAAAACTTTTATGAAAGTCTATAGCACAAAAAGAGGCCTTTATAATTTATTTTCAAATTTAATTATTTTGACCATTTATCTTCTCAATTGCCTATCAAATATCAATCCTTCCATACTTCATATTCATTTAACAAACCGGCCCATCCAAAAATGCAATACATAAGGAATATTATATATTTTGATCCTTCACAAATTCATACATATGTATTAAAATTCATTTGGGCACCTGATCATACATTATAAAGAAAAAAAAGAATGAAGATTCATGATTTTTTTTTTTGATTTTTTATTAAAATACAAGGCAGAGTCTTTTACAATGACATGACAGAAAATATGTAATATTCGTACAAAGTCAGATTTTGTTAGATTCTTGAATGAATATACTAATGAAAAGGTCGGTTTATAAGAAAATCATCTTGAAGTGGCTCAAAACTTTCTTCCTCCTGGGTCAGCTTATTTTGTCTGCAATGCCAACAACGAAATCTCCCGGATACTCTTGATTAACAAAGTTCTTGGGATTGATTTTAGTGCTCAGCGCGCACTGACGATTACGATGTTGCTTAGCACTGACGATTCTGAATTATTTAAATTTTAATTTGAACGATTTAAATTTAAAATACTATTATATTTTATATTTATTAAAATAAAGATTAATAAACATTATAAAATAATTTTTTTATTTTTAATATGATCTAGATTTAGTTTGAAGGGCCCAATTAATATTAAGAGTTTTATAATTAATATGCATTGACATCATCCAAATCAACATCAGATTAGATCTGAATGATACAGAGTATATCTGAATAGTTAATGTATATCAATTATAAAACTCTTAATATTAAATTGATCCTTCAAATTAAATTTAAATTATATTAAAATAAAAAAATTATTAAAATTATTTTATAATTTTTATTTTAATAAGTATAAAATATAATAGTATTTAAATCCAAACCATTCAATTTAAAATTTAAATGATCCAAATTTCAATGTAGCATTAAGCACCATCGTACTCATCAGTGTGTTGAGCACTAAAAACATCTTGCCTTGTCAGTGATTTATCCGACCAATATCTACATAAATATATACTCCCTCTTATTCAAAATGTAAAAATTCTTGTTCAATTAATTTTGGTTTAAAATATAAGTAACCTAGCTAGTATACATAAAAAAATTTCATTTTACTCATTATATTTATCAACTTTAATATTTTTATAAATATATTTCTCACTCATCATAAATTATATTAATAATTGGAACTAAAGATAAAAAAATAATATATATTTTGATGAAAATAAAAACTTTATTAGTATACTAATTTTTATTAAAAATTGTTTATATTTTGAAGGAGAGTGAGTATATATTAGACTCATAGCCACAAGCATAATCGAATAATTACCTAGGAACATGGAGAGAGACAACGTATGCTACCACGAAAGCAGCTTCGTAGACGGAGAGGGAAAGCTTAGAACCTTGAAAATCCCAGTGGCTCAAGAGCTTGCTCGCCGAGGACTGACACAATTGCCTCATAACTTCAAGAGGTTCCACCATCCAACCCCAACCCCAACTGCCTCCCACCCTATCCCCACCATCAACTTAGCCATATTGAACCATGCCTCCCAGGCCATGGCCCGACCACAAGAGTTAGCCAAGTTAGCCCAAGCTGCTCACCATTTTGGTCTCTTCTTGATCCTAGATCACGGTATTGATTTCCTATATATGTTTATAATTGTTGGGGCCATATTATAAAGAGTATATACTAATGCAGAAACGGAAGGAACTGATGATTGCTGTCCCTTTAAATCTCCAAAAAAAAAAAAATTGCTCATGATGCAGGGATTGCGAAGGAAGTAGTGGAAGGAGCAATAGAAGCAGTGAGAAAGTTCTTTGAGTTAAGTTATGAAGAGAAGAAAGCCAGCGTAGGAACTTACAATGACGTAGATAATATGGGGTATGGTAGAAACTTCACAGTAAAGTCGCAAGATCAAGTATGGGATTGGGTTGATCGTTTGACTCTAAGAGCACATCCTCCTGTTACTCATCATGAGGGAATCCATGTTTGGCCTCTCAACCCATCCAATTTCAGGTCCCTTCTTCACTCACAATCATCTCATCCTCCTATATATATATATATATATATGATATATGTATCATTGCAGAGAAGCAGTGGAAGCATATGTGGGAGATGTGAGAAGAGTGATGGATTCAGTACTTGTGAACTTAGCAGAAGCTCTGTCACTTGAAAACGACGATGCGTTTCTCAAATACTTCAACCCCAAAGACAGTGAGATCAAACTCAGAGTTAACTTTTACCCACCATGCCCTTCCCCAGACCTAACCCTGGGTCTCAATCCTCACTCGGACCCAAGCGCTCTAACCCTCCTCTCGCAGTTCGGCTCGAGCCGTGGCCTGCAAGTGTTCAACAAGGAGGACCGAACCTGGCTCACTGCGTCATGGCCACAGGACCAGTTGCTGGTGATCGTGGGAGACTTGCTCGAGATCATGAGCAATGGGAAGCTCCAAAGCACATGGCACAGAGCTGTTCCTCTCAGGAACGTCGAACGCGGCTCCATTGCTTTGTTCTACACGCCACCACCAACAACCCTAATTGAGCCTCTTGTGGCTTCCGATGACGATCAGGATGAAGCATACAGGAAGGTGGTTGTGGAGGACTATGTCAAGCATTACTACAAGGTTAGTCCTACTGTGGAGAAAATGGCTATCAACTTCGCTAAGCTCGAGTAATTATGTGTTTGATCCAGTGAACTATACCTCATTTTCTAGCAGCTAATTAATAGAGATTTGTATGAGTCTGTTGTTTAGTCCAACAGTACGTGGACAGATTAATATGTGTGGGTCTTTGATGTCCATATAAGATAGGCTTCCACGCTTCAACCGACAATCTTCAAAGAGCAGAGATAAGATCATCAGAGGCGTATGATAAGGAGTCGAATGGCAATCGTCCAGCTGCTCCAAAGTCTGAAATGGTCCATGAGTCTTTATTATAAGTTGTAGAATTAAATAAGATTTCTCAGAAGCATCAAGAACGAATTATGTTTTATTCACTCGGTGGGATGTTTATAAAATACTCATTTTTAAGTATCAATTTGTGCTAATTTCTTGATGATGTCATTACATATTTTATATGTTTTATTCAAGGTTCATTAAGAAGAAATAATAGCGCTTAGAACTAAACTAGATTTTAGACCCATGCTATTATTTAAGAGAAATAGAGGAGAGAAGAGTGAAAATTAAATTTTATTAATTTTTTTAAAAAGACTAAGTAAAATAACTATATTTTTTAATTTCTTTAGCAATTGCTATTAACTATATTTTTTTATTCCTAATACAATATAATAAGTTTTTTTAGTTATTAAAATATACAAACAAAAATAATAATTTATTTTATTTCCACATAATTTGTTTTAGAATATACCAAAAATATGATTAACAATTTATTTTAAAAAATATAAAATATTTTCAATCAAATGTCGCTCCCTGTAAAGTAATCAATTGTCATCAAACTAATACCATTTTTTTGATACTTATCTTTATTTAATTGAATATTTTATTTTAAAATAACTATAGTAATTTATTTATTTATTTATTTATTTATTTATTTTGGATATATAAAGTAATTTATTCATTATGAACACTTTTAAAGAAAAAGACATCAATTACATCTTGAAATATCCAAAAAGTCTTACATTTTTTAACATTTAATTTTTTAAAAAATAATACTCCCTTCGTTTAAAAATGTAAGGCATTTTTTGAGGAGTTAGATCTTAAAAAATATTAAATATTTTTAATTTTTTGAGGTGTAATCATTGACTTTTTTTCAAAAGTTTTACTATTAATTAATGACTTTATATTTATTGTAGGGTATTTAATAGGAGTAAATATAAAAAGATGTTGTTAGTTTAAAAGTATGTAACTATTTTATTAGGAATGAAATTTAATTAAACATGCATTACATTTTTTAATGGAAAGAGTATATATTTTTTAGCAGAGTACAATTTAAATTTTAAAACTTTAAAACACGAAATATAATTTTAATTTTATTTATGTTATTAAAAATTATTTTTTAAAATAATTTTAATTTATAAAAAATAAAAAATAATTGCACCGGAATCCGATGCAAATTACAAAGGAGGAGATTGGTACAGATCATGATAATTGTATGTGTGCCAAACGTGTGTAATGATATTTTATAGTTTTGCCTGTACGTTCTTTTATTCTTAGTCCTGTTTGTATTTTCATGCGTGTCGGTTCCTCCTGTTCAATGTCCTCCTCTCACCCCTCCAATTCCTTATCCTTGCTCCCACCGCCACCAGGCCTGGATCACAACTTCACCATCACAATTTTTAGGCTGAACCTGAATCTAAAGTATTATGAACATGGAGGCCGATAAGGAAAACTCGTGCTACCACCAAACCAGTTTCTTAGACGAAAAAGGGAAGCTTAGAACCGTGAAGATCCCTGTGGTTCAAGAACTAGCTCGCCAAGGACTCCAACACTTGCCTGAGAGGTTCAAGAGGCCAGACTTCCCATGTGCCCACCATGTGTTCGAGGAAATTCCCACAGTAAACTTAGCCACGCTGAAGGAAGGGTCCGGGTCCGTGGTTCGAGCAGAGGAGCTAGCCAAGTTAACCGATGCTGCGAGGGGTTTGGGTTTGTTTCTGATTGTGGATCATGGGATTCCCTTGGAAGTTGTGGATGGTGCTAAGGATGTGGTGAGACGCTTCTTTGACCTGTCTTTCTCGGAGAAGAAAGCTTGTGTAGGAACTTACGGTGACATAGATAATATGGGATATGGCAGAAATTTTGTCAAGTCAGAAGAGGCTTTGGATTGGACCGATCGATTGACTTTAAGAGCAGTTCCTTCTATTGGACATGATGAGGGACTTCATGTTTGGCCCCTTAAACCAACCAATTTCAGGTACCTTTTGTCATTTTCATTGTTTTGATAGAGTAGACTGTGTTCTATTGAACTATAATCCCAATTTAGTCCCACCAAGCCCATGAAATTGAATCTTGTGTGGCTACACGCTCATGCCTTTACTGTTTGGTTCATCCCAGGGAAGCCATGGAAAGATATGTTGGAGAAGCAAGAGGTGTGATGGACTACTTGCTTGTGGCTTTGGCAGAGGCTTTATCTATTGAAAGCCATGATGTTTTCCTCAAGTACTTCCATCCCACAGACAGTGAGATCAAAGTGAGAGTGAACTACTACCCACCATGCCCTAGACCAGACCTAGCCATTGGTATCAACCAGCATTCTGACGCTAGTGCCCTCACAATCCTAGCTCAATTTGGCTCCAGCCAGGGCCTCCAAGTCCTCAATAAGGACCAGACCTGGCTCACTGTCTCATGGCCACAAGACCAGCTGCTAGTGGTCACTGGAGACTTGCTTGAGATCATGAGCAATGGGCTTGTCCATAGCACATGGCATAGGGCTATTACCCATAGGGATGTAGAACGTGGGTCCATTGCTTTGTTCTATACCCCTCCACCAAGAACCTTAATTGAGCCTGTGGCTACTGAGGAAGAAACCTACAGGAAGGTGGTTGTGGAGGACTATTTGAGACATTACTATAAGGTTACTCCAACCAGGGAAAAATTAGCTATCAACTTTGCTAAGGTAAATTAATGCTTTGAAATGAATTTGGTGTGTGCGCAATTCTTATTATAAATACCACACGTCTGGGTGACATCTAGAATCCTGTCAAAGGTTATTAAATGAACTCCAATCTACCTAAGGACACTTCATTTTCTAGCGAAGAGATATTGATGCTTTTATTGTTTCCCATTTGGTAGGAACTCAATAAAAGTATGTGTAAATGGACCCTAATACATTCAATTTGAGTATTTTGGTGCTGCCTGTTGTATTTATTGAGAGTGGAAGGAACATAAATATGTTATACGCATTATTAACAAGTCCTTTTTAAATGTTTATATGTTCTTCATAATTGGTTTGGCCTATAAACATTTTATAAACCATGCATATCTACTTAAGTACAGTAATTCTTAGGTAAATCAACTTCATTGAAGACACATTGATTTGGTCAATCCTTTACACATCCTTAAAATGAGCTCCCCAAAAGATATATCTGAGGTTAAATATGCGGTTATTAATAAAGCACATTTTTTTTATGTCTGATGACTGTGCAGCTACATAAATAAGCCCAGCTGGCTCAACTGTTCTGACAGATGATTGATCTAACTGTTTATCAGAATTGTACTGTTTTCCAAGCCGAGTTTACACGTGTGTGACCTTTACCTAGGGACAATTACCAACCTTCATTAGAATATGTGCACAGGCACGAGAAAGCTGGCCTTTTTAAGGTTTCTGTGAAATATTAAGCACAGGATTACAGACGCATATCGCTCTGATCTGTTGCTTTCTTTTGAGATTTGATATTATTAATCAATTACTAATCATGCTGACAAGTGTCTTAGCAAATAGTTTTTGTTTAAACTTGACTTACACTGCCACAAATGACCCTTTTCCAGTGACTCGCTTGTAAATTTAGTTCTAAATATGGACATTAGGGATTAATAAAAGGCATTGCTTTCTAAAACTGGATATGGTACATAAATTGAAAATAAAACCAACCAGAAGTAAACAAAAGCTCATTAATGAAGGAATGCTATTGGGGAAGCATGTGAAGGCTTTGGTGGCACATTTATGAATTCAGATTTTTTTAGATTCTCGAGAAGATATATATATATGTATATATAATGAATTTTTTTGACCTGGATATGTTATGCATTTTTGGAGAGAGAGGAAAGGGAGCTTCTAGGTGTGAAGAAAGGTGTAAATTACATATAGTGACATATTTTTTGCACTTTTTTCTTCTTTTTGGCCTGAATTTTGCGCTTTTCTCAATCTCTCAAATATACTCTCTCCTTTTTTTTTTTTTAATTGTAAAGCGTCTTTTACAACTTTTTTTTATTCTTTATATGAAACATGCCATTGAATGTTAATTACATTTTTGTAATATTAACTTTATTTAAACTCATTAATTATTAGATATATATATATATATGCAAATTTAAATTTTTTTATTTAAACAGGGGTTAAATTAAAATTTTATTTTATTTTTAGATAAAATTAATAACTTAATTACTTCAACTTGATTTTGGTGAAACGGTTTTGTAATAAGAAGTGGAGACAGTTTTTGTAATAAGAGGTAGTGAAGTGACCGTAAAAGGGTTGTTAATGCTGTTATTATTTTTTTAAAAAAATTAATTATTTAATTTTTATAATTTTAACTTAATTATAACTTAATTTTTAAATTTTAACTCGTTATAATTTAATTTTTATAATTTTAAGTTAATTATAATTTAATTTCTATATTTTAATTTTTACAATTTAATTTTTATAATTTTAATTATTAAAATATTAATTTTTATATTTTAAAATTTAATTTTTATAAATATTAAAAGGGTTTGATAATTTCAAATATTAGTATTAAATTTTAATATAATTTTAATCTTTATAATTATATGTTTTAAAATATATGAATTAATATTTTAAATGATTAAAAATATGAGGAGTAAATTATAAGATTAAGTTTTAAATTACAAAAAATGAAATTGTTAATAATTGAATTAAAATTATATAGATTAAATAATTAATTTTTTTATTTTTAAATAAATAAATAAAATGGGACTCGTTAATGCTGATTTGTCTCACGCCTCGGCTGTGTCCCATGGCAAGTCCATTGACAACCCAAAAGCCTGTTGGAGTTTTTAATGCAGACCTGCGGTCTGCTTTGTGGGCTCATTTCTCATCCCAAGATGTTAAAAGATTATTTAATTATTTATTACATTTTTTGTTATAGACATATAAATTTTTTTCCTGCAAAAATGTGTTTGTGGTAAATATACTTAACTGAAAAAATCAAAGACAATGTCGATTTTTTTTTGAAAAATAAAATAGATTAAAAATTCACCTTTTTAATCTTGTTTAGCCTGTTGATTGTTTATTTTATTTGTAAGATTATATCAATAATAAATATCCCTTTTTAAGAAATCGTCAATACCAATATAAAATTATAGACCTTTTATTAAAAAAATATAAAATGATATTTAAACCTACATTATTCTTCGTATAACCAGTATAATTTATCTCTAATTTTGTAGTTTAGTTTAAGCTGTTATTAGACTCATGGAAAAATTATTCAGCTAAAAATATAACTGCATAATAATTGTTATAATAAATAAAGATAAGAGAAACAAGTTATTATATTTTAATAATTTATATAAAAAATACAATTTAATTGCATAATTATTTAATAATTTTAGGTATTTTAATACAAAAACTAGTATAAGCAGTAATCAACTAATGATAAAAGGGATTATGTCAGGTCGAGTTTTGAATAACAGTATAAAAGTATATAACAAAGTGGAAAACATATTCAGGAATTATATGAAATTAAATAAAAAATTATTTAAAATTTTTAAATAAACGGATGTTTAAAAAATATTTGATTATTTGTATCAAAACTTTCACTTCAGTTGCATGATAGTAGAAATTATACTTCTTAATATTTAAATTTTTTTATTTCAATTATAAAATAATTATTTGATTTACATATACCAACCAAATGTATAATTTTAGAGGCATGGTTAATACTTAATAAATACAAAAATTAGTTGTTATTGCCCAACTTTTTTGTTTTGGTTCCTTCCGTACATGCCTTTGATTTGACCTTACCCTCATCGTTCGTCAAATCATATCTCTGCCCCAATTTTCTCACCCTTACACCTGGACGGCTCCGATCCTTTCCCTCCAAAACGCCTTTCCTGCCTCTTTCGTATTCCTGACGTGGCATCCCCTCATCACCTTCACGTCACGCTCCCAAACCAAATCTCTTTGCATTGGAACAGGAACCACATGAATACCCCGTTGGCTAGTGATTTTACACTTTTATCCTTCCATTTGGAGCCTGCTTTAGCCCCACAAAGTTCCTACCCTTGTGTCTATTTCTGGTAATGCGCACAATAGAGTCAGCCACGAAAGACGAAGTGCCAGCTTTTTATTTGCTGAGATTTTATTTACTTTGGCCACTTACAGCACTTGCTGTCGGACACGTGGCTCTCCCCCACTGGTCCATCCGCTGCATCCTTCTCCTAGAATATGTCTCTCATTTTTTATTATTTTAATATACACACCAAAACATGATCAGAGAGCCTTTCAACAAAAAAGCGTGCTATTATTATAAAGGCAATTCATCATGTTTACAGCCTAACCCTGCAATTTAATGAATTTATGGCCAGCTTGAGAGAGCAATTGCAACATGGTTGAAAAGGACAAAAAGACAACATTCTTTAAGATATTAATTAATAATTTTATAACTAAATGTGACAAATAATCGAGATTACCTCTATCCGAGCCAAGTCTCCCCTAACCGTCACCATTGATTCTAATGGAAAGAGGATATAGACAAAAATGAAAAATACAAGTAACCTCTTTCTCTTGCTGACAAAAGATGTCAAGAAGAAAGAAGAGACGTATTATAAGGTGATGATAATGAGGATACTGTAGAGCAGTTCTATTCCCCATTGACATCAGGAGATCGTGCCCCCTTGTTGGGCGGCTCGGCTTCGCTGGTTGACGCTGGGTTCTCAGAGCGAGTTTCGCAGCCGCTGCATGAACTAGCGCCTTCCAACACGCCTACTGGACTCGAAGGCGGCTCCGGGTCGGCTCCAGGGCCTTTATAGCCAGCAAAGGGACACGTGTCCACCACGTAATCCTCCATTAGTTGGTGACAGCTTCTCACCGTTTCCTGTCCCCGAAGAAGAAAGTTTCTTTCAATAAATAAAGACACCAAATTTTGTCACCCACACACACTCACACTCCTTTCCATGCTTCTCGCTTTCTTCGATTTTTGGAATCCAAAAGATATTCAATCTTTCAAACTAGTTTTTTGTCTAATATTTTTGTGTAATCTTAATCCGTGTTATATACTATATGCAGTTGAGTGAGTTGGCGCTATAATGCGAGTCATTTTCAAGGTCACGTACACGTTTAACAATTAGTACGCTGCTACTGCTGATCTATGTTACCTATTTCAATTATTAAAGACGTGAGACTTATTATAGCACAAAAATAACCTGTAAAAGAGTAAAACAAGATTATGAATAATTTATAGTATCCACGACTAAAGAATATCTGAATATATGCATAGGGTACTTTGTTTACTCCATCATGGAAGCACGGTGGCGATTGGCCCTGGCCAGCTGAACAGAGAACGGCGGCGACCGCTATGGCCGATGGCGGAAAACCCAAGAAATCAATAACTGAAATGTTATTCACAGAGATCGGATGAATGAGTTAGATAAATCGTAAATAACAGGAATATATACGAATGACAGAACCGTTAAGAAGAGTCGGGTATGGGGTACCAAGGGTGGTGCTGAGGATGAGGCTGGAAGCAGTCGAGAAGATCCGGGTTATGGATTCGGGTTTCGGGTCGTCCGAGAAAGAAGAGACCTTAGAGATGAAGTAATGGAGATAGTCGAAGGGTGTTATGGAGCGTAATCTCCAGCGTAGCTTGGTCATGACATAGAGCTCCATTCTTTGAATCGTCTTGGGTTCGAATACGAATCTGGGATCCACTAATTGGAGGTCCAGTAATAGAGGCACCACAGGTTCCTCCAGTTTCGCCGCTAAAGACAAGCATGCCACTGATAGCAGATGATACTCCCATTGACTTTGTCGCTGCGAATAACAATCAAGAAATCACGTCAGAAATTTTCGCGAAAAATCAGATATTTTCGGGGATTTTTCTTGGATAGAAAAGACGCAAGGAAGGTACCGGAAGTGCAGAGCAAGACAGAAAACGATCGAGGTAGTTGACCGAGAGGAACGCCGTTACCGGACGAAACTCATAATGTGCGTGAACCTGCATTTCCCAGAGATCGAGATTCAAATCAAAAATGCAACAAACTACTGCTGTTCAAATGCGTTATGCAACTGGCGCGTTGATACGGACCTTCAAGATCCAGTTGATGGCGTCCTGGCGAGCGGTTACGTCGATTAAACGATGACGGCACCGCCGTAGGTAATCCGGGTCAGGCATGTGATGCGCCTCGACGTCGATGAGTCCGCCGATGGTCGCATCGTCGGAAGGAGGAGAATACGACGGCAGGTACGACGACGTCGGGTGGTTTTCGCCGGAGATCACTTCACCGGCATCCTCACCGCATAGCAAGTCACCGGCAGCAAAAGCGTCGGCCGGCGAGCGAGACATTGTGAGGGCGGATGGTGAAAGAGCACGAAAGTCCGGTCACGCCTCTTAACAGTAGTGATGGTATTGGGTTTCGTTTGGTCATGGCTGGGTGTCACTAACCTGGGTTTGACATTGTTTAAAAGCTGAAAAGGAAGATCTGTGAGTGTGTGAGTAGTGTTATTCTTTTGTCTGTTAGTTTGGATGCTCTTTTGCTTCTGCGGGTGAGTCACACACACACGCACACCGAGAGAGAGCAGAAATGAGGCTTGAGGAGTTGTCAAGGCAGAGACAAGACACAAAGGAAGGGAAGAGAAAAGAAGAGAAGTGGAAGGTTGGAGGGGAAGGGAGTGAGCGTTTTAATGCTAATGAGATGTGAGGTGGTGATTCCTCTGTCGCTACTTGTTGGATTATTTAGTCGATTTTTTTTTTTACTTTCCTATTTTTGGTTATTTTTACTGTGGGTGAATTACTTCAAAGGACCAGAAGGGAATGATACTTACATTGAAGCAACTAGAAAATTCTAACTATTTAGAATGATCGAAAACCAGAATCTAAATTGTAAAATACTAGATTACCCCTCTGATCACCTTCTCCCTCTCCTCGTCTAATTGCCAACCCAACATTAATGGAGAACTCGCTGGAATTTTTGATGACTCAATATATGCCAAAGACGAAATTATCCTTGACTGTGCATATTTCACAACTCAATTGGAGATATAAGCCTGGTCCAGAATGAACACTCTCAAAACTATCTTTTTTGTTAATACTATCAAAATGGTTATTGACCTTGATTATTATATGTGATTGGATTGTATTTTTAGATAACGTTTCTAAAGAAACAATTTGTTGTACTGACTAACGTTTTTAACAATCCCCTCACGCGATGGGTGTGAGACTCTTTTGTTATCTAATTGGAGCTAATCTTTTATTTATCTTCATGATTATGATTTTGACATAGCCTTTTAATTTAAAAAATAATTATTGTAAATTCTGACATTCTTTGTGCATTTTTTTTTAAATTGAAGTCATTAGTCTGTGTAGAAATAGACATTTAAACTTGATTAAAGTTTGCTTTTTTTTTTTGGATAATTCATGGAAAATCAAAAGTTTGCATATTAAATTCGCATAAATAAAAAAAAATGGTGCCTAACACGGAAGGAAGGAAATAAATTAGAAATATTTGCTAAAGAAATAAGCTGCAAATAATAAAGGGAGAAAAGTAAAATGCGGACATGAGAATTTTTAACAAGGGCATAATTGTTAATTAATTGTGATTCGGTCCTTCAATCTAATTAGTATTTTTATGATTCTTTGGAAAAAATATTAACTAATTTTGATGCTTACATGTGATTTTCACACTTCATTTAGATCCTATTTGGTATATAGGAATTCTAATCTTGAAAATAGGTTCTACATGTGAACAAGTTTGATAGCGCAAAATCAAAATTCTCAAGAATTTCAATTCTATAAAAAAAAGCATTGAATTTCACGATGATAGTTATGAAATTGGTTAGATTTCATTGAATTATTTTCTCTCTCCACTCTTACCTCCCATCATTGTATCCCTCACCTATAGGCCACTGTCCTAACCATCACAATATTAGGCAACGACCAAACCCCATAGAGGATGCAATGGCGAAGCTCGACACATCCACTGCAACTTTGGACAATTTCAATGTTGGCATGGGAGCAAGGGAAACCACAATACGAGAAAGAGACGATGATAGCGAGAAGAAGAGAAACTGGCCAAACATGTTCTAGGTCTTCAGAGTTTGAGACTAAGTGATCATTGGAGTTGGTGTTGCTGCCGTTGTTAACGAAGAAGATGCTGGCAATGTTGATTTAGGAGATGGTGTTCGGCTCCTCGATGATGAAGGGTTATTGGGCTTGATAGATGGGGATAGCTTTTTTTATTTATTTTTTTTTAAAGGTTACTTTGATCTTTTCCTAATTTAAATATATATATTTATTAAAATTATATCAAGATTTTATTTTCATATCAAACACATTTTTAAAATTTAATTTATTTCAATTTTATTTTTGATTTTAATTTTAATTTCATCAAAAACTTTTTAATTATATCAAACGGGGCTTAGTTCATTTTTATTTAGGAAGATTACATTCATGAATCTAATAAAAACTTATTCTTAGATAATAACTAATACAAAATGAATCATCATTAAAATAAAAATATAAATTTTTTTTAAATAAAATTTATTATGGGTTTTTATATGAATAATTATTTTACCAAATGCTTGATAAAAATCTCCTTTTTTATTTTAACTGGGACTTTACAACCAAAAAAGATAATTTTATACTTTACAAGAGTGATCGATCTCACCTTGCGATCTTCGTGAAAAAAGTCAGCGATTTCGTGATTTCGCCTGTCTGCGTGTCCAGCCCTCTTTTGAAAGTTTTAATCCAATGCTGCTTTAAAAAATTGGGAAAGTAACCAACATAACAGGGAGGATGCATTCAAGACTCCATATGAGGGGAGAAAAAACAGAGAGTCCAGAATCATCGAAGATGATTCGATGATGCACAAGATAAGATTCAACAACTCAGTTATATGTATTAAACTTTATGTCGTTTTTTACTCTCGCTATCATTTTTTCTCTCTCATCTGGATACTAAACGTGATTCTCCCAAAATAATACTCTACCTGACAAGTGACAGGCTATAAGCTCATTCCATTGGATTCGTCTCATAACAGAGTCTCATATCAGCTGAACAGGGCGTTACCAGGGTCCCAAGAGATATTGAAAAGAAGTCAATTGAATCTTGTGTCTGGCATAGGCCCTCTCTTTGTTTTTGTTTTTGTTTTTGTCCAAGTAACGAATATAAATTTTATATGAATATCTCTTTTTTTGGGCTGAATGAATATCATAATCTCATTTAAGTGTAATGATAATAAATAGGGAAAACATATCCGCAGAGAAAGAGGAACGTTTAAACCAGGAACACAGACGCCAGTCCCCTGCTACAAATGCGTGCGTTTCATTTTGAAAGAATGAGAATCTCTCCTTATTATATTTAATTATATTTTTGAATTTTCAATGCGAATATGAAAATTTGCACCGTCATTTTGAAAACAATTAAATCAGATTGCGAAACATGTTCTTATTTTAGGCTACGAAATTTTCAGTGATACTATTTATATATTTTTAGCTAAAAAGTTGAATGAATCATGCGATATATCGGAGAGAATTTGATGCTGTTGCAGCGTAGATTGAAAAGAAATCAATCAATTACAGAAAGAAAACCTAGTTTACAAGCGGAGCGAAAAAATTCACCACTTCTTGCAGGGATCAAATCACGAAGCCTTCATCTTCCCCCAATCGGATTCATCATATAAAAAAGAAAATGGATTGGTATCTCTCGTTGGGTCCATGAGACCAGGGAATAGACATAGCTAGATCCATCTAATTTCCTTCACCTTCCTTTTCTCGACAATCCACAATGACCGATCACAACCAAAACCAGCACCCGCAGCAGCCCGTCGGAGTTCCACCACCGCAAGGTCCTCATCCTTCACTTTCTCTCCGTGTATTTGATTCGTTCATCGTCTCTATAAGCTCGTGATTCTCGAGGATGATATAACATTATGTTATATGAATTTCCAATCTCATTTTGATTTTGAATTGTCTGAATCTGCAGGGTATCCACCGCCGGAGCCAGGTTCGAAGGACGGTTATCCTCCGCCGGGCTACCCACCGCCGGGGTATTCACCGCAGGCATATCCATCTCAAGGATACCCACGGCAGGGATATCCGCCGCAGGGATATCCGCCACAAGGATATCCTCCCCCGCCGTATCCTGCTGCCCAAGGATATCCGCCGCCGTACTATGGACCTCAATACGCTCAACAACCACCGCCGGCCAAAAACGATTCCTCTGGCGATTGCTTGACAGGATGGTAAGTCCTTCTTTTCTTCTCTGTCGATCTTTGTGTTGTCGTGATTCCGTGAGATCCGGTCACAGCCGTTCACTCCTCTGTCGTGCGCGGCGTTCCCGCGTTCTTTGGCGCGCTATTCGTGTTTACTTGGCTGCACTTTGCCGCGTAACTTTCGATTTTCGCTCTCTTTTCGGTGCATATTAGTGATTTCGTTTCGGCATTTTCTGTTCAATTTTTTTTTTGGCATTATTTTTTGGAAGAAGAATATCGTTCGGACCCCACAAGCCACATGTTAGCATAATGAGTCCAAGATAATTTTAAATTTCATTAAAAGCCTTTAATCTTTAATTAAAAATTAAAATTTTTTATTCAATTACTAAAATATCATTTATTCTTAAGAAAACCATTAGCACTTGGAGAAATTTTTGATAAATTTAGTACATCACATTATTTATAGATTGTCAAATGAAATTACATAAATTCAATCAAATAAAATCTTACTTCTTTAGTTAAAAAATCTAAGGCATTTTTTGAGCAGTTTGATGTTAAAAAATATAAGATATTTTTAGTCTTTCGAGATATAATCATTACTTTTTTTAAAAAAGTGCCTCTATTGATAATGACTTTATATTTATTGTAGGATGTTTTATAGGGGTAAATAAGAAAAGATGGGATTAGTTAAAAAATAGGTAACTATTTTATTGGAGGTGAGATTTGATTAAAAATGCTTTATATTTTTAAACAGAGGGAGTATATGTTATTATTTTTTATGATTTTATTTTTTTATCAAAGTATATTTTTAATCTTTTAATTTTATACAAAATTTTATTTTTGATCCATTAATTTTATAATTTTTTTTAGTTATCTAACTTCAACCTCATTAGTTTTATAAAATTTTTTACATTGAACTTTTAAATATTAATAAAATATTTTTAAATATTTATATATTAAGTTTTTTAAAAAATAAGAACGATTGGAACAAAAAATAATTATTTGATAATTTTAATTAGAAAACTAAAAAAATACTTTATAAAATTAAGAGACCAAATTAAAATGTTATATAAAGTTGAAAGATTAAAAATATATTTTATTTTTTAAATAAAATGCTATTTACTTTCTTGCTTCTTTTCTCTCTACTATTATTAATATAAAAATTAATTTATATTTAATGACATTTAAATGTTAGATTTTTATTAGATAGATTATGAATAATATAGTGTGCATCACTGCAATTTCATTCTCAAATCCTGAACTTTTTTTTATGACTGGTTTAGTTTTTAAATTTAATTTGAAATAATTTAATCTTTGAAATCTCAACTTAAAAAAAATCTCGCTTTTATAAATTGAGTTATATATATTAAAATTTAACGACTAAATTTATAATTGAGAGAAAATTTAAGAATTAAAATTTATATTATCTCTTTTTTTTATAAAAGAAGGTCATTTTAATAATTGAACAGAAAAATTTAATTTCAATTGAATACCTAATGCTTTAATAGACAATTAATAAAATCAAAGTTAATATTTTTCGTACTGTGTTAGTCAAAATATGAGAGCTGCTTTTCATATGTAATGCCCAATAAGCCTTCTTGGTCTAGCAGATATATAAGCAGCCTCATGTGAGAGGCTCAAAATAAACAAAAAGCTTACTCTTTTTGCTTCGAGAATGAAGGCAAATATTGTTGTTCTAATTATGAATTTATAATCCAAAAATCCCAGGAAAAAAAATAAACTCTTTCTTAATTGTCTCACTAATTGGTAAGATAATACATATTAAAAATAAATACTATTAAAACGATTACTGTAAATCATATAAATTTATTTCAAAATTATACTTTCTTTATTCCACTTCTGCTAACATGCTGATATATTAAATTTAATGATTATATTTGCAAATTTGGTGCAGTTGTGCTGCTCTTTGTTGCTGCTGTTTGCTGGATGCATGCTTCTAAATAGTCACTAATTACTTTATGCAAATTATGGATTGGATCCAGTGTGCTCTACTTCGAACACAAACATTTTTCTTGTTTTCTAATATTGTTTAATTATATTTTATTAGTTTTTATGAATATATGACCTGCCACTAAAAATGGCACGCTGCTTAGCAGGCTTGGTGTTTCTTTAGGTCTGAAGTTAGTTTCCCATCCTGCTTGATCACTTCAAATTTTTGTTCCCCAACCGAACTAGGGTAGCTTTCATACATTCACATGGAATTCAAGATAAATCATATTATTAACATAATATAAAATTTCTATTTTTTATATATTTTATTGATTGCAAATTACTGCCCAATATTTTTAATTCTTTAAAACTATCTTGCTGTTATCACACAATCGATAATGGTATCAATATAATATATATCACGCGAAAACTGTGTAACTGTGTTGTTGAGTTATATCGAAGTGGGCATTTTTTTTTTATTTTACTGTTTCTGCACATTTTTTGACCAACTGGATTTAGCATGTTGACTTATAAATATATAATCATCGCCATGCAATGCTTCAACGGCATTAACAATCTTCTTCTTTTTGGGTATCATTTTATTATTTGGAAAGCCTCTGATATTTCATAAATACTATTTTTTTATTAGTGGGGCCTTGGAGAAAATTTAAGATTTTTAAATATTTTGGGAATAAAAAGCACATTAATATTATATATGTGTGTATTATAAAAACTCAAAGAAGCTATACTATTTTTGAGAATTTGTTACAAATCTTGTGACTCATTTCTTAAAATATCAGAGAAAACAAAAGGCAACAAACCCAAGTCATATCATCCAACACAAAATCAGACAAGTGAAGTTGCTTGAGAGTCTGGAAGGCACCTCCTCTCACCCAAGTCATATTATCCAACAAATCAGAGCACACTTCGTCACGCCATGTCAATGGTGATTTATTGCCGTTCCTTTTGTTTTTGGTTCCTTTGCGAATTGAGCGTGGGCGTAGAAATATGCTTGCGTGGATAGATAGATATATATATATCATTTTAGAACTGACACGAACCCATCATATCTGTCAAAGTTTTAAAGCAAAGAGTAAATCCAACTCTCTTTCCACCTTAAAATCTAAAAGAATCAAGCAAAATTTCAGGGGCAATCACACAAGTTTGAGTTAAACGGAGTGGTTCTCTGCACAGTTATAGGATTCATTTAGTTCAGTGTTTCCAGGTGAAGGAAAGCTTTCGTAGCCCAGGACTAGAACATAGTCCCACACCGGAGAGTCAACCTCTCAGGGAAACAGTGAGCAGCCATAAAAGCCAGGGAGTCCAACCCAGGAAAGCATACCTTTCTCGGCCTTTTGGCTAAGATCAAGTGTAGTATCTGTTCTTATCAGTTTAATATCTGATACGTGGGCCATTGGCCCACATGATATTAAATAAATATTTTAAGGGGTTGGGTCCATTACAATAGCTTGCTATTGGGATCTTCAAGCGTCGCCCATGCGTTGCACTATTGTACGGGCCTGTCGCACCCCACCAAATCGTAGATCAAGTGTGTGCTCTAACTTTCCTTTCCTGTGGTGATGGACCCAAGTATATTGGTCCGAGCCTTCATTACCTTAGATCAACTTTTGGGCTCCTCTTCTGTTCGATTCCCCCTACGTTGAGATTGAATTAAAATTCACCCACACGCTTGATCAAAATTGAATTAATTCAATTTAGTTTTGTTTCTCTCCATGTACTCTAATGAATTAATTAATCATTATTTTTAAATTGCACCCAAGAAGGTTTCAATTAAAATATCATATTAATTACTCTAGTTAAAAATATTTAAAAAATATTATTATTAATTACATATCTAAATACCTAAATTACGTTGTATTATTCAACATGTTAGTTTTTAAAAAATGTCTTATAATATTAATGAAAATAAGTGATAAATAATATATTACTCGGATGTGATTTAAGGTTAGTTGTGCAGTAGTTTGAAGGAGAAACAAAAGAGTGACATGTTTATTATAACGAGTTAATTTAATAAAAAATATAATTTAAGTTTTAAAACGTAAAAATTATTTACTTTAATTTTTAAATTTACTTCTGAAAACATATACTAAAAATTGAGAGCTTGAAAAATTTCGATTCAGATTCTAAATTTCAATTTTTAATTATAATTTTCTGTCGCAAAAGTTTGAGGTAAGTATTATTGTTCATAGCACTGAGGGTATTTTGTTGGGAGTTAAACCATCTTATTTTGGTGTCTTGCATTTGATTATTAAGATATACAATTACATTAAATAAATATATTAAGGGTGTCTTCTAGATATCCATGAGTTTATTGTTGATAATAATATTAAATAAATATGTTAATGATATCTTTTAAATATCCGTGAGTTTACTATTGGTAATAATAATTTCACAGTTCAAATCAATCTTGGCGAGAGATGGTAATATATCTAGATTTGTTAGGATTCCCAGCGTTAGAATAAAAAAAAAGGCATCATTGTTAATAATTTATAAATAGTTTTTTTTGCCATGTATCTTATATTATATATTAATTTTAAATTTTTGAAAATCCGGTAAAAATATATTTAATATAAATATGTTTACCTTGTATTTTGTTGGCCCATTATTTTACCGTGGATTTTAAGCAACAATAATATCTAGCCTCACTTAATTGTCTTATTTTATCTTAGTAATAAAATATTAAAATTACTGTTCATGAAACAATGAGTTTAACAGTACCATAGACCCACCGTTTTTGTTTTAATTCATTGTTTTTTTCCATTTTTTTTGTTGTGCTTTTTTTTTTTTACTTTGTTAAAAAATCAATACATGTTTGAGCGTGACTACTAATATTTAAAAATTATTTTTATATTATATTTTTAAAATATCATATTTTACATAGTTCATATTTATATAATTTTTAAATTATCTTTAAATTTTTTTATAAGTAATGAGTTTAGAAATAAAATGAAGTGTCTATGTTTTATGCATGCACAAAAGTAAAAAAAAAATAGTAACAAGTTTTTTTTAATTATTTATAAGTATTTTTTATTAAAAATAATCTAATTCAATACACTGTTTAAATATTAAATATGGGCATCTTTTTTATGAGAATTTAAACATTAATTTATCATATTATTAAAAGATTAACTTCTTTCATTATATCCAACTCACATTTGTAAATAGATAAAAAGTTACTATTAAAATAACTTATCATATATTTATCGCATGAATAGTAAATCTTATTGGTCGCCTTTTTTTCAATATGTAATGTTTTTTCACATTTTGTATGTTCATAATATTTTTCTTGCTTTCTTTTTTTGTTTTTAAAAAAAGTTAACGCATACCCAATCGTAACGATTAACATTTAATAAAATTTTTATAATATCATGTTAACATACTTTTCATAAGACCTATGCTATTATTTTTATTCAACTATTATAGTCATATTTTGTGCAATATAAGATGGGTGCAATTTGCTAAAGAAAAAAATTATAACAATTATAATATGTTATGACCTATTAAAAATAAACAATACATTGAATGCTCCCATTTTATCAAGTCAGAACTTCATATAAGAATACAATTCACATGAAATAATGTCCAAAAATAAGTTAAAAAATAAGTGAATTTCTTCCCAACCCATGCATCGCATGGGCCATTTTCTAGTTGCATTTTAAAAAAAAAAAATTATAGATTGGTTAAGATTACATTAAAGCTGAAAAGGGTAAATAATAAAATAAGCCAATGGTCTTGTAATATAAGTATCTAACCGCATGTGAGCTCCTCTGCTACCCCATAAATAGACTGTCATTAGTGTATGCTCTTATAATTAAAAAAACAGTAAATATTTTATTTAATTTTTATTATAAGACACTTTCAAACATTTTATATATATTATAAAAGTTAATTTTTTTGATATAATAAAAAATTAGATGTATTTTTATTTTTACTTTCAACTTTAAATAATAATACAACTATACTAAATATAGTTAATTAAAACAGAATAAAATTAAAAAAAGTGATTTAATTATAAAAAAATATCTAACATTTAAACTAAAAATTACTTTTAAAAAATATTTTATAAATATGATTGAATGGAGCAATAATTTTTAAACTTTAAACAATAAAATTATAGATTAGTTGGCCAAGTGTGTATATATATAATCAATTAAGTTCATGCAGGCGTGAATAAGGCAAGGGAAGTTAAGGAGAGAGATTTAATACTGTTAAAATTTATTATAAAGGATAATAGAAATTAAAATCAGGATGAAGGACAAAGGTAAGTATAGTTAAGTATTATAATCATAGCATAAAGTCTGTCAATAATTCATTAAAATTAACACAAGTACCGTACAAGTTAGAAGAGCACTCTTTTAAAAATAAGGTTGTACAGTTTTCAATTAAAAAATAAATAAAAAATAGTTTTAACTATTAAATTCAATTAACTTAATATAATTTTAAAAAACTTTACTTTTAAATAATTGAATCTATATAATTTTAAAATATTCACTTTTGAAAATTTAAATCAGTATAATTTTAAAAATTATACTATTGAAGAATTATTACTTTTCCAAGAACATCTCGCCTTAATCTCTGAACTTATGAATTTTTAAGGAAGATAATATTATTAACTTATTATGAGTTTCTGGGAACTAGTTTCACGTTGCTTTAATTTATTATTTTTCATCTGTTTGTGATGTATATACATATAAAGGAAATAGTTTTCTCTAAAACACCAAGTTCTTGTTGGTCTTACTATTAAATACGTGTCAGATGCGACAAAAAAATATTTAAGATTTAATTAGAGGCAATTTAATATTTTAAAATATATATTTTAACATTTGGTCCTTTTAAAATAATTACTATCTTAAACATTTTTTTAAATAAATATTATCTTTTCCAGATACTTTGTTATAATTATCCCATAATCATCCAACTCAAATCAGGTCAATTAATAACTAAAATACTATGAAAACGTCGCATTGAAGTTATTTTTGTGTCATTTCCCCCTTTCCGTTTTCTCACAGCTTGAATCTTCTCGTCAGCAAACGTTTCCAGACAACATAGGTTGTCGCCGGGATATGCTTCCTTCTCAGCTGTAACACAGTTATTGGTCGCATTGCTTTATCAGCTTTTCGTCTCTTTTCGATTCGCGAAAGCAATTCTGAGCAGAAGCTCGCGGCGATTTCGACTATAACCTTCTGGTAACCTTCCTCGTTCTACTTATTTATGTATTATTGTATTGGAAAAACTTGTTGCGGTTAATGATTCTGTATCATGGTTTTGACTTAGTTTACGGGCCTCAATCTTTCTTTCCTTTCCTCGGATAATTTGCTTATCCTTTTAGTTTGGGGAAATATCTATCCAAGAATTATGTTTGACGTAGAAAATTGAGGATGTGAAGATAATTTTTACTCGTTCACTGGATTTCTGTTCAATGAAGAATGGTTAGAATTTGTAATGGTTAGAATTTGTATTTTTGGCTTTTTTGTCCAATTGATGATGTTTCATTAAGAAAATAGCACACGATTCTACTTGGACATTGTAGAAAGCAACAAGCTTAAAATACAATACGGAAGGAAATAAACGCAATAACCAAGTGAAACACAAAATACTAGAATATGTATTTGACTTTGACTGTCCCAGAAGACAACCTTTTTCCCCTTGTAGCAAAACTTTTCAGCAGAATTTGATCAACGATAATAAGGATCACTATTTGTTCCTTTCCGAGAATCACACATGCAAAAATGCGCGTGTCTATTTATTTTTGCTTGAATATGTATATATGCCTGTGAAACTTGGTGGGTAGTTTTCACTTTTCACTCGATCTAATTTCTTTGGGCTGATATAAGAGGTTAACATATGGGAGACAATGTAGATATGCATGATTCTTGCTTCGTGATAATTTAACTCCTTAAAGTGTAAATTTGTCTACCGCAATACTTGGTCCTTTCTAGTTGGTTAGTTGACTATTTCCTGTACTTGTTTATGCTATATGATTGTGAAACTCTGACCTTTGTGTTTTGACTGCAATTGAATCCCTTAATTTATTTGGTTTGATGATACTATGTTTTCTTTAACAGAATGGCTGAGAATATGAGCAACGAATCCTTGTTAGCTCAGATCCAACAGCTGGAACATGGTATGCACTGTTTATTAACTTCTATGAATAAACTCGATGCTTTTACAGTGTATTGTTGGTTTTTTGACGACACTGTGATCAATGTTGACTTCATTGATTATTCATTGTTGAAAAAGTACCCATTGTGTTCATTTTTTATTTTGTTGAGAAATCAAAGTTGAGAGACAAGTTAAATGATCTTAAGCCGCCTTCTTTAGCCAGAGATTGAGCTAATTAATATATGTAGGTTCAGTATATCAAATCTCGATTGTTGTTGATCGGGAACTATTCAATACATCTGCATGTTTTGATACTTAAGATCATGTCTAAATTGAAATGGACTAGCAACATCTGAATTGATTTTGTAATTAAAATAGAATGGTTTATGATAAGTTGGCTCTTCATATTTTATGAGAGTTGCAATTGAAAACTTCGTGGTGTTAAAAATTTTTGATGTGTTGAATAGATTATAGCCTTAACGGGGATATATTTGGATTCAAAATGTAAACACCTAATCGTGCATACCTGGTGGTGTTTCAGTAGCTGTCATAATCAACTGTTCTTGATCTGATATTGTAACCAAGAAGAATGTTGTATGATATCATGTTGTTCCCCCTCATTGACAATCATTTAGCTGTAAATGATTAATATGAAACTCATTCTATATATGTATATATTATAACATACGAACATGTCCTTATTGTTACTACATGCTTTTATTTTAATTTCATATTTATTTGGCATGATAGTCATGTATCATCCAAATTTAACTTACCTATTATACAATATTGTAGAGCGTGATGAATTACGCAGAGATATTGAACAATTATGCATGCAGCAAGCTGGACCTGGCTATCTTGCTGTGGTTACTCGAATGCATTTTCAAAGGTGTATGCTCTTACTTTTTTTTTTCTCCAGGAAAATTATCTACTTTTTCCCCCAATAATGTTCCTCTGTTGATGATTGGAATGGTTTGAGTATTAAATGTCTGTGGTTGGGATTAGCTGGAGGGTTGGTATAATTGAAATACTAATAGAGATCAATTTTGTCAAATTTCATGCCTAATTAGGACAGCTGGATTGGAGCAAGAGATTGAGAGCTTGAAAAAGAAATTGGCTGCTTGCACAAGAGATAATTTAAATCTACAAGAGGAGCTTTCAGAGGCTTACAGAATCAAAGTGAGTTATTGGATATGTCTTATCCATTGCTTAAATGATTCATTTGATTTTGTTCTCATGGTTACTTTGCTGTGTTCAGAGTCAATTAGCAGATCTACACAGTGCTGAGGTTGCAAAGGTCTCTTTCTATCCCCTTAATGGTACTCTATGTTTGTTATGTACTCTGACACAGTTTTTGAATGGCAAACAAACTTTTGCATTTGTTTGCTATGGATTGTTGATCCTACATTATTCAAACAATTTTTAAATAAAGGATATTGCCTCTGTGACATAGCATGAGAAGCTTGTCTCAAATTTTAAGTGTGTATTGTACCGTGATTTGTATACTGTAAACTTTGGATTGACTATTCTGAAAATTTTATATCTGAATTTTGCCTTGACGCTTTTGCCATGGTTTACATTGAGGTCTGTAATGGGCACATTGGGCTGCATGTTTCCACTATTGCAACGTAACTATAACTGCAATTCAAAGCCATGAGTTTTGCATTTAACTTGTAGCAGAACATGATGCATTGAGTTCCCGTCTTTATAAAATTTATTTGCTACTTGTACTTTCTAGTTATCATAATATAAGAACAAGCATGGTTGCTGCACTGCTAACAAGAAATTACCTTCAAAGTTTGTCAGGCAGATGGATGGCTCTCTTCTATGATGTGATGTTTATGGTTTTAGATCTCACATGACTAGGGATGTGTCATATTTACCTCTGTAGGATGACTCTAGGATCCAATGTTGTCGTATTTATCTATATTCTTCTAAAAAGTAAATATAACATTTTGATGTGGGAGAGTGAGAAGCAAAACTGCTGCTACTTTTTATTATTCTTAAGTTGTAAAAAATTATCCATATAAAATATTAACAATTAAATTGACTTTTAAAAATCAATGGAAAATATTACTATTTAATTTTTTGTTGAATAAGATATATTTCAAAATAAATTAAGGATAGAAATGACAGGCACTGAATGAGAAGGTCAGAGTTTGAGAATAATATTCTGGCGTTTAAGGCAAGACATTGCAACACAGCTCGCTCATATGTAGAAATACATAACTACGTACAATATTAAAATACAGTACAACCCTTGACGTTGTACACAACATCTCACAACATTTATAGTAATGGTGCAAAGCGCATGAAGCTTTGGTGATTTGCTGACTTACCAGAAAATATCGTTGTCCAGAATATGGAAGCTGAGAAGCAGGTTAAATTTTTCCATGGTTGTGTGGCTGCTGCTTTTGCTGAAAGGGATCATGCAATAATGGAGGTTACATCAATTACCATTTTTCAACACAAAATAGTTCACCATTCTTTTGTTGCTTTATATATTGTAATTCCTGATGTTTCTGAGTCTAAATGTCCGCTAACAGGCTGAAAAGGCCAAGGAAAAAGAGGACTCAATGTCACAGCTAATTAATCCCATCCAGGAGAGGTATGCCCAATTCTTCTAATAATTGAATTCTTTTTAAATTTAGTGAATGATCGTTCAAGAAAAAAATAAGGAAAAATTTGGACTACTTCAGTCCAGAAAATCTATAATGTTTTTACTTCTTTTAATCTGTTGATGATGAACTGGTTGCCTGATTGGGTAAATTGCGTAGCAAAGAAGTAATGGGAGAAAATGAGGAGATCCAAAAGAAAATATGCAATCAAAATTGCATTATTTATAATTCTATCAATGTCATGTGATTATTACATTATTGTTGCATGCCATCCTTTTATTTGTTTATTCCTTTTGTTACGTGTATTACAAGATTCTTAAGAAAAGCATTTGTTGGTCATTGCTCAAAAGTTTACTTGTAACATTTGTCACATAGGGTAGAAGAGCTCACCTCGGATTGTCTTAGACTAAAGAAACTTAATGATGATTTGCAAATTGATATGGCAAATCTGGTGAAGCAGAATGAAACTTTCAAAATGGTAATCATCTGCCATTACTTCCCTTTTTTATCTCTGCGTACTTCCTTGGTTATTCACTTCATTGCCTGTGGTTCATTTATGCGTTTTACTTTCCTAAGTTTTTCAGCAAAACCTCTAATTTATTTTCTTCTAATAGCTGATAATTCTGATGAGTGTACAGGTCATCAACAAATTCTTTGATATAAGGCAACATTCTTTGAAAGAATTTGAGGACACAAGTTGGGATGATAAATGTGCATTTCTTTTGCATGACCCGGATGAAGTGTGGAGTTTTAACGATACTTCTACCTCCAAATACATTGTAAGATTTCACAACCATGATATTTATTCCCAAATTATAAGACCTTATGTCCTTTGTACTGTTAGTGATTTAACATGGAATCTGTTTCTACATTAATTCTCCAAGTCTTTAAAGTCCAAAGCATATTGAGAACCTTCACCCTGAAGGGGAGTAAATGGATTGTCCAACATGAAGATTGGGATCTGTTAGTGTAATCAAGAGGAGATGGAGAAGCATTCTTGAAAAGTCTGTCCCAAGAATGCCCTGTGAGCCCGTCTAATGAGCAGCTTCCTTGGGCACCCATTAACCTTTTGGTGGTCATCTTACTAGAGTGCCCAATAATCTTCTGGTAAGCTGGCCTCCCAGAGCAGTTCTCTTGGGAGTGCCAACTATATAAGATATCACGGAAAAACTTGAGATGTGGGCTGATCCCTGGCTCATGCCCTTCCTTATGACCAGCAAACCATTGGCATGTGAAGAAGCTTGCCAAGATTACCTTGGTTGTAAATGTACTTCCAAAGTGAGTTTGGCAAAGGAGACTACCCCTTACCAGTGCAATGCTTAACTCCAATGAGACTGAGTGCTTGTTGCTTTAAACCCATTTGGCAAACAACCTCTTGAGATGCACATTTGTTACTTAAGCATACCTGCATGACTTAACCCTTCTTTGGATCTGACAGATCCACTTGCTGCTTTAAATCTTTCTGATGCCATGCATGCTTTCCATGCACTTTATACAAAGCAAGGCTCTCTTGTTATTTTCATTCCATGCATTAAATTAACCTTTCTTTTTCTTTTGTTGATAGAAAATCATAAATCCATTGTGTTCACTGAGCTCTCACAATCAAAGATCCCTTACTCCATGAAGATTATTTCATTGTCCCTCATTTGTTTCCCTATTATCAACCATTAGTATCCATAATTGAGCTCATAGAGGTTATAACTAACCATAGGGGACCACGATCTTCCATTGTGTTTTAGACTTTGCAGACATCCTCATGAAAGAGGAGCACTTGATTTACTTTCCTGTTGATCTGGTGTTTCACTCATCATTTCCTTCTAATGTTCAGGTTTTTTAAGTATTTTGTACCTCCAATTCTCCATCCTCTTGAGGCCTCCTATTGACAAAAGTTTCCAGTAGCTTACATTTTAACTTTCCATCCCTTCCTTCTTTTGGTGCATATAAGAAAAAAGTTTAACCAATTTTTTGTTTTGACATGCTTCAAGTTTCTTTGATAATAGATGATCTTGGTTACATGCTTAAGATGCCAAATTCGTCAGGATAAAGTTTAAGTTAATAGTCATTATTTTAATTTTTTTTGGACAAATAATAGTCATTATTTGTCTTCTAGACAATTGTGAAAAACTTTTTCTCAGACAGAGTACATTAGAAGATGAGCTGGAAAGAGCGAGGAACTCTGTGGATAGTCTTCAAAATAAACTAAGGGTGGTAAGTATCTGGTTTATTGTGTCATGTTTTCCTTGTTAACGTTTTTTCCAGCATTTTTTCAAAATATATATATATATATATATTTAGACTCTTGGGGTGTTTTAGGGCTTGGAAATTGAAAATCATTTGAAGAAGAAAATCAATGTTCTGGAAAAGAAACAAGTAAGTCCTTTTAGAACTTAAAGATTTATTCCAATTTTAATCTACTTGCCTATTCTGAGTCCTGTTTATTCAAGTGCAGATCTCTTTCAACATAATGATAAATAATGGCATATCAGACTTCAAATGTTATTATTCTGAGTATAGGGATCACATAAAACATTTACTTAATGATGGGGAAGCCAGCATCAAATCCATAATTAGTGTGATTGATGAAAGAGTCAGGATTTGTGATCAGAGCGGCAAATCAAATTTGACCCCACAGAGTGAGGCAGAACCAGAAGATCATGAATGTCGAGATGTGCATATTAACCCTCAAGCTATACCTGTCTCAGAATCTGAGGTTTGAAGCCTTGTGCCAATGCTGACCCCTTTTCCTTTTACTGTTCAAATCTTTACTGTGGCTTGCTTACAGCATGAGGATGCTGAATGTGGCACTTCATCTATTGTACTAAGTAATTAATTGCTGGAAATATATTATAAGTAGATATTTTTGCTGAGAACTTGTCTTCCAGTATTTTGTGCTGTGATCAATATGTTTATAGCCTTTTAAACTTCAGATCTTGCTTGTTTCACCATTTTGTTGACCCTTGTATTATGCAGCCTGTAGAATTCACATAATTCTTTCATCATCTTTTACAGAGTAATGAACCTAATGTGCTGAACATAGAACACGGTGGAAAAGGTGATGCCTCTGAAGCTCTAGCCCAGGCATTGCAAGAAAAGGTTTTCACATCATCAATATTCTTTTTGTTTTTTGGGTGTGGTCTTGTAATTAGTTTACTCCTTTGCTCATATTTTCTTTACCCATTGTAGTACATATTGTTCATATTTTTAGTTATTTCACAACTTATGCATTACCATACAACATTTTTCAGGTGGATGCATTATTACTCTTATCACAGCAGGAGGAGAGACATTTACTGGAGAGAAATGTGCATTTAACTCTTCAAAAGAAAGTTGAAGAACTTAAGAGGAACTTGCTGCAGGTAAATTTCTAAGGCATCCTGGCTTCAGACACCTAAGCAATGGCATGCTTGTAGCATGATGTTGGTAGAATTTAAAAGTTAGGCTATCGTGCTGTCCCAGTAAACAGAAAGTCAATCATGTTTTCTATATTTCAAAATTCAAATTCTGCCTCATTTTCTCTTTCCTTGTCATCTACTTTAACATTTTCTTTTCATTCCCTTATTAAATTTATGTTCGCCATACTCTCCAGGAAATGTAAAACTCAAATAATAAGGCTGTCTCTACTTTGTGGCTTAGTGCAATGCATTTTTGAAAAACCACTTGTACATGGATCCAGAGAGTTCAGTTATTTATTGACAGAAAATATGTTTTCCATTCTTAAGCTGCCTTTTTTTTTTTTTTTAACCAGGTTACCAATGAAAAGGTGAAAGCTCTCATGGAATTGGCCCAATTAAAGCAGGAGAATCATTTACTTAGGGGGTATGATTACTTTTCCCTTGAAGACTCCTATTCTAATTTTCTCCCCTACTTTTTCTAAACTGTATTTGGGTTGCTATATGACTGTCTATTCATGTTGTCGTGAATTTAGCGTCTATTGTTTTAATGAGTGTGTGTGTTTGTGACAATGTTTTATGTCTAACGGGTATTGATTTTCTTGACAAGATCACCAAATGCTAGTATTTCTTTTTCTCTATTAAATTGGTAGAATCCCATGCGGAGGTCTGTTTCCTCTATTGCAATTAGAAGACATCTCAATTTCTCCTGCTTTCCCAAGGAATCAATGTAAAAGGCGTGCAGTAAGACTGCTGGAAAGCATTAATTTCTCTTCCTATAGTAATGCTTAGGAGCGATTTATTCGTTTTGTAACAATTAGTTTCTTAATCATTTGCCAGCTGTAAACTCATTTTAAACTCTCTTCTTATTTGTTTCTATTGCTGGCTGAAATGTTTCTCCACCCATCGTGTTACATTGTTTTACTGATTAAAAGTAATGACGTGCAGGAAACTTGGTCCCCAGACTAAAGAAGAAAAATCTGTGGTTGATAGTGGAGAAAGAAGGTTAGTTACTCATCAACAAGACGGAAGATTAAGAAACTTACTGAAGAGAACATACTTGAAACGATGGATTAATCCACTAGATGCAACCGAAACGAAGTTGACAGTGATCCCAATGGTGAAGGGAAATTTTTGCACGGGAGACCCAGCAGCATGGACCTTGCAAGGTGCGTGCTAACTATTAGTCTTTGGTGCTTTCCTTTATCGCATCATTAGATGATTGTGGATGGGAAATTTATGCAGCTGTCATATCAACTTGACTCGTTTGAAGAAGCCACCATGAGAAATGACTCTTCTTCTCATCCTTCTATTTACTTGCATAGTTTTGCTTTGTTATTTGTCTCTTGTTTTCCCCCTTCAGAATGAAGATTGAAGTCGCTACTCTTAAGGAAAGCTTAGAAAGCATGGATCATCTGACTTCTTCATTTCACAGACTTCGTCTCTCACTTTTAAAGGTATCACATATGGAGTAAAAGCAGCAATTTTTTTCTTAAGGTAGCTGGGGGATGCTGCCTCATGATGGCCTAGGTGCTTATTTCTAGAGTAATGACATTGATCTCATTGAGGATAACTTACCTTTTGTGAATGCTTGATGTTTCCTTCATATTATTGTAGCAAGAGCTAAACTTAGTGTTGAACTTGCCTACTAGCATAGAATCTTGTCTTTATTTTTGCAATTTGAAAGCTGATACTTTAACATTGGTTGCTTTGATATGGTTTCTAGGCCAAAGATTCGCTGACTTCAGGAGGTACAAAATCTGGTGTTTCTGAGACCCTTGACAACGTGATCAATGAGGCCAAACTTTTGAAGACTGCTCTTGGCAGCTCCCTACCAGTCAGTTGGTCAGCCGGGGAGGATGTTGGCATCAGTGGAGATAGTGCAGGGGACATAAACCAGGACTGCAGTGATGAGAAGGTAGATACTGTTTCTGCTGCTGGGTTTGAGATGATGGAACTTGCCATATTTGCAGCTCAAATGTTGAAGGACACCGCAATGTGTACCACTATGGTTCCTGACATAGAAGCTGTATGAACCCTGCTTTGTGTGATTGTTGTTTCTGGCATTCCTTTCAACAGTATAGATTGATGGCCCTGTAAGGCACTGCTCTGATGAAGGGTGGATGATGTAGAATTTATAGGTAGGAGGGTAAGAATTTTGGGGAATTTGTTTCCGAAGGGAGAAAATTAAAAATTGTGCTGGACAATCGTAGTGCTATCGTTTCATGCTTGTACGAATTTATTTATTATGTGCGTCTTTCATTGTACATGCAATGTACAGTTTGGTTGATTTGAATGAGTTTGTTATCATTGTAGCTCAAAATCTCAAGATTGACTATAGGTTGATTTGAATGAGTCAGTTATCATTTTGGCTCAAAATCTCAGGATTGATGAGTACTTTTACTATAGTCTGGGGGGTATTTCAAAAATAAATGGGGTTTTTATTTTGAATCAATTTGCTGGAAGTAAAAAATCATATAAACGATATCAAAAAAAAAAAATCATATAAACTAATTCAGTTATGAGAAATTGATATCCATTTCCGCCGTAGAGATTGACATACGGGTTCTGTTTTACAACAATTTCTCTTAATCTTTTCTTGGGTGAATTTCTCTTCACCCTCCTTTGTTGGATGGGATGGTACTATGTATAGCGGTCTATCTTTTAGCAGGAAAAGTTATTGACAAGATAAAATACAACGAAAACGGAGAGCGCAGTCTCCTGAAAAAAAAGTATACAATTTTCGGTTCAGAGGAACTTTACAATTCCATTTTAAATCCACATGGCTATCCCCTAAAACCCCAATTAGTTAAGATCCTCACGAAGGACATCAAAAATTCTTTTCCATGAACCCCACATTAGACACATTTTCTTTCAAACTCAATAAAAGCTAAAGTAGATTTGCTGGACATGCTCAGATATGCCAAATCACCTTATAATGCAAATCAAATGTTCGCCTCATCAAAAACCACCATGTGAAGCATAATCACACAAACATCTTGGGGATATTGTAGTGGATTGGACCTCTCAGTTTGAAACACATCATTTGTGTTAGTTCAATTCAATAACCACAATCCACACAAAAGCCTTCACCTTCAAAGGAGCCTTACAAAAAGATTTTGTCAAGTTATATTGTGTATTCCAAGGCAAAATTTGAGAGAAGGATGGACCTACAGATAACTTTCCTGGGTTCTTGCATGATGAGTAGCAGCAATCCCAAACATGGCATCTAAACCAATCCGGATACTTTTCCCTCTAAAAAATGGCTGTACATAATAAACTCAGAGAGAATAAATGTCAAGAGAATATAGGCCATATATAGTCACTCTTTTATGTCTTCCTCTTTGTGTGTGTGTGAACATAAATGTAGAGGATTTAGCTTAAAGCCAATCCATTTTGTTGGACAGCATACTTTCTCTTAATCATTCTGTCATCGAGTTCATGTCCAAGGGAAACCACCCCACTAATGATCTCTTGTTTAACTTCGTCCTACATTTTAAAGTATTTCCTAAACCATAGACATCAACTCATTTCGAGCTAGGGAACAAGGATTAGATCCTCATGACTTAACAGACTTGCCATTCCTTCCCTTTTCACCTGCACATGAGTTGAGTGAGGAATTTGACTCCTTTCTAGATTTCTTTTTCTTCTTCTCAAAAGTCCTGTATGTCACTTTTATTTTCATCTCCCTTCCATTTGTATCTAACAGCTGAAAGTTCAGTTTTTCAAGCACATTCTGTGGGTCTCGATTCTTCCCCTCGCTCTCTGAATGACTCATCGGAATAACATCCCCTGCAAGCTGATCCACGTCAGATTCAGAAACAAACCCGCGAGAAGATGAACAAGAAGCATTTTCATGCCATGTTGGGGAAGAATCCCTCGAGACCAACGAAGTTTCTGTTTCACATAACGAGGTACAGTCATCATTGCAACCTTGTTCTCCATCAAACAGTTGTGCCTCTCCTACACGTTCATCGTTTTCCTGTTCAATCAGCACAGTTCTTCTGAGCATATCAATGTTAGAACACAAGAAAAATCATCATCAAAGTACAACTCTTTTGAGTTATCTAATTAGAAATCGACTGAGACTGTTTTGCATATAGCAAGCAGGTGAATGAAGCCTTAGCTTCACTTATCAGAACACACTCTAATACTCCCATTTAGGGTTGCTTATTCTTATATATATATATATATATATATTCGTCTGTGATTCAGTTAATACACAAGTCACCTTTCAGATTAAGGCTGATAAATTGATTTATATCTGCCTTGAGAAACTTGATTATCACAACCTGCGTAAATGTTGCATGATTTTTTTCTTTATTATAGCATATATAGTTTATAGTTTATTATTATTGGTTTTTTCCTTTGTCAAGTACAAAGAAAATACAAGACGTAGAGAGTGAGAAAAGGGGCGAAGGAGATATGATCATGAAACTCTAAATCCTAAAACCCTCAAATGCAGTGCCATGTGAGCTATATATAAGCAAGCTCATTGACATTGGAAACAGACAGTGAAGAAGGAAAGGCAAGAGATGGTAATTAATAAGGAGAGAAAAAAAAAAGGAAAAAGTATTGAATCGAACAAGCACGAGACGATTACAAACGTTGATAGAACAGATCCATGAGGGAGGGAGAGAAAGATATAGACACAATAATATTCCGATTAGGGTTTAAGCACCGACTTTCAAGGAAGGGTTGCCGGCACGGTCGCCGTCAAGCTGACTGTAATTGCCTTTTTCTTTGAAAAGTTGGATGTGATGGTGTTTGCAGTATAGCTTTCCCTCATGCGAGATGAAATTGGCTGACGTTATGGTGCAACCTCCATGGCTGCACTTGAAGCATCCTTTGTGATATGGAGTCCCATTCACTGTTACCTGAAATCAATTTGCATTCCCATCATTATATAATCTACAGAAAATTCACAATAAATTACGAATAGCACAACTCATTTTTACATGAGAGTGAGGAAGAGACTCCTTTACATGTATACATACGTGGCTATGTAGTCAGCTTCAAATATTGTCATACAAACTTGAACTCAAAACATATGCTTACACAGTACTAACTCATTTTACTAGAACTAACAACTGTCGATAGATATTCATTTTCCCCCCCTTATTGTCCCCTTAATGAATAATACAAATCAATCTAAGTTTGACACATTAACTTTGTATCAGCTTTTCAAATTTTTCAACTATACATACGTACATAATATATATATATATATATGTTGTTCAAATTTTATTCGTAATGTTTATACGGAAATACTCTTCAATATAATGTAAATGAAGGTTATAACTAAAAAAATCAAGTTACAATGATTTTGGGTGGACTAAGTAATAATCTTTTTATAATTTTAAGTCTTCTACATCTCACTGGCTGCAAACAAAATACAAATTCAAATATATATTTTATTTACTCACTTGACAAGAGATTAATATATATAAACAATCAAACATACAATTTAGATTGAAGAGAAATTCAACAATTTAATCCGTGACATAATTTTTTAGTGAACTAGTTTTAATGTGATTCCCAATTAAATCATTAAACTTGTTCAACTTCAGTCTTGAAAAATTGTGTGTACAAGTTAATTGTGAAATCATTCAAAGATACAAGTCCAAAAGACTACCGTACGTACGTGTAGTTAATTTTTGAGAACTAATAACCTCATAACGCAAATTTTCAAATTAATTAAGATTGAATTGATCATGATCAATGTAACAAGTCAATAAGCAAATTCTTCATTTTAATATTTCGATATCTTATTAATGAAGCTGCATGTGATCAAAGTAAGTGGGATTTTTGGCTGTTTAAAACTAGAAATGCAGAGAATGAGCGAAAGGGAAAAGAAAAAAGAAAAAATTTGAAGGAATTGTGTTGTAAGTTAAGTGTATACCCTCTCAGTGGGATAAACTGTCTTCTGGCAACCTGCACATTTGTCTTTGGTGCCCAAGAACACATTTGAGAGAATCTTTGCATTCTGTCACTTGCATGTTATGAGTTAGCAAATCATAACATAATTAATTAGGAAAAATTAATTAATGTGACTATATTAATTAAAATGAATGAATGAATGAAGAAAGAAAGAAAGAGTCACTGCCTCTACTCGAAAGATTCCACTAACCTCATTCTCAGTTTGTACTTTTTCATGTTTCAGAATCTTGGGTGTTCCTGGAAATAGATATAAAAAATAATAAGTGTTAATTAGTGTGGGAATATATATACATAATTATGTATAAGTGAGAAGTAATGTAATGTAATTAAAAAAAATAAAAAGAAATTAAAGACCTTCAAAGCTCTTGTCGAGGCTACCAGTTCGCTTGTAGAGTTGATCATAATGGGGTCTGCAATACAGCACCCCCTCAAATGAACAGTAGTTGCTTAGCTGCGTTCTCAAAACAAACACCTTCGTCACCATCATTTCAATTTCTTCTTTTTCTTCTTCTTCTTCTTCTTCTTTCCAAAAAACCCAAATACATTATTTTCAATTTTTTTTTTGGGGGGTCATTATCTTTTTAATCGTGATATCATGGGAGTAGTTCATTGTTAGATACATTCGAAGTATAATATACAAATCCTTTTTTTTTTTATATCTAAAAGTAATATCACGCAAGTTGTTGTCCAAAATGATGATACAATTGCTTTATTTTTGTTAAAATTAGTATTGGGTTTTTGCATGAAAAATATAAAAAATGAATTCCACATATACAACTCTAATAATAATATGCTTGTTAAATAGAGTATCACATGATTATTTGTAGAATTAGTGTACCTCTCATTTAATTTTAAAATCGTACACAATTATCTCCTTTAAAATAAGAATTAAATTATACAAATTTTTATTACGTTTCATTAATTGAAATGAAATAGACATAAAATTTACATAGAGTTTTGTAAGTAGAAGAAAAGACAATTTTTAATGAAAAAAATAGTGTCATTTATTTTTCTTTTTTTCCTCTTAAAAAAGTGTTTGAAATCACAAGCATGATTAAATCTACAAGTCTTCATTTGCAAATATATATATATATATATATTAAATTATAAAGTCATTGATAATTTATTTATTTATTTTTATTTTTTCCAAGACAAGTGTACCCAATTCACGTGTAATTTATTTGATATAATTACTTAAATAATAATATATTTAAAAATTAATCATTGTTAAAAAAATCATTTTTTATGTGATGGAGAAAATGTTATTTTATATTACCTTGAGGGTATTACGGCAATGGTGGCATCGGAAGCAAGCCTTATGGTAAACACGGCCGTCGGCGGTTAACCTATCGACGGGATAGGCGGTTTTGTCGCAGACCGTGCACTTCTGTGTGGTTCCTACGAAACTGGCCATGGCTTCTTATCCTGACTCAGAAGCCTCGATCCTTGTTGTTCAACACAGAAAGAGACAGAGAGAGATTTGGAAACGAGTTCTTTCTCTTCTCTTTCCCTTTCCTTCCCCTTTTTCGTCAAATTGTGGAATTATGGGAACGATTCCGACTTGTTATTATAAGCAGAAAAACCAGAGGACGAGAGAAAAAACAGCCTAATGGAACATTAATGGAGGGCGGGCAGTGAATTCCGAATGAGGGTCAAGAGATTTATTTATACATAGGTGATCGTAAGTTGATTTATATAGCAAATCTTCATGTCTATCTTCAAGCAATCCCATTTCATTCCACTCTTTTTACAAGTTGTAAATGATAAATAAATCATCTTGCTTCTGTCACTATTCGTCTTTACCAACAATTTTAGCTGGTTAGACTAAAAATACATTTTCTTAAAAAAAATTATTTCTTCAAAACCGCATATGTCGTGTGGAGGCTAACCCGATAAAGCAACCTATCAAGTTCAGCTTAGTGGTGAAATTTGCATCTGGAATTCTATAGATTTTTTTTTTCTTTGCCGGACGTGCAAGCCTCGCATGTAGAGTACAATTTGTATCTCAACTTCGATTTTCATTTTTCTCAGGTTTCTTCAGCATTCTCTATTCAACTTTCAAATTCTCAGCCACCGCAGTTCAGCCTTCCTCTACACTCAAGTGGCGCTTTCCCAAGCTTCCATCTCGTTCACTGGTAAGTGCGGCTTTCACTAAATTTATGACTTCCTCCGTTTTTCCCCCATGGTTTACCTATTGCAAGGGGGGCTCCGGAAATGAAACTTCTAATGCAGCAAAGGAACAAAATCTGAACTGAAATCCTCTTGCTTAGGTCGGGATTTTCGTTTCAAATTGTAGTTTTAAAACTCAACAATGTAAAGTAATATACTTCTCCAAATCGTCAGTACTAGCTTGAATTAAAAGGAGTAATATCAGATTATTCGATTGAAAACTGATCCAATGACGTTCTCAACTCTTCGAGGGGCAGCGCCACCAGCTTCCATTTGTTTCACTGGTGAGCGCTGCTTTCTTCAAATTTTTAACTTTATTTTCATTTTTTAGATTCGCCCCTGCACCCTTCTCCTTCTCAAAAGTTCTTCATCATTGGCATCTACCCACTGTTTCCTCGTCCGACATCAGCTCCCATTGCTTGGATTTCAGCTATTTCTTCCACTAGAAATTCAGCAGCCGTTCTCTCTTTTCTTTCAGTCCTTTAATCATTCAGCCAGGAGTTAGGAAGGGAGAGTGGCGAAGAGAAAAATTTTGGGCCATCCATCCCTGTTCTTCATAGCATGAACCGAAGAGGGAAACCTTGAACCATTTCTATCTTTAAAGAAAACCGTTGTTCGTTGAGTTCTTGATCCTGGGGGATGATATGTGGGTTGAGGGAGGACACTTTCCTTAACGAGTTTGCAAATGTGAATTAGGATTTGATTCTAAGCATGAATATGGCTTTGAGAAGGACTCAGGCTAGTGCTTATTGTATGGTATTGTCTAATATACACTCCAGGTGTTTGATAAATTGCTCTAAGGAGAGACTTATAATTGAAGTCCATGGCTATTGCATTATGATTGTCGCTTTTACTAGGTTTTGAATCATATGACATTCACTCTCTTTATTTTATTAACTTGTGAGTGTCAAAGTGGTGCCCTTCAGTCCTTATTATAATCTCAGGATGCTTTTTCTGTGAAGTGCTACTTTAGTGGTTAAATTATTTTTACAGTAAATTGAGTGCACTAAGGTGATGTTGTGATTGTCTGATGAAAACTAAGTTGATTTGACTATGATGAATGCTGTTATGTGTACAAATGATTTAAGCAATTGATTTTCACTAAAATAAACCTTACCTCCTTTGCTGTTAATATATGTGTCTACTTTTGTGTTTAATGAAGTGGGGAAATGCTAGACATGTGATAATCCTCGACCACTTGCATTAGATTGATAAGTCTTGGTCTTGGATGTTCTTACACGAAATGCTTGTGCTTGAGAATTCTCTTATGCCTTTGATCTTTTCATTCATTGCTTGTGAGTCAAATGAATCAAAGTTACTGGTGAGGATTGTCTGTGGCTCTCTGAGGTGAAAACGTCCTCTTATGTAATGTGTGATTTGAGGGGAAGGGGAGGGATTTTACTCCCCCTTCCCCTTGTTTGGCTTGGAAAAGTGTGGAGGAGAAGAGGGAAAAACTTTTCTAAGCCTCCCCTCTAAACTTATTACACAGTGACCAATATGCCCAAGCTTTTTTTAATAATCCAGAAATACCCTTCTTAACAAAACCTCAGTCCCTGTCAATCACATCAGACTGATTTTGTCTAGAGCTCCACTGCAGCACTGCCGACATCTGCAGCATCCGTCACTGCTGCCATTGTCCTCTGCTTTTCCACAACAGTTTTCACTGTTACCTCTGCTTCTCCGTGTGGTTTCTCTGCATTGGTGAGTACAGCTGCAGTTGTTGGAACGAGAAAGCATAAAGTTTTTGTACGGTGTTTGTTTAGGGTTCCAATACTTAACCTGTGAACTTGTTTCTTACGTTGCTATCCTTCAAGCTGTTTTAAGACTTTCAGGTTCTTAAGTTTTTGTGAGGAATTTTTAAGTTGTCTTTTATTTCTTTTATTTATTCATTTATTCTATTATTGATTATTTAAACCCTGAGATGTTATGTACTTGGTAAATGTTTGTGGTCTCAACTACAAGAGCTGAATCAAACTTCACACCCGTAGCATTTAAGTGTCTAGTCTTTCCTTTGGAAAGTCTCACATCGTTCCATGTGTGTTGTGTGTTCTGTTGACTGCATAGGTATATATTCTTGCAATCTAGTCATAGCTCCGCAAGTTCCACGGAAAACTGTCTATGACCTGCTGTGTTGTTAGTTGAATTGATAGCTGAGCTCTCCTAGCTGCTTAATGAGATTTTTGGCTGCTGCAGGAAATTTCAAGCTATCTTAGTGAATTGGTACTCTAATTAAAATGCTCTTCTCATCAGTCTTTCTGCATGAAAGAAAATATGCAACTAAAGATTTCGATAGGCTTGATCTGAGATTCAACTTGTACCCATGCTGACCACTTTTTTGGGGTTTGGGGTGCGAAGTTATTAATATCCAGTTGAAAATGGATCTGATGACATTGCAGTGGTGAAATTTGCATCTGAAGTCATAGTGCAAGTAGATTAGAACTTTCTATAGTGAAAACCAAGCATGTAGTAGTGGGTGGAACATATTTCATCGAGTTTCACGGATGTAAGGGTATGTATATTGTTTTGGATTTTATACTAGCATGGTCAAAAATTTATTCATCCTACCATAGCACTAATAACATCAAAAAATTTTGCTTTATGTGTTTATCTCTTTGAAGCTTCTTCTTTGTTATATAGAAAGATAAAGAATGAAACAATTATAGGGGCCAGGATACTTTGTATAAAAGGGTTTTTGTGGCTATAATAATTAATGGTTGGTTCAAATTGATGTTCCAAGAGAAGTTCTCTTATTATTATGGCTTTGAATCTTTGAGGACCTTCATTCTTTTTTAATTTTGGAGTGAGTAGACTTGATGATTATACACCAATGCTGTTGTTAAATGATTGATGGACGTGCTGAGTTACTCTGATATATAAACTCTTCTCAATACTTCAAATTAATTATGTCATGATCAACAGAGGGATGAGAATTTTGCGAAGTCTCGAGGTCTGGAAACTGGGAATTGTCAACTATTCGGATGCATTAAAACTGCAAGAAAAGCTGGCCTTGGATCGTAAATCTCATAGGATTTGTGATACTCTTCTGTCCTTGCAACATCCACCTACATATACTGTTGGCAAACGACGAACAGATCACAATTTATTAATTCCACAGTCTGAACTTGAACAAATAGGAGCTGAGCTTCATTACACACAAAGAGGAGGAGACATTACATTTCATGGTCCGCGCCAAGCCATTCTATATCCTGTTATGTCACTTCGTGAACTCAGACTCGGCGCTCGAAGTTACGTGGAGAAACTCGAGTTAACTATGATTGAACTAGCAGCTCTGTATGGTGTAAAAGCTCGCCCTGGACAAGCTGGCGAGACAGGAGTATGGGTTGAGGAAAGGAAGATAGGTGCAATTGGTGTTCGGATTTCAAGTGGAATCACTTCTCATGGGCTGGCATTTAATATCGATCCTGATCTGACCTACTTTAAGCACATAGTTCCCTGTGGAATTATAGATAAAGAGGTCACATCTTTGAGAAGAGAGACAGGTCTTGTACTTCCTGCTGAAGAGATAATTCAGGAGCAACTGGTTTCTTGTTTTGCAAGGAATTTTGGTTATAGTAGTCTTGTCTGGAAGGAGGGTATTCCAACATTTTGTCATAAAGATGAAACAAAATGAGATGCGGTTAATTTGTGAATTCAGGGCTGTATAACCTATAATTCTGTCTCTCTTTAATTATTTGGAAAATCTTCTACTAATAGAAGTCTTTGCCTATTTGGCTATTTTGCATATGCTTACGCGCGCTCGCTAGATTGTAAAAATTATTTTACATATAATAAATGGGAAAACAAACAGAGAGATGAGAGGGGGACGTGACCTCCTGTATCTGTATAGGACAAGATTTAAAGGGACCATAGTAAGTTATACAACTTTCGCTTTTTCTTGTATCATTTTGTTTTCAGATCCTAATCCATCAAGTTGAAGCAAAGTTGTCCAAAGTTTGTGTAACTCCTCGAACTCGAAAATATAAAAAGAAAAAGGGTTGGAATATTCTTCGAAAGAGTAATAAAATCATGTTTATTCTTGCAGAGACAGGCCATGTGTTTTTCTCAGTAGAAAACAATATTCAATTCCCTGTAGCCGCATGCAATTTTGATTTGAATTTATTTCGAAGGCAGTAAAAACCTTCGAAGAACAGCCTCCGTTTTTTGAAAAGAAGCCTTCAGAATCCATTTGATCATACTCTCTATTCACTATGATTATCTTATGCTTCATAGAATTCTATCACATACCGCGTAAGGTCACATGTTCTAATGGAGCAGTGCTACTATTTTAAGAAAATTGTCTTCCCTACCTTCCCGAAACAGTCGGTGATGTGGTTTTGAGCCATATTTTACAATTTGCTTGAATTAAGGATATGAACAAAGCGATTGCTGCTTGGGAAAATGAGTACTTCAAGCATCTGAAAAACAATTTACCCAACAAAATGATCAAATTAGTACAATCATAAACTTAAGGGGGGGAAAATCTTCTATCGTATGACTGTCACATAAAACATGTGGCATGTTTTATCAACAGACTGTAGAAATGTCAGAAAAGTACAGAATTCAAAACTAAGGATCACATGACAATCTCAATTCCACGTTCAACCCAACAAAACGACAAAGAAAATGTGCCCTGTGGAATAATCCATCTATGGAAGGTACAGATTGTTCCTTCCTTTTCCCTAAATCTGAACCTTTCACACTACAAGTATCTGACTATAACTGTAGGCACAGTATTTTGATACTTGATTCAATCTCAAAACCTTTCTATATATCCACAAGAAACATTAACCTCCAAAAGATACTCCATCTTTTAGATATCTGCCTAGTGGAAGTGTTCTCATTGAATAGATCAAAATCCTGATGCCTTGACTATCTGCTCCACTTTTAGTTTAAGCCAATCTGCCATGGATACCACTCAACGAGTGGCTTTCTTTATATTGATTCTCATACATATCATTAGGTGTTCTAAAGTTCCAGCAAGCTGTGAGGCTGAAAGAAGCGAGCTGATGGACCAGTATTCTCCAAGAAAGTTGTTAGCTTATTCCTCCTCATTCTCTCCGAGTATATATAGTTTAGAAACACCCCATGAAGCTTCATGGAGATCTGTGGACACAAGTTTAAGGAAGGCACCTCCAACCAATTCAAATCCTATCCACAACAAGCGACCTTGAAGTGTATGTGCTTGGAGAACACAATTGTCATGAGCAACAAACTGTTGGATCGATGGGAAACCTGGGATTCCGAGCAGGATCACATTTCTCACTTAGCTGCTGTATTTTTTTTTTTTTTCATGGACCAAAAAAATCTCGGTTGATATACTAGGGGCTATTAGGCAGGAATGCCTGTCTACAACATCATCAAAGAAATTGAACCAGTGGAATTGCTTTGTTTCATGAAGATCAGTGGCTTCTTGCTTGTAGATTTCTATCGAAAAGATTATGGTACTTTTAGTTGACCATGGCTAAATAGGCATGTTTTTTTCCTTCATGGTAATGTGAATGTCCAGTTTGAAAGAAGACAAGATTTGCTTTAAGAAGTTTAAAAGGGACTTGCCCCATATTCTACCCCATTTTTCTAAGGAACTTTCTCTGTACAATTTTGATCCTGTAATTAGCCTATCACCAATGAACTAGACTGAATACTCACTCATTAAAACTGCTGCACTTGAGGTGGTATGTGGGACAATTTGTAAATGTTCAGATCTGTCTGGCTCGGAGATTTACGAGGGAATTGTTGGTGACTTGATTTTTAGATTTGGGCATTGTTAAAATTTGGAGCTTTGATTAAAAAAAAAAAAACCACCTAACTACCCTGTATGCTTAACTGGGACAAAGAAATGGGTAATAATGGCAATTTGGAATTGTCATCTAGCATAAACATGAAGGTTAGGCTTGGATGGACTGATCGGAGAGACCTATCACCTGCACACCCATTTATGGTTCGTATTAGACTATTAGTAGTTTAGGACTACTAGCTAGACCGTCTTGCGCTATTTTATCTCCTCGTCTGAATGGAAAAAAAAAATGAGATTGGATCTAAATGTGCTTTTCACTTCTTAAGAGAGTTCAAGTTTAGGTGTAGGTATGTTACTCTGCTGTTCCAAACATACTATTAACAGATAGTATGGGTAGTACTGCATAGGAAGCTTCCTGACAATTGCATTATACTACCTGGCTTCTTCATGTGTTAGTATCATAGGTACTTTTTTACATTCACAGCATTGATGTTATAAAGGTGCCTAGCCTGCCAATTTCTCTGTCAGACCTTGAGAGCAAAGCAAACCCACTAATTGGTGAAAGCAATTTATTCAAATGGCTAGGTTCAATTCATACGCTTCCACAGAATCATGTCGCAAAGCAAGAGAATAATTGTCTCTCATATGAGGATACCCACATTTATGAAATTAAATATTGTTAAACTTGTTGAGAGGTGTATCCATATTTAGTGTCCGACCGTGCCTTAAATAAAATTGTTTCCAACGGGAGGACACATGAGCAAAAATAAAAAATAAAAATATTGCCAAAATTATTAATGAGGGATGATAAAACTTTTGGTCCTACAAATTTTCTTTAATTGTGAATTTAATCATTGAAATTTAATCTTTACCAACCTTATCTCTAAAGTTTCATAATCATACATAATTTACTCTTATGGTATTATTTTCCCATTAGACCATAAGGACTAATTGTATATGGTAATGAAGCTTGATCAATGAAGATTAAATTTCAAGCACCAAATTCATAATTAAGACAAATGTAAGGGATTAAAAGTTTCATTATCTCTACTAATAAATTTTATACATTTTAGAATACACATATATATTTTCTACAAAATATCATCTAAAGTATTTGACTACTACACATGTGAAGAATTTGAAATTTGTCTTAAAGAATATATCATCTAAAGTATTTGACTACTAATTGTGTATGGTTTTGGAATTTTCTTGAAATCATGATATGAATCCTGCATTGATAGAGATGAGAGACAGGCAGAATCAAACACTCCAACAATATTTGATTACTTTAAAAAAAAAAAGATGAGATTTATACATTTTTTAAGCATACCTAATGAAGGTGTTGCCAAATTTTAATATGGTTTTAATGCCCTAATTATATATAGGGAATAAATTATTGACCAACATGATGGCCACCAACATATTATACACAGTCGCAGGACCCAAACCCCCCTCTACAGTGACAGCTAAGGAATCCTTGTTGCAAAAATTAAATAAAATATAAAATTAATAGAAATATGAATACTATGGGTTGAATTTTTTTAGCTAAAGTGTGCATACGGGGCTATTATTCTCTCCCTAAAAGGCTAACTATTAGGACATGCAGCGCACCTACTTATATAGTCAGGACCCTCTCCACCGATGTGGGACCTGACAACTTTCCTGACCAATCCGTGATGCCTCGATCACGGAACTCGGGTCTGGCTCTGATACCATTTTATCAAGAGGCCATTACTTTCTCCCCAAAAGGCTAACCTATTTGGGCGTGCAGCGCACCTATTTATATAGTCAGGACCCTCTCCAAGTCCCTTCGATGTGGGACCTGATAATAGGGTACTCTGATTTTATATAAAATGTATATTTTAATTTATTTTTTTTTTCACGCACACCACGGCCTGCTAAATTAAGTATCATTGTAGATATTGATTGGGAACAAAATCAAAGAGAATCAATCTCTTTTCGTTCATTGTCCAGATCGGACCCTCCAAAAGTAAAAATTTATTCTTAAAATGATTTACAAATGAATTAAAAAGATGAAAGAAAAGTATTGTTTCCGGGAATATTCATCAGCGGACGTTTTAGTTTGGATCACACCCAAATTTGATATTCCATTTTTGGCGATTCGATTCTTCTTCATCTGTAACTCAGCGGCTCTGCATCTCAACAAGCGGCAAGCTCTTAATTTCAAGGCAAATGAGTTTTCCAAGCTTCGCATATGTTATGGATTTGTTTAAAGTGGTTAAAGATGGAATTTGGTTCGGCGTTTCAACGATTTGGGAGCTTCAAGAAATGCGCTTCTCCAGAATCATGCTAGACTTGAAATGTATGGTAGTCGATGTTATTGCCTCTGTTCTGTCTTGTATTCTAGCACTCAGAATAAGAAGGTGAACCCGCTAAGAAAATAATCAGCTTCTGCTTCTGCTGATTTCCCTCATTTTCTTCGTTTTTCCTGTTGAGTTCAAACTTAGAGATGTGAAATCTTGAGGTTTTGCATCATTGTGTTTTAGGCTCTAATCTGGCCATTCATATGTAGCTTCAAACTCTCAGAAATGATCTTCTTTTTTGGTCATGCAGTCTGAAACTGATTCCGTAAGCGTACATTTACTAATCTCTTGAAAACAACACCGTTGATTAGATTTACTAGTTAGTATTTCTTACGGTATATTATTTATGAAAATTTATTTTATTTATATTTAAAAAATATTTGTATACATTAAATTTTATTAAGATATTCATTAGTTACTATTAAATTTATTTATATATTACAAACTCTTTGTATTAATAAGACACGTCACTTCTTTCAATCTCCTTTATTTCTCTTTTGATTTTTTTCATTGTATTAGAACCTGGTTAATTAAGTTTTTATAATTTCTCTAGGCTAGCGCTTTGTTTTGTGTAGAAAAGTTCAAGCCCTCACTCTTTATTTTGCTTTTATGATGGTTTAATTTGAGATTTTACCCAATAATTTATACTTCCAAGAATCATTCTTAAGTTTGCTAGAGATTGAGAAAAGCTAGTATGTTCAAGTTGTACCTTACTTCTTCAGTCCCTGGTTTTCCATCTAGTGATCCAAGAATCACTCCAAAATTTTGGTTAGATTCTTTAATCCAATATAAGTACTTATAAAACTCAAGAGTATTTTGAGTTTGAGAAGGTGTTAGGATATAACAATTCTATACAAAATAAATATTCATAAATAATATATCCTAATACTACTTATAATCATGGGAGTTCAAAAATCTTTTTTCACGAATTGAGAGGTATAATTAATTTAATAGCCAGATGTATAGTCTTGTGCTAAGAATGAATTCTTGGGCAATTAAAAATGTCTCATCACATTATTTTGGGAAGATATTTTCTATTGTTATCGAGGACCTTATTTCTTATATTTAAAAAAAATAAAAAAACATCATCACATTTTTTAAATCATTTCTTCTTCTTCTTCTTTTTATAATATTTTTAATCCTTTCTTCTACCCAAATAAAGATACAATACTTTGCCCAATATGTGAGTTTCTCAACCCTTATTTGCTTTTTTTTCCCCCTTGATATAAGTCTTTAACTGAGTTAAACTTGAATATTATCGGTTTAATTAGGAATAACTTTTTTGAAGATTTTTTTCTTTTCATTCATTCAAAACTTAAAATCTTAATTTATATTTAAACTAGTCTTTACTTTCATCTTACTGTACTATTGCCACTTCAGCTAGGCTCAAATAATTTATATTTTCTTCATTTTAAACTATGTTTATTAATTTCTTCAAAATTAAGTAAAACATTTAAAATTAAATAGTAAGAAAATTTGAAACAATAGAAATAAAAATAATGCGTGTGTAACATTACACCTAATATAAATCATACTATTTATGTAGTTTATAAATAGTACTCTCTCTAATTTTTATTACAAGACACCTCTAATTATCTTATCATAATTAATGAAAGTGGTCGGGTTATTAGCTTCATCTGAAAATAAAATAAAGGTCTTATTTTGCCTCTATTTAAATGAAAAGAATTAAAATTACATTACGTTATCTTTTATAGTTAGTGAAATTAAATAGAAATAATATTTAAGAAATATAATTAATATCCTAAGTGCAGGACAAAGAATCATAAAAATTATAGAATTGATACATATAAATTCACATAGATGCCTCGGTAGCATCACTGCATCAGTATGCAACAAGTCACGTTTGCTTACATGGAACGCAATTGTTACGTTTGACAAAAATGCAATTGTTATTAAGAGAATTAAGTAACATTTATATATAATATAAAAATTTTAACTAGCTACGTGATCATATTTCTCATAAACCCTTAATAATTAATAATCCCTATCAATTTCTTAAATTCCGCATGAGTCTTATTTTTAACGAAATGCTGGCTTCATACATGATATACTTAAAAGCATTTTTTGGTGAAAAAATAAATAAATCTATTATTTTATTATATAAATGAATTGAATACATTTATGCTAAACAAATAATAAATTCATAATACATTGTACAAACTTACATGATCAAACTCAATAAATAGAGTCATTTCATTTTATAACGGATACAATCATACAAGGTCCCAGATATTCACATAAAGGATTTGGCCAAGTCTATATACACTGCCAGAAGGCTCCTTTCAAAACAAATTACATTGACTTCTCGTGAAATTTGACTAAACTACATTTGACACCTCTTCATTGACGCACAAAAAATCATTGATTAAAAAGAATGAAGGGGCAATTTTTGCAATAATATATCAACAAGTCTGAGCATTGAGCAAATTCTTGAAGGTATCAAGAGTAATATAACCAAACATTGAGAGAAATCAGAGTAATTTGCCAGTAAACTTGTTACTTCATCATTGAGGCAGAAGACGCAGAATATGGTGCTAAAGCAAAGCAGAGAGAGTTCAGAAGATTTTAGTAGCAGAGAAAGAAGACGCCATTATTGGGCTTGTAGGTAACCTTTCTCTTCCAAATACAAGGCCACTTTTTCACCCATCTCAATAGGGGAAGAACACGGATCTCCACATTTTAGCACTATCTGATGAATAAAACACGCAAAAAATATCTTTTCAACAAGGATAGCTCTCATTCTAACAAGGAATCTTCAAAGATAAAATATTAAACTTCACTAGGTATTACCAATAAGCTTTCATTCAATGATACTACTCCCTTTGGTCCCCTTTATAAGAAACAATATTCATGGTCTTGTGAATTTATTAAAAATTTCTTTTTTTACCCTCGTTAAAGGAAACAGTTACCCTTGGTTTACTAAATACCAAGCCACCATGTCAAACAATCAATACGAACATTTTTGGAGAAAAAATAAATCTCATACATATTTATTGATGTCAGATGTACTCTTTGATCCGTGTAATTTAGTTATTTGTTTCTTCTAAAAAGGTCTGGGAGGAGTATTAAAGTTTCCTTTGGAAATGAAGATTGAATTCACGTACCAATTTGAGCCAAATTAACCCCAAAAACTTTTCCAGAAAGAGATTCACTAGGGATACCACAGTGATCTATTTAAGCTGTAAAAGATACCAGAGGTTCACTTTTCTCTTCTCTCTTTTTAATGTCTGTAATATCCTTATTAAAAGATTATCTAGCAACAATAGCCTTATTGACCTTTTCATTTCCTAGGGAAGTGCTTTGAGTAGGATTTAGTTCCAACATAGGCCTTTATGTCTTGATATGATCAAAAGCTGCTTTAGAAAGCTAGGCCAACCCAAGGGAGCTTTTTTCTTTTTAATGAATATATTGTTGTGTCTACATGTGCCATAAGTCCATTAACGATGTTGAGGGTTTAAACAGCATTCATACCTCAGAATTCAATGGGGCCTCGTACGGATCATCAATCCCAGTAAAGCCTGAAAATTTTTGCATCAGTATTAATGCGAGAATTCTAAACAAAAGCAGCAAAAGAAAATGCCTCTATAGTAAAAACTGGTGGGGACATTAAAAGGTTAGTATGGTGGAAAGATTGGTTTGAGCATCAGTTACTAGACTAGCATTGAAAGATACCTTTGATCTTTCCTGCTCGTGCAAGTTTATAAAGGCCCTTGGGATCTCTTTCTTCACATATTTGTAGTGGCACATCCATGAAAACCTGTCACATCTATGTTATGCAAGTAATGTAACAAATCATAGGCCAATTTTCTTTGAATTCATAAAACATATTAAAATTAATAACAAGTCAAGTAGTGACCTCGATAAAATCTCCAACTGGCAAAAGTGCACGGCATGCATCCCGATCTCTCCTGAAGGGAGAAATCAAGCTTGCAATGCAGATGACTCCAGCATCTGCAAATAGCTTTGCTACCTCACCTGGATGGAACAAGAAGCAAAAGAGAATTCATGTTTGCATAAGAAATCTTTCTTTAAGCCCATAATTCATTGAAAAACACACCTTGCCACACATGTACAGTCAACATTCATATGTGCAGTCAGGCACTCAACAATCAGGTAACTTGCCAATTGTTACAAAGTGATTCTGTGGCATCACCACAAGTAGCTAAACAATTAGATAGATATGACTCACCAACTCTCCTTATATTCTCTGCACGATCTTCAGCTTTAAAACTAAGGTCCTTATTCAAGCCATGCCTGAGATTATCTCCATCAAGAACGTAAGATAACTTCCCCTTCTGATGCAAAATTTGATTTAGAGCACAAGCCACAGTGCTCTTTCCTGTGAATTTTGAAACAAGTAAAGGTCAGACCCAACAAAGAACACAACTTGGGAGACTGGATGACATGGAAGAATAGGTTAGCATTTGCATGCTTAAGAAGTAAAGATAACAGAATCAATAAAAAAAAAATTATACACTGGAAAGTACAAATCAACAACTGTCTAATTCTTCTCACTGCTGGGCTGGCTAATCCTTGTTCTTTTCTTTCAGCCAGAAAACTTCCTTAGAACCTTCAATAACACAGTGCCAATGAATACATGGGCATAACAAAGCAATTTACATCAATACCAAAAGAAATCACAAAATTAAGGATGCAGACGAAAACGGAAAAATCTTTCACAATCTGAAGGAGGATGAGTTGCCTGCCAATAACAAAGTCAAGTGAAATGTTGCAACAGGAATTATAGCTAGGTTAAAGTCAACTAAATAATTGGTGTAAATTATTATTTTCATCTTCGAAACATGACTGACTTTTCAATTGGGTTCTTGCGAGTGTATATCTACCAATTTAGTCCTCCAATGATATTTCCCAAATCATTTTTCTCCCTTTGAAGCATAAAATTGAGAAGTCAGTCACCATGATTCTTACAAGTAGAGGAACAAAATCGATTGAAAAAAACTATAAGAGGAATAAATTGACAGGGTTATATATGAAGGGCCAAAAGATGTTAGTACGTGATTAGTGATCTTTCAGGGACAAAAGGAATAATTTAATGCACTCTCAACAAGTCAATAAAGGACACTTGTCAATTTGTCAGACAGAATGAGACTAACTTGGAATTATTTCAAACGAAGGTGAAATAGAAACAAAAATAAAAGAATAAAAATAACAGAATCAACAGACTACTGACCAGAACCACTAAGACCAGTGATCCATATTACACATCCCTTCTGATCAAGTAACTTCTGTCTATCGACTTTTTCAACCGAGCATTTGTGCCAGAGAATATTTGTTGAGTTTCCAAGAATAGATAATTGTTCGAGATGTCTCCCTGAAATTGAAAAACATATTAGAATGGCACAGATAGTGAGCTTAAACAGTCAAAGTTACTTTTACATATCCTTTTCGGTCAACATGTGCCAGAATCCTAAGGGCATGACTTTGTCAAGTCAAAACAAAACCATGCAAAAGTCAGTTCCTCAATTGAGTTCCTTTTGACTTTACACTTAAACCCACAAGCCAACGTTTACGTAGCAATGTGATTGCGAAGAAAACTGTATTCTTGAGCTAAAGTCTTGCCATGTTAACCAAAATTTTCACGCATCGAGTGAACAAGAAACAAATGACATAATAAAAATATTATAACTCTTTAAGCCACCCCCCAGCATTGTGACCTCCACAGTCAATTCTTCAATAATATGTATAAAATAACAAAAATACAAAATCTTCATAAACAGATCAAAGTCAAATTGAAAAATTACCCTTTTTACCGGCACTCCCATTCCTCATAATTTCGTTCAAATCCGCTGGGTTCTTGTCATCACCGTCGACACTCATCCCATTAACACTCGCGCTCTTCGACCCCTCTACGGCCTTGATTTGCAGCAAGTCTCTCGATCTCAACTTGACCACAGAATCGGCATTTTGAAAGCCCAAAAACCCTAGCTTCGGGGACAACGACGATGCTTCGAAGCGGAGCACCAGTGCCGCAGAACAACTTCTTAGGTGGGGTCTTCCTACAGTCGCAATCCCCATCGTGTCTAAAGCTTGAATAAGACCGTCGAAAGAATCCCCAAAAATACCAAACAGAGAAATGAAAAGGCAGGGAAATTTATATCATAAAGAAGAGGAAAAGGAGAAAATTTTGGGGATACAAGGACTGGAGAATATTGGAAAGAAAATGAAAGGTGGTGAGGGAATTAGAAGGGTGGAGGAAGGATTCGGGATAGCTGAATACTTCAACAAGACCATTGCTTTTTGAAGAACAGCGAAAAGCGTGGGTTAACTACAAAATGAGGTAGGCACGAGAAAGTGTGGTTGGTGGGTTGTATGGGGACCGCTCGAAAGCGACGTCGTTGCTTAATTGTGAACGATGAGTGTACTCCTGCAATTCTGCAGATACAAGCATATGCTTTTCTGTGAAATCGTGCGCGGGCACGAGGACGACGATTGGATCAAAAGAAAATAAAATAAATAATTAAATACATATTTCGTCTTGATCTTGGCTCGAAAGAGATGGCAATAATCGCACGTGTCTGGTTATCCGCTGAATTGAAGTGGTTGCCGTACAGCTAGATTTTACACCGCAAAAACAAAATAATAATAATAATTCCCCTTCGTTTAGAAAAATATTTTCGAAGTTTTGGAGTTGAGATTTTGTCGAATGCATGGAGATTACGCAAATCTTTGGTTCCTTTTAATTCTAAAATTAATTAATAGTAATACCCATCAAATAAGTAAAAATAAAAACTAAAAAAGTAACAATTTAAAAAAAATCACTCACACATACAAGAGATATAAATACAAAAAGGATATTGGCACCTAAGGCCCCATGTCAAAGATTTTTTTTTTTAAGTAAAAGTGGAATATCTTTAACTCAGATAATCAAAGAGTTTCAAAAATGTACAATGGGGAAACAAGAATAAAGGCACAGCAAATGGAAGACAACAATTACATCAGGGTGGGAAAAATAGCATAATGTCACGAGGTTATTATTTTTTCTTAAAAAAATTAACCCAATGGGACAAGCAATGCACTCACTTATATAGCAGAAATCCTTTTCAAGTTTCTCTGGTATAGGATGTAATAGCTCTGTGTCACAAGTGGCCCACCAAAGAGATCATTGACTAGACAAACTCGTGTTTGGCTTTGATAACATTTTGTTATAAAGTCATTATTCTCTTTTCAAAAGATTAACCTGAAAAGGTATGTAGTACATCGACTTATATAGTCAGAACCCTCCATAAATCCTTTCAACATGAGATGTAACAATAAGCTTTAGGGTCTGTTTGATTCGAGGGGAGGGAATGGGAGGTGAGGGGAGAGGAGGAAAGGGAGAGGGAGGGGAGGGGAGCTCCCCCCTAATTTGGAGGGGAGGCTTTGGAGGGGAAGGGAGGGAAAATTTTAAAATTTTTCCCTCCCCTCCTCCTAACCAAACAGGACCTCAGTGGTGTGATCAACTATTGCACAGGTCTGGTAAAGTACACCCTAGCCATGTCAAAGAAATTAGCATGTAAAGTATAATACATTTTAGCATGTAAAGTCTAATACATTTCGAATTTATTTTGTAGGCCAAAGATATGTCTTCTAGTGAAAATATTTATTTGACCCTCATTTGAAAAAATAACATCATGCGCATGCAATATATTGTGTTATTAATATATGGATATTGTCATGTTATATATGGACATTCTGTTGTTTGTACACCTAGGAAACTTGTGCATTATTATTCAACTAAACCACATAAACTATGTATAATGAATGGACATTGCATTATTAACATATAAATCTTGTCATGCTATACACAAACTGTTGTTCATACACCTAGAGAATTTGTATATTATTGTTCACCTAAACCACATGGATTATGTATAATAAATGACATTGTATTGCTAATGTACAGACTTTATCATATTATATATGGACATTCTATTGTACAAACACTTGAAAAAACTTGTACATTTCAAATGAAGAGCAAATGATTCTTTTTACCAAAAAACATTTTTGTATAAAAGACCTTTGAAACTATAGAATAAATTCATAATATATTGAGCCTTAAGTGTAAATTTCTTTGATTTTGAGGCCTCTGGTGCCATTCTCTCAATAGAAAAAAGGCAACACTTATATATTAAATCAAGATACATGGATTTTAATATATTAATAATATTAATAAAAAGAATTTGTTATAAATTAAATAATCTATAAAATATACACATACCTTGATTTACTTGGAAGGGAAATTTTCAATCAGGGCTCCTTAACCCAACTTGATTTAAATTAAAGCCTCTAAAATTATAAAATTTCACAACACATGTGGGGATTTGAAATAAAATTAAAGAACTGACTGAAATAATGTTATTATCCTTAACGAAATAAAGAACTAATGTATGAACAACTCTTGTGAAAAAAATGAATAATTGATGTATAAAAAATGAACAGCTGATTTTGGTGAAATGAGAGCTACAAGTTCATACCAATATTATACTGTTAATGAAAGTTGCAAATTCATTTTTCATACATTAATTATTTGTTTTCTCTCCACAAGCCATTCATGCGCCCCAGGGACTATATAATCGTGTCAATCAGCTCTTTAATTTCATTTCAATCCCCCATGTATATAGTGAAAATTCAAAATTTTAGAGGCTTTGGTTGAAATTAAATTAGGTCAAGGGGTCCTAAATGAAATTTTTCCTAATTGAAAATAACTACTTTAAATATATAAAGCTAACTATATACATTTTTTTGTGTAAAAAATTCTATAAAATTGTAAAATTAATATGAAGTCTTGAGTCCTCTATTGAAGGCGTGGATTTGCTATATTGAAATTGTATATTGGCATTGGATAGTTATGAACGCAGTTATTTAGTTAACAACTAAGTAATAATAATTGATTACTATGCATTAATAATTTAAAAACTCTAAGGAGTTTGTTTCATTATTGTTAGTGTTAGAGTGTACTCCCTCTGAATTTTCTCCTATATAAAAAAAAGTGCACTTCATCGTATTTATTATAAAATACCTCTAATTAATTTGTCAAATTTGAAGAGAAGTAATTAAGTTATTAACTTTGTATAAAAAATAAACTTCCAATTTTACTTATATTTAAAAGAATAAAATTAAATTTATAATACATTCTCTCCCTTAATTAATAAATTTAAATAAGAATAATATTAAAAAATAATTAATATCTCGTTAGTTATCTCATATCAATAATCATCATGCTCTTCCAAGAAATATCTTGTAATGAGGACACGAAAAATCTATAGGAGGTGGAAGCCAAATTTTTTGCTACAACAAGAAATAAAAGGACAGAAGAAGAAGCAATGTTTATAGGTTTGGTGTGGTTATGTTCGGTTTTTGAAAAAAACCAAATCAATGAGACCTTTTTAATTTTTTTTTTCTAATCAATTTGACTTAGTTTTTGAGTTGTTTGATTTAGTTTAGGTTTAGTTTAAGTTTAATTTTTTAGATATTTTTCATAATCCATATGTGCACATATTTACTAATATTTTTTCACTATTAATTATTATTTTCAAACAACAAAAATTCTTGAGGACAGAAGAATATTTTTTTTTGAACAATAAATTAGCACATTTAACTATTAAAAACTAACATATCATCTTTAAAATATTTGATTATAAATTTTAAAATGATTATAAAAAATAATTATAGACAACATTTAATCAATCATGATTGATTTTTTATTAGTTATTTGTAAATATTTGAACTTAGAAAGGAGAAAGATCTTAAATATATTTCTAAAGATATATAAAATAAATTTAATTCAGTTTAGTTCAAGCATCAAGAGATAAAAACAAGAACCAAATTGAACTAATCAATAAGGGCTGGGCTTAGAAAATTAATTAATTTTGGAGCAATTCCTAACGGTGTGCTCTACTTTAAGTGAACTTTTATGACACATTTTACCCTAATTTTTAACTTATAAAAGTGATGCATAAGTTATAACATCCTGAATTTTTAATCCTAGAATTAAGTTAGTTAATCAAGAATATCTTGGTAAGATTGAGTGTTGATTAATTCAATGATGGTTAGTGATGGTTAATAGACATTGTGAATTGTGGTTACAGCCTTTGGATCGGGTCTGAGGGTGAATTGGGCCATCTGGGCCTAAAACACAAGTCAGAATTAAGAGACCCAAATTATGTACCATTCGTTGTAGTTAATGAGGCTTTTCGCCGCAGTAAATGGTTGAAAATTTTAAAATCATCAGTTGATTTCACAAATTGCATAAGAGATAAAAAGAAAGGAATTAGAGAGAGCACAGAGGGGACAACATTGGTTTGCTAAGGCACAGAGTGTGGGGCATCTTAAGGGTGTTTCAAGCTTGGTTTTACTGAGGTATGATTTCTTCATGCTTCCTCCTTCCCTCTAGATGTTTTGATATTGATTTTTGTGTTGGGGGAGCAAGTTTTCGAACCTATAAGCTCAATATCTAAGCCCATTGATTATAATAGGACCAATGAGAGTTATTTTACTCATCTAAACCTAGTTTTAAGGATTTCACAAGGTTATAAGTTTGAGGCTAAGGTTTTAGATGAACCTTAGCTACTTTAAGGAGAAATTGGATTGTTGGGTGTTGAAATTATTAATATTTAAGCTAATAAGAACTAAATATGATTAATGGGAGTTAATAAATTTATTGATTGTAAATTTTAGCTTATGGCTGGAAAAATGGATTGTTAAAGTGTGAGTTTTAAGAGTTGGAAGTGAGAGTTTAATTGTTTTTAATGATGTTGGTCATTGATAACTGTAGATTATCATTGTCACGCGGCTCGTAGCAAGCTCAGAAAGCAAGTTGTATCAAGGTACTTTTTGAGGTCTTAAAGATTTGAGGCAGCTGAAAGACTTGTGCGTGCGTGCGTGTGTTTTGCTTTATTAAATGTTGATGAATATGAACATGATAATGATGATTTGATATGCTATGTGATTTAACATTTGGTATATTTGCATGATCATATTGATGGCGAAAGTTTACCTTAGCAAAGTAGTGATTTTATGCCTGTGTGGATCACGTAAACACTTAAGGTTTTAGTGTTTGGTATATTGATTTACCCTTAAACCCCACCTGGCCAAGGTAGTAATAGGACTTATCCTTAAACCTCAAATAGTGAAGTTGGTGACAGGGTTTTTTTGACACCCTTGTGTTCGAGATGGGGAATTTATTATCCAAAATGAGCATGGAGCTTTGGCCAGATCACCTTTATGATTGAAAAGCTTGGATTATCCCAGTCGCATGGGTTTAGCTCTTAATAATTGTGTAGCCCATGAATTTAGTTAGTAGTGATGGAGGTTTAGATATGTGAATGATCATACATTGCATTGTATCATGTGATAATGATGTTAATTATTTTGTAATTATCCACTTTGCATGCTTATGATTGTTTAACTTGCATGTACATAAATTAGAGTTTTTTTTATTATTGAGTAGTTGTACTCACCTTTATTTTTTATATTATAAGCTCTAGCTCCTGAAGGTTAAAGGGAAGGCACTTAAGGCATAAGAATATGAGATTCCTATAGTATGCCTCTTTCCTTTGGTGTAAATGTGTAATTGATGATGATACATTGCCAATTAGGACAATTATTTTGGTTTACTTGCACTAATGCATTTTAATTGTAATTATTGAATGTTTTTAGTATCCTCTCATTGTGGTATGTGAAGTATTTGTTAGTCAAAGCCTAAATACTAATACAAATAAGTTTAGAGTTGATTGATATTACTTTCAATGATTGTAAAATAATTAAATCATGAATTTATGTCATAATGACCTCCCCTAAGGTTTTATTGAGATTGGGGTTGATGAGTAAAAATGAGATATATGTGGTACATCAGAGGTTTGGTGTACCGTGCAGGAAGTCCTAAGTCCTGGGGAATTAGCCTAGGTGAGTGTTTAGGCTTTTGGTACTTGATGTGGATTTTTAGATACCTTATAATGGGTCAAATGTGAAAAGGGAGTGAGTTTGATTATGGGTGTCCATTTTTTCATTTTCATTATGAAACCAGTGCCACTAGCTAACTTATTGTCTAAACTTTCTATGGACACTTAGAGCACCCCAATTAGAAGTTAGATGGAGTCCTTGGGTGCATTAAAAGTTCATCCTTAGTGTTGTGGTTTTGACAACATTGATGCTATCATTTTTGTGTAGTGCATTAAGGTGAATGATGCCTTTGCTGTGGTGCATCATTGTGTTGGCCACAACAAATGTCCTTAAACTTGTTAGCTGTAATGGCAAACAAGTCTGTTTTGGGAAATAATTTTTAAATGCCTACTTTCAAAGGTTTTTAATATTTTAGAGATATTCTATATTTTAGTGAACTTTTCAAGCTTTGATTTGAAGTAATTTTGGGCTTGGTCATGTTGATGTTGATATTAAACATATCTCAAAGATTTTTATGATTTGCATTTCATTATAAAGGTTCCAATTCTTTTTGTAAATTCTAATAGTTTTTTAAGTTGAGTTGGTATTTATTTATACTAGTATTTTAAAAGCTTATAAGATTGATTTTATTAACCATAGTAGACCTCTCAATTTGAGTTTTTTCTTTTCTATTATGATTAGTTTTCTTTGACTTTTAAAGATTTAAAATTATCACGGTGAGGATTCATTTTGAGATTAAGTTTTATGGTGAATTTAGTTGAGTTTTACACAAGTCATACTATAAAATGTAATTAGAAGAAGGTATGACTTTGCTAAAGCATGTGTTCCAATCATCTATCTTGGATTACACAATCATGCCATGAGTATGCATATAGATGGATGTATGAATGTATATGTACATTAAGGTAGGAAAACTTTTATATTTAACCTTGCATGTTTAAGGTGCTTGCTTCAATTAAATCAAAACATTTACTATCATTTATATATTATTTATCAAAAAAATAATCATCCGGTCCCTTTAATTTTGATCAAGTTGTAACCCAATCTTTGAATTTTGATTGATTATAACTCGATTCTTATAGTTTTAACTCAATTGTAACCTAATTTTTTTTGACTCTTCCAACTCAATCCTTATAATTTTAATTATTTAAAATATTAGTCATTATATTTTAAAAACTAAAATTATGAAGTTTAGAAGGGCTTAGTAACTTAAAATAGTAGTTCTAAATTTTAAAATTTATGATTTTCTTTTTTTATAATATAAGGATCAATATTTTAAATGGTTTAGACTATATGAGTTAAAGTTCTATTATTGAATTACAATTAAATTAAAATTATAAGGATTGCATTATAATAAATTAAAATTTAGGATTGAGATATAATTGAATCAAAGCTATAAAAGTAAAATAATAAATTTTTTCTTATTTATTTTATAATAATAAATTTTTTATTATTAATATTATTAACACATTAAAATTTACTCATTTTAATTTAATTGAATAAAAGTGCATTAAGATTATAAATCTAAGTATCAAACTCTTCCCCACACCCACATACACTGATTTTTTAAATTCCATCATTTTTTGATAACTTGTTATTTCATTATGTTGTCTTTAATTCCTTAATCCCACGCACCTATTAATATGGCCTTGGTTGGGTGAGATAGAGATAAAATGTACTTTCAAGCCCAAGACATGAGTAAGTTCATTAGCCATGCAATAACAATTTTCTCCTGACTACCAAAAACAAAAATTTTTTTTTACCTTTTAATTTTTTTTAAAAATAATAATAAAATTATTTTAAAATATTATAATTTTTTTAAAATTTTTTATTATCAATAAATTTATATAAATTATTAAATTTTTTTATTAAAAAAAAATAATTCACAAATCTTATTTAAATATTTATAATTTTTTATATTTATAATAATGTAATAAATAAAAAATTTAATATATAAAATTAAAATATACTTATATTATTATTAATATAAAAAAATTATAAATATTTAAATATAATTTGTGAATCATTTATTTTTAATAAAAATAATTTAATAATTTATATAATTTTATTATTAATAAATTTTAAAAAATTATAACATTTTAAAAAATTAAATTATTATTTATAAATTTTTTTAAAAATTTTATTATCCTTAAAAAAAAAAAACAAAACAAAACAAAAGAAAAACTCGCTTCTCTATTCATTTACGATTCAGCACTTCATCAGCTTTGGCGCTCGCTCCCAATTCCCTCGCAGACTTTTGTCTCGACCAGTAGGCGTTCGTAAGCAGAGGGCGATGGAACAAAGCGATACGTCCGGAGACGCTGCTCGGCCGTGGCAATCCTACCACACCGTTTACACTATTGCCAAAGCAGGTTCACGCGCTTTTCTTCTGCTTTTTTGGTTTTTTATTTTTGAAATTATACTCACTCATGATCTACACACATTTAAGTTTACGAAGCCTATTCTATAAAAGGGAAGCGAAAATTAAAGTGCGTTTTAATTCTTGGAATACGACGCTCTTCTGTGAACCAGCTGACAGATAAATAAGCATTTCAAGGGGCAAAAGAAAAGGAAGGAAGGAGCAAAAGAATGATCAGCCATTTATTTTGTTCCTGCTCCGCGGAAACATGAAAGGGAGGCTGATATGGCCATTCCGGCCTTTCTGAAAATGCCCCCTTAATTTCCATCATATAAAAAATGATATTTCGTAGTTAAATTATAATAACTGACTGAAATTTGATTATAATATTTTTATCCCATAAATGATTCATGCGTAACTAATTCGATTTCATATCTCCCCGAGATTAAGATGCGTTATGCATTTTAAGTTATCCTTTCTAACAATACACTCTAACACTCTGGATCACTAACAATTACTTTCTTGCCGTAAAATTATGTGTACGTCTGTTTTCTAATCACTAATACTTCACATGGTATATGTTTCAATCAAAATTAAGTTGAGTTCATATTTGTCACGGAATAATAATTGTTGTCCGGTGCTATTCTTGTTTTAATCGAACCTTCTTTTATAAGTAGTACTTGTGGATATTAAGGAATGGAAGGAGTTGACAAGGAGAAAGTACAAAGGATAGTTTATGAAATGAGCAAAGGTTCAAAGTTTTTTGAGAATGAAGAACGCAAGGAGGCTTTTATTAGGCAGAAAATAGAGAACCTACAGGCTCAGTGCGCAAAGCTTGCTGAAGCTGACATATCTAACTATCAGAAGGTATCATTAACATTTGCTTCTAAGCATTGTATATACATTCATGTTGTTTACGGATTATCTCATGTCATGTTATTATGATTTCAACAGTGAGGTGAGTGAATGTACATTCCTCTCTTATATTTTAACTTATTAGTTGTTAATATCAAGTGCTGCTGTACTTTGAGTTGGACATTACCCTGCTCTACTATATTACTTTATGCATGGGTAGGTGGCGGAGAAAAGAATTCTTGAGCTAGAAGCTGCACGTGACCTGTCGAGGGTTTGGTTACATGTAGATATGGATGCTTTCTATGCAGCAGTTGAGACTTTAAGTAACCCTACATTAAAGGGCAAACCAATGGCTGTTGGTAGCATGTCTATGATATCAACTGCCAACTATGAGGTTTCATTTTTGTCAGCACAACATGATTTTATTTTTTCCAGATTCTGAGATTATCTGATATATGAAACATCAATCTGATTCATCTAATTTGTCTAAGCATGTTTTGGTATCTTACATAGGCCCGGAAATTTGGTGTTCGTGCTGCAATGCCTGGATTTATTGCGTGTAAATTGTGTCCACAGCTAATTTTTGTTCCAACAGATTTCAAAAAGTATGCTTATTATAGTGATTTGACCAGAAAAGGTAATTCCTTTATTGTCAGTATCTTTTTTGCTGTGATGCTTTTTCATTAAAGAGACTATTGATGGTTGCTTGATAATATTTATTTGTTATTGTTAGTATTCCAGAGATATGATCCTAATTTCATGGCTGCCAGTCTGGATGAAGCATATCTTGATATAACTGAGGTTTGCAAAGAAAGGAGTATCACAAGTGGAGAAGTTGGTACCTCTTATTCATATATAGCACTAACCGGTCTTTACAAATGTAGTAACCTTCCTATTTTTGTAAATTTGCGATTTATAGATTGCCGAAGAACTCAGAGCCTGTGTATATGAAGAAACTGGTCTCACATGTAGTGCAGGAGTGGCACCAAATCGCTTACTTGCTAAGGTTCTGCTGTCTCTTTTCCACATTGAAAGGAGAGTGATATTTTTGGGATTAAACCGCTAAATTGCTCCTAATTAATTATATCACTCCTAATCGTGGCCTGTATGTTTAATTTTTTTGGACTAGATGTGTCACTAATAATTTATTTAGATCGCCTTATTCAGTAAAAATTAGCAAGTGCCTGACATATGGTGATCATCTGATCACACAACACTCACTTGAAAATATGGAATCTTACTGTTATTTATCACATTGTTTAGGTTTGCTCAGATATAAACAAGCCAAATGGGCAGTTTGTATTACCAAATGACCGCATGGCTGTTGTAACATTTATATCATCCCTTCCTATTCGTAAGGTATGTTTTTTGTCGATTTTGTCAATGACTCCAGCTGACTGAGACCAAATGATTAGTTTTGTACCTGGCAGCACAACTATAGTTTTGCATACATCTGATGTCGTTGGCAATGATGCAGTTCTTATTAATAAACTTGATGCTTAATATAATGAACAGATTGGGGGCATTGGTAAAGTTACTGAAGATATTTTGAGCGGTGTTTTGGGAATTAAAACATGTGAGCAGATGCTTCAGAAGGGTGGCTACCTCTGTGCTCTTTTCTCTCAGTCAACTTCAGGTTAGCAGCACGGTCAGTTCTTACTGTTTTCTTAATTAACATGCAGAACCTTGTGAGCTTGTTACAGCTAAGGGAGCATACCCTTATTATCTATGTTTACTAGTCTACTGGACACCTCTGATGCAGTGTGGGGGGATATTAATGTATGATGATATAATTACAAGTTGAAATTTAGAGTTTATTATTTAATATAATTTTGGGAATTTCAGGTTTAGTTGTCTGGGTGTTTAGATATGTCATCTCTAGTAGAACTGGTGTTTACTTCCGTTCAGAGATAGGATTTCTTGAACTTTTATGATAAACTTTAGGTTGTTTGACGTATTTTGTGTTGTCTATATAAAAGCATATCATTCATGTTAAGACCCCGTCCTCTTACGGTTGAACTTAAATAAAATTATCGAGTGCTATTGATTACTTTTTCTTGGTTCTAGTTTCTTTTTACATTGCTTCCTATATTTAAGTGGCAGTTCAACTGAGTTTTCTGTAAGATTCTTTTAGGCTGTCCCTAGATAAAGTTATAAACATGATTTAGTACATTTCATTTCTGGTTTCATTACGAGGTGTAAGCCTGTATCATAGATAATTCAGTCTTCTGGTTTCTACAACTTTTGGCATTTCTTTTTAAAACTTACCCTTTATCTTAGCAGCAATGATTTATATGTTCTCATCGAATGTTTCATTTCAAATTCTGCTTTTGATTCATTGAACCCTTAATGTGTGACCATCTGACAATTGGCTGCAGACTTTTTTCTCTCTGTGGGTTTGGGACTTGGGGCAACAGGTACACCCCAAATAAGGTTGCGGAAGAGCATTAGTAATGAGAGAACATTTTCAGCCACTGACGATCAAGCACAGTTGTTTAAAAAATTAGGTATTAGTCTTGTTCATAACTGTTAGCAATGCCGTCAACAATTTTCTAGATTGCATAATTCGTAAGTTCTGGTATTGTTTTGTTGGGATTCTGAGAAACTCTAGTTTAAACGTGAACCTCTTTTTCTTAATTTTAGGCTGTAGCCTATGTTGATCACTGAACAGTGAACAATATATATGCATGTATATTGGTGATACAAGGAGTGGACAGTATATTTTATAATTCAAATGGATGCATGCATTTCAAAATTGTTGATGTCGATGATTTGAAGAGTTTCTGAATCAGATAGGAATCTCATTTTATTATTTCAACATGTGATCCATGATAAGTTCATGCTTGCAGAGGAATCAGATAGGAATTTAGTTTTATTATTTCAACATGTGATCCATGATAAGTTCATGCTTGCAGAAGAACTTGCTGAAATGCTGTCTTCAGACATGCGCAAGGAGGGCCTTTTTGGGCGAACTTTAACCCTTAAACTGAAAACTGCATCTTTTGAGGTACCCCTGACATTAGATTCTGTTTTCATCAACTTGTATTCCTGAGACTGATTCGGAGCTTTATCCTTGCTTGGTTTTGCTCCTCCATTTGGTGAAAGCCTTTTTAAACAGATAAGTCACTTTTGAAGAGCAGTGCTCTTAACACTGAGGACATCTTTTCACCCTCACTTTGTTCATAACACGAGGTTTTGGATTTTTTTTTATTTTTTTTTTTATGGAGAAATACTTGGGTATACATGAATATGATGTACCACATGACTAAACAATGAACCAATAAAAGCTCATCAAAGTAGGTGCTGTAGGTGGTGTGGTCCAATAACAAAACCACTTTGGTAAACTGAATTCGCAATTGCTTATTACATTACACGTTCCTTTTACCTTTTGCCATACATGTTACCTTCACCGTACACTATATGATTCGGTGCTAATAAGTGCACAATCTATAGGTTCGGACTAGGGCTGTGACTTCACAGAAGTACATGAGCTCAAGGGATGATATCATGAAACATGCTGTAAAGCTTCTAAAAGCTGAACTTCCTATCTCCTTAAGATTGATAGGTGGGTGTTGCTGGTGATTCTTCAATAGGATGGCTCTATGGGCCAAGAGAAGAGGGATTGTTACAGTTTATACCATGAGAAAATTCAGCTTTGTTTTTCTAGCTTGACGAAGGCTTTTTTTCTGTCAGGTCTACGAGTATCACATTTCAATGAAGACAAGTGCGGTGCTCCATCTGATCCGACACAGAAGACCATAACCAATTTCATTGCTTCCAGGGGTGCTAATAAGCATAGCAGTTTTTTGCTTCCAGATGTTACGGATAATGACTCTGTGAGTGATACAGAAACCAGTATTTCAATTTACACTTGGCAGACCTGTATTCATGATTGTAGATATTTTGATGATAATCATTCTTTAGATGTCAATAACCTTAGTTGCACTGTGAGGGAAAAAATGATGCAGGCTTGAAGTTATATATAGATCTTATTTGGCTACGTAACATGGATTTTTAATCTGGGGAATATGTTGATTGATCGATTTGACTACTTGTAGAGGATACCTGTTCTGGTGCTCAACAGCTACTCATACTCTGCTTTGTTGTTTAGGTAGAAACATCGGTCAATGATGCTTCAAGTTCTGACTACAGTGAAGTTACAGAAGTGCTAGGATCAGATCTTTGTTCTTTTAGAGTCCAGTCTGAGAATTGCTGCCTTGACAACGTAACTTGCAAGTCTGATCTTTCAGAGGATGGGCAACTTGATTCGTGTCAGGAAGGGTCATTATTGTGGTTCAATGACTATAAATGTTCAATCTGTGGAATAGAACTGCCTCCAAGTTTTGTTGAGGAAAGACAAGAGCACTCTGATTTTCATCTTGCTGAAAAGCTACAAAAGGAAGAGTCTAGCATTCAACCAAGGACCACTATGTTGAGTCAAAGGTATGTATTATTTGTTAAATCTTAAAAAAAGTTTATAAGCCTCCGTAACAGCGTGTAAGCAGTTGAGATGAACAATTATGTGCCCCATTTCATTTGTTTCCTGAACGTTTAAGTTAACACCAGTAATCATGTTCTTTCAGTCAGATTCGGAGAGGAAAAAATATCACAACACGGAGTAAATCCAAGAAGCAAAAGTTATCTCAGAAAGAAGGTAGGTATATGCTTGATTATTTTTTTGTTAAAAACAGTCAGAGCCTGTAAGTTATACAACATTAGTCTTTGTATCCGTATATAGTTCTATACAGCTACAGCATAACTCTAGCATGTGACAATTGTATCGTGTTATTCTTCGCTGTAATGAAATGTGTATAATATTCAATCTAGAATCAGCATGGTAGGCTGAGCCCTGATAAGAAATTAAAAAAAAAAAAAGGGGTCTCATTTCCGCCATTGTTTGAGTGGGTTTTATCATTGCTTAATCTTGTTCAATCTATGGACTACCATATCTGCTTCATGTTAAGAGTCCATTTTGTAGTTTTTTTTTTTTTTGTGTGTGTGTGTAAATTAACAAATTTGCTTATGAATTATTTTTCGAGAAACATTTGGTATTTTATAATATAGAGTGGGGTAAAATAATTTGTCAACCATTTAAAACAGATTGCCATGCACCTCTCTTTAGATTTAAAGAGACGGACGTTTATATTGTGGGCCCATGTTCATTTTCTCTGACCCTCTCTCCATATCTCATTTTCTCCCTCTTATCCTCTAAGCTTTGTTGTCTTATGCATTGCTCCACTAGTTCCCATTGCTTAGTGCAGCCCCTCTCTGATCAATCTCATTGCCTTCTTCACCTAGGTGTCCTGACTCCTGCTGTTGTCCGTACTCCATTTAGTTGAGCTTCCCTTCACCCTCCCTTCTCCTTTCCTCTGTCGGAGATTTTGCTCCTTTCTACTGTGAATAACAACCCTGTACGTGTTGGAGTACAGCAACAACCTCCTTAGCTCTAATTTGATCGTTGGTATCGGCTTCCTCTTTTCGCTGGAAGTCCTGAAGGGTGAGAGATGACTCGTCCTGGAGCTCCACCCAACTGTGCAAGAAAGGAGGAGGAGGTGCAGTTTGGCTGAAGAAAGGAGTGCCACCTGTCGAGTAAGCCCCACAGAGGAAATAGACATCTGTCCCTTCAAATTTAACTGGAGTTGCGGGGTGCTCCGGTTTAAGTAGTTGATTAATTATTTTGCACTATTTCATAAGATAAGGGATCATCTGTTTTTTGAAAGATAGTCGACGGGTAAAGTTTCTCCTCTACCTTTTTGTTTTCTGTTTTTTGTTTTTAAATTCTTTCTATGAATTTGGTTTTGCTATCTATGAAGGCATTACCTTGTATGATTGGCTAGTCCTTTTGAGTTTAATGTTGGTAAGAGATGTTTTTTTTATTCATAAAATTATTTTTAATTTAAATTTTTTTTATTATATTTCATTATATTACTAGTAAATTCGCTTCCCTTGCTATATTTTAAGAGTGTTCACGTATCACATTCACAAACTTGTTTTTTTCCCAAGCGTAATGAATTTATGATTGATTTGCTTGCCAAGAAAACAGTAGAGTTATTTTTGAATCGATTAATTAACAAAAAGATAGGTAAGTACGTCAAATGCACGCACATATGGAGGCAGCAGTTCCCTTACCTTTTAAAAGTGGAGGTTTTTAGAGGTAAAGCGTTTAGTTTGAATTTTATTTTTATAATAATATTAAATTTCCATCTTGCTCATAAAATTCTCCCCTTCCCTTTCCCTTGAAGTAAACAAAACAAGGAATCCTCCCCTCTCCTTACTTCCATGAGGTAATTGATTCACAATTGCTGGGTCATAATACGTTTGTGACCCTACTTTTTTGTTTCTCAATAATTGAAATAAGGTGAGAAGAAATAAAAAATCATGTGAATTTCATTAATTCATGTAAATTATATTCTCATTTGTATCTTTTAATTTTTCAATTATTAATATATTTTTTTTGTACTAGGTTAGTTTGTTTTTGGGTAATTATAATTTTATAAACATGTTACCATATTTAAAATTTACACACACGCACGCACGCACGCACGCAAACATGGTGCTGTGGCTGGTATCTAACCTCCTCCTATACATACATAATATCAAGAGCCAAGAAATGTAGACAAATCCAAACCTTCTTCCTCCACCCCAAAATATAACTAGAGTTGTCGAGTCCTCTTTGAAGCTTTATCAGAAGCAAGCACCTCAATTCATGAACATGTCCCTATCCTCCTTCCTTCCTCCTTCCAAATTTCATTTCCAAAACCCCCAATCGCAGCCCAGAATGGCCGCAAGCACTTCTCTCTCGCACTCGCCGTCTCCAAATGTCAAGCTCAGGGACACTTCAACTCTGCCCTCCATGTCCGACATTCTGGAAGCTTCCAGATCCCAGAAACTGGACCTTCAGCTCCGAACCGTAGGACCCTTTTTCAGAATCACGGCCAAGAGCTTGGAGACCCAGAACGATTTGGGAAGAGCTGAGGGGATGATTAGGGTGTGGGTAGGAGGGAGAATTCTTCACTTGGACTCCATGAAACTCCGAAGAGAGACGATAGGGATGGAGAAATCCATCTTCGGGATAGGGCTATTCATCGGAGCTGTGGCCATTCGATATGGCTATGATTGTGGCTGCAAAAAAGCTGAGTTGCTCGCCATCAATGATTCCGATCTTTACCATTCCAAGGTTTTCTTCTTACTGACCCTCCCTAATCTCTGAAATCTGTTCAGTCTGTTGCTTGTTGTGATCTGATTTTACATGGCTTTTATCATAGATAAGAAATCTGTGTTGTAGTATGAGAGCTGTTTGTTTAACAAGAAATGGTTTCAGCTGGTGAGGTTCTACAGCAGAATCGGATTCAAAGCAGTGCATGAAGTGAGTGCATCATCAATTGGGGACATGGGACACATGTTAATGTGGGGAGGAACAGGGACCCGCATGGATGCAAATATTGAAGACCTTATGATTAAATGGTGCTCCAGATTCTCACCTAAGCCTAATTGATTCCCCTCCTCTGCCTCACGCCCAAGTGTTGCTGTTATGCTCTGCATGCAAAATTTTGGTAAGAACTGTTGTGAGTTTTATATGTTGTATAGAGTTTCAAAAAAGAATCACACTCATTATACATAGTATAACTTATTAGATATGTATATTATATAATTAATAACTTATTAGATATGCATATTATATAATTAAGTATATTGTCGTGCTCGAATCCTGGCTTTTTCCAAAAGGAAAATTTGATAAATGTAAAAAATGAGAGTTGTTACCAAAGTTTAAAAAAACCTTAAAAGACCATATAAGGAAAAATGATGCTTTTCAAAAAAAAATTTTGGAAGTTAGTTGTATGTGAAAAAGATATAGGCACTATATAACATTTGTTCATAAAAACATTTACCCCAAATTATCTAAGTTCATTGTATAAAATTAAATTTGGCTTTTTAATATCTTTAATTATCCTTTATAATCACATGCAAAATAAAAATAAATGAATAAAAATTAATGAAAACAAATTATCTATTATATGAGAGGACTTGACCTAGGATAAGAGCTTGTGGCTTATATAACATGTGATGGAAATTAAAATTCACGTAGTTAAAAATGTTATTATTTAAGTTTTGATTCTTCAATTTTATAAAAAAAAATATTATTTTGGATTAACCTTTATTATTATCATGATATAAAAATTTAACCAAACTTGTAGTGATTTAGTATTACTCATAATTCACTGGTTGACGCTTTAAATGCATATGATAATTTAGTATCATTTATGGTGAATTCTAAAAGAATAAAAAGAAATCTCTAGAGAGAATTTTTTTAGAAAATAATTTGATTAGAAAATTTTAATATGAGATTTAATAGATGCAATGACTTAGTCTTATTCACGATATTACAATTGACACTTTTGTGGATTGTTAGTAATTTAATATCACTCGTGGCATAATTTAAAATGTGCCAATAATCTTATTATTATATTTTTTTATTTGTAATGATTTAATGTCATTTATAATATCTTATTTGATGCTTTTAGATAGAAGTGCACATGGGTCGGGTTGAGTTAAGTTTCACCTAGCCCAATTTAAAAATAATTTTATTAATGAACAAAAAATACAATTATAATGATTTAAAATGGATTTTTTTATAAAACTAATATTAAAATTTTAAGTAATACTTTTTAAAATTGTATATAATTAACAATTATTCATCATTTTTATATGATATAAATGCAAAAAATCAATTTCAAATATTTAAAAAGATTAGAAAATTGAAATCACAAAAAATATCCATAATGAACATAAAAACAATATAATACATAAAAATATTAAATAAAATAACACTATAAAAATAATTAAGTTTTAAAAAAATTTAAAAAAAATTAAAATATATAAATATTTTTAGGTAGGTAGGGTTAGAATTGATCCTAACCCCATGCGCCGCCCGGCTAACTCAGGCAAGATTGAGTTGACTGGGTTACTAGGCCACTTGCATAGCTCTACTTTTATGAATTCATGATAATTTTGTATCACTCATGATATAATTTAAAATATGTTAATATTGTATTTTTATTTGTGATGGCTTATTGTCAGTTATGGTATCTTATTTGATGGTTTTAAAAATTCATAAAGATTTAATATTACTCATAGGAACCTAATGAATAGTATTTTCTTTTATAAAATAAAATAATGGAAATTGGATAACATCAACGATAGATCCATCTCTAAGCAAATAAAATCAATATGTTTTGAGCATGATACATTGTTTACAACCCAAATGTAAGAATATCTTTATCAACTGAGTAAATGAAAACATAGGGAAGTATTTGGTTGGGCACGAAAAGAAGGAAACAAGAGCATAATGAAGTAGTGAATAAAGGAAAAAAAGGACCAAAAAAAATAAGTAGCAAAAATCAAGTATATGAGAGGTACTAACACGCGTAAAGCACGTTAGTCTTTGATTACAAAAGAAAAGGCAAGAAAATAAATCACATCTGTGGATTGAGAAGGATGACGAAAAGGAAATGAAATATGGTCAATGTTTATCATTTTTAAACCCTGGTAACTGAGGTCAAATCTGACATATCAACTTAAATAAGTCTAAAAAAATTTAAAATCAAGTTTAGTAAAATAATAAATTTTTAATGTTCAGGCCTCTGTTAGGGTTTGACCCAAATACCTAAATAAAAAAAATTATATTTTTAAAAATATACAAAATATAATATATATTAACTAATTTTTTAAGTTTTGGATTATTTTATAATAAAGTATCTTATATTTGAGTGAATTACTATAAATATTTTTTTAAAAAAAGTAAAAATATTTATGTTATCATATTTTTATTATTTTTAATCTATGAAATATCTTAAAATAATATTTCAAATGTATTTCAATACTGATTTTTAGATTTTAAGATCCATATATTTTTTTAAAAAATTGAGTCTTATATATCGTTTAAGCATCTGAAAAATATATTTTATATTTTTTAAAATATAAATAATTAATTTTAAAATAAAAAATTAAATTAAAATTAATTTTAAAAATAAAAATTGAGGGTATTTTGGCTGCGCAAAACCCAAATAAATTTGGATTAGGCTTAGTTATTCTGGCATTTTAAGAAATTTGAGCTATTCAAATTGAGCTTATTTGAGTTTGATTTGTCAGGATTATCAACTCTAACCACTTTATGTTCATTCATAAGGAAAGAGTAGACAAAAACAAAAGCAAAATGTATCCAAAAAAAACAAAAAACAAAAGCAATCTTCCTCCCAAAAACATTCACAACATTATGGAAGTGGTCACAACCAGCTACCTAACGTGAATGCAAAACTTATTACCCTTTTGCTTCATTTAAAAAAATGGAATAAAATTAATTAAAAAAGAATAAAAATAAATTAAATTATCCAATTCTTAATAATAAATATAAAAAAACTAAACACAACATATGTCAAATGTAAGAATTATTACACTCACTGTAAATTTTAAGAATTATAACTTTTAATTTTATAAATTAAATTATTCATATTCTTTCGTGAACATATTAACTTATCTCTTCTTCCACATCTTAATAATTGTACTTTAATTTTTTTTTTGACTCATTTCATCTCATTCATTTCCAAACAACATCTTAATGTGATTAGTAACTGCTAAAAAAGCAGGAAAACATAACCTATTATTAATTTGGCCTACATTAACCCAAAAATTGGTGCCCATCCAAATCTATTTATTGCAGGGGCCATAGTCTCATAAATGAATCGAGTTGGATTAATTTGGCTCCGCCTCATTCTTTTATTATTACTTTTTAAATTTTAAGATCTACTACTATACTACCACAGGTTACAACTGGTTTTATATATATATATATATATAGACTCTTTTAAACCTTTTACAAAAATTTAAAAATTAATTAATTTAGGCGGTGGTATTAAATTTAGCATTGCTTTTTCAGAATTACTCTTAAAATTATTTAGTAATTTCTTTCTACTTAATTAATATATCTTCGTTTTTCTGAATAATTAATTAAGGTATTTTTGTATGAAAAAAAGATTAATGCATTGGAGTTTTGGAGTTCACAATAAAAAGAACCAAAACAAACTTCCCAAAAAGGTTCCTATAAAAAGAAACAGAGGGGTAATAAAAAATAATTATTCTCTCATATCTTTATTATAAAGATATACTCTTTCCCTCTCGAATTATAAAATATTTTTAAATAAAATTTTATATATCAATAAAATTTATTAAATATATTTTAAAATTTTATTTTTTAAAAATAAAAACATAAACTTTTAAAAACGTCCTTCCTTTAATATTTCATTGATAAAAGAATATTGAAAAGAGAGAATATACAGGAAGGATAATATTAGAAAAGTATCATTAATAAAACTTTATTTTTGTCAAAGTATTCTATATTTTGGAACACTAAATCTTCTCTAAAGATATCTTATAATTTAAGACGGAAGGAATATTAATTACTTGAATTGAGATTATAGGAACAGTAATGAAAGAGCATTTTAAAAAATGAGTTTTAAATGTTATATTAATTCTTGTAAAATGACTTGACCATAAAAAAAAGGGGGTCATAGAAATAGAATAAAAAGGGTCGAGGAATTAACATAGTATTTAAAGCTAAAAATAAATATCATGCTGATAAAAAGTAAAATGAATAAATATTATTTTTTAGTTGAATTTCATCCTCAATAAAGTAATTGATTGTTTCTAAATTAATATCATTCTTCTATATTTACTTATATTTAATAGAATATTTTATTTTAAAATAAATATAAAATAATTTATTTATTATAAAAATTTAAAAAACATTGAAATACTAATATCAAACTTCTCAAAAAATGACTTATATTTTTTAACGGAGTATATGTTAGGATAAATAAGCCCACTAGTGGACAAAAATTTTGCCTAGAAAATATAGGCTAAATTTTTAAAAATTTAAAAGTATAGCCTGTTATTATTAATATAGAAGAGGTTTATCATTTATATACAAGGAGTATACCATTAAAAATTTAAAAATTTATAAAGAATTTATCACTGATATACAATAATATAACGTTAACTGTTAACAAATATAATAAATCGAATACAAAACATAATAAATGTGGGTTATTTATTTGGTTTTGTTTTATAATACGAGTTATATTTGTAAAAGCCCCTCTATTATCATGATTATTGATTTTTAGTTAATTTGCTTTGTTGTTCTTAAAAAAAAAATACTCCCTCCATTTTATTATATTTATTTTTAAGATTATAACATACGTACTAAGAAATATAATAAAAATGTAAAAATATGATATATTTAATTATATTAAATTAATATCTAAAATTGTTTATAATATTAGATATATATAGTAAATTACTCTAACTGCGATGGTAAATTAGCAACATGCCAAATCGTTCGCCTGAGGGTTGAGACAAAGGACGATTAATTGAAAAATCCCCAAATCCCACCCAGCGCCGAGCGGATATTCTCCCTTATATAATGAGAGGAGGAGCAGAAAATCTGAAAGTCTAGAAGCCTTCTTTCTCGTCTGTTTTAGCTGTGGATGTAGCGGAGGCCAATGTCTCGTCGAGAGGGTCGCGACTCCGCCCGACGGAGTTCTAGATTTGATCGAGAACCAAGGTGCTTGTTTCTCGCCCTTTCTCTTTAACTGTTCCATCTGAACCTGGTGGATTTCGCGCCTGTTCCCCGCCAAAATTTGATTTTTCTCCTGAAATAATATGTGAAATTTGAAAGATTTCGTATATGAAGTTTTCCCTATACTATGACTGTTTTCCGATGATTTGAAGGACTTGCGATACGTCAATTTGTCCGTTGATTCATTGACTGATACTTGGAATTCGAGCTCGGGAATTTATTCCTGCTAGCTAACCATTCGTGTGCAATTCCAATGTAGAATCGATTTCAAGTTACAGTCTTTTATTCTTTTCTAGTTGAAACGCCTTGATTGCCATGGAATTGATTCTATCCGTGACTCTCGATGGTGAATATCTAAAAGCAAATTTATTTTCATTGGCTAGCTACGACATGTGGTTCCTTGTAGCATCCTATATCGCTATTTTGAGGCAAGGAAAAAAAAAACATATTCAATTCTTTAATGACTTGTTTTTTCTAAAACCCATTTGATCTATTTTCATTCTTTTAACTCTTAACATGAATCTGAACTGTCGAAGGTGTGTTACTGGATGCATCTTTGTTTGAATACATTTAGTAGATTGCTATGTTCAATTGTTGATCCTGAGGTCTTGTAACTTATTTGGTTGGAGCTGCTTCTAGTCCGAAGAGGTTCAGGAGGGATGGATTGCAAGAGAGAGAAAGAAGCAGAGTAACCAGTAGTGCTGATTTAAACAATGTAGATCGCAATGGCAAGGTTCACAAACACCAGCACCGGCTGAATGATGTGGTGCCACATGAGGCCTCTTTAACTCATGATCCTGAGAAAGAAGCTGAGGCTGTGAAAAAGGATTCAGACAAGAAACCAAATGAACATTATGAAACGTCCAAACATTTATCTGATCCTACTGATCTACCAAGATCTCGCTCTTATTTTCAGGTGTTGTAGGAGTTTTATGCAGAAGAATTGTTTTTGACTATTTCTATCCCTTGAAATTCTTCTCTTTGCTAGATGCTTTTGTAACTTTGTGCTTCTTTACATGTTTCTTATAATTGGTTGTGCAGGAGTGGTTGTAGACCTATGAAATATGAACTAGGTTCTAGCCCCCCTGGCCCCGTCATTGTAGGCCCGTTTGGTATGCATAATGGAATGGGATAAGATAGTGACTTTTAGGTTAGAAATGGCTTTTGCATCCCTGAATAAAAAAAATGATGTTATTGTTGAGTGATGATAATGGAGGCGTGATAGATATTGCATGCTTTGAACTTCTTGAAATGGAATCCTTTTTCCATTTCCTTCAAGGTAACCGCACAGAGCCTTAGATTGCTTCATATTAGTGATTCAACTCGAAAAAATAAAAATAAAAAAATTAAACTGTCAAAGAAAGATGGCAATTGCCTTCTTCGTTTTTAGATCCATGATCTTTCATATTCTTGAAGACGAGGGATACATCTGAGACAGTGAGACTATGATCACTAGTGAAGCTATTGTGGAACACCTTTTACTTTTTCCCAAATAAATAAATAAAAAAAGGTAGTTAACTTTATTGTATATCATATGTCCATTTTTTTGGGGGTAGGGGGGCAAGAGAAACCAATGGTTACTTGGCATGTGTTAATCATCAGGGAGAAAATAACTGCCATTTTCTATCTTTTCCATCTCAATGCAAATCATAAACAACTGGCTGTTTCTCTATGTTTGACTACTGCGGTAGTTGGAATGCGTGGCAACATGTTCAAGATTGCAAGGATTGCAGTCTATTGTGGTGACGCAAGCTGAAATTTGTGCAGAGTTAGAATGCATCATTACTTTATCTTTTTACAAGCAGGATACACAAGAAGTTGTTTGTACTCATTTGCAATGACTTGGAAAAAAAATTCTACTGTGAAAAATTTTCTCATCAGTGAAACTGTTATTCTGTAATTTTAATTGCTTTATTATTATTCAGTGCATGCAAAATATTTTCTGGGGCCAAGTAGCAGCATTCTTGTTCAGTTCCTTGCCTTCAAGTACTTCCATATATAACCATCTTAGGCTTGCCTGTGCATATTTATAACAGCATGATGAGCGAGGTAGTGCCAGGCAGGTTGGTCGAAGGGCAACTGGTGGTGAGTTTCCTTGTGTATATTTTTATTGTTACCTTGTTAGTCATGTCACAAAGTTCAATGCATCTATGATTTGTAAAACTGGCTCTATTTGCACAATCATATTTCTTGCCGCCTGCAGTAGGATTTAACTTTGCAATTTTAAATTTCAGCACGATGCTAGAATTTGAGTGCCCTCTAACATGCTTATGGGAATAGATTTCTCTTCATTTTCAATGAAATTGATGTGTCCACGTTGACTCCAACCTTGTTTCGGATTTCTCTTCCATCTGTCCAAAATGTCATATATGTAACGTATAAGGTGAATTGGTGATGTCGAAAATTCTGCATCTTTTTTTCCTTTACTGCGTAGTAAACATGTACCTCTGGAGTCTGTGATGTGATAGTTTTTAGTGCATGCTGCAGATCAGTTAATATGTTCTTGTTAATTAAAATGCTATGATATCATTCTCCTGTTAGTGTCCATGCATGTTATTTGAATGGGAAATTTTGTAAGCAAAACCTTATTATTGAATTTTCCCTTGGGATAATTCCCTAGTGGTTTCTCAAGACTCATTATTCTGTGATGGTTTTTCTGTTGTAATACGCTTTAGTTACTGTGGTATGAAACATGGTCAGAAAACAGATTGAGGTTCTGGAAGCTAAATTACAATATCTCCTTTTTTGTTTACAGAAGTTGAGATCCAGTTTTATCTATGACTTTTTGTTCTTTCCACCAAGTTTGTTATCCAAATCACCATCTTAGTTTGCCCATGAAAAGTAATAATGTGCCTACTTTTTTATTCAAGAGCATGGATGGTGGAAGGACTCAAGGGATCACCATAATGAGAGGGCAGAGAAATATCACGGACGAAGTAGAGATCAAAGAAATGAAAAATCAGTAGCTAAACCGGATGATAATACTTCACAGAGAAAAGATGGCTCTTCTCAAAGGAAAGATGACCCTCTTCCAACCACCAAGAAAAGACCTGCATTTAGGGAGAAGAAGATTCCAGCAGATCTAGGAGATGCTAATCCAGCTGCAACTGAGGATTTAAAGTCAAGCCAAACATACTACCTACCAGAAAGGAATGAAAGGAGGGATGACAGAAGCAGCAACTTCCGCCATCTAGATAGAACTGAGAAGCAATTGGCGGTAGACAGTGCACCCAACAAGGGTGAAGCTAGGAGGGATGACTTCTCATTGAGAGGAAGGTACCAGGGCGGTGGCGGTGGCGGCAATTATAGGGGAAGAGATAGATTCAATGGAAGACAAGGTTATCATTCTAGCAAGCCTCGAATTGAGAAGTGGAAGCATGATTTGTATCAAGAGATTGACCAGGATCCTATTCCAAAAAACGAGGATGACCAAATTTCAAAGCTGGAAGCACTCTTGGCTTCATAGGATCAGATTGGTATCAGCAATTTTGTTTTTACCTGTGTTTTCAGTTATCAGCATTTCAACTTTTGGCACGTTGAGGACAGATTCCATGGATGAGTTGCTATAGATTTGCATCTGTTCATGTTATGATATGTGCCGCACTTTGATTCAACTGGTGATTTTGGTCATTGTGATATCAAGTTATGAAAGACAGTAGAAGTTAACCACCTTGTAGAGTGCCGGGACCTTTCGGTTTCTTGAGATTGATAGGATTCAATCCCCTGATGACTTGGGTCGGGAGAAGCAATGCTGGAATCTGCATTTGCAGTGCATGTTTTGTCGTAGTGTGATGAATTGCATAAACTCTTAGCCTATTGCAGTGCGCATCTTCAACAGATAATTCTCTAGCTTCTTCATATGTTTTGTTAGTTCATTATCACTTTCCACCCGGGTTTTACATCTTGAAGTCTGTATGACCCATAATATTTTAGTGTTGTAGGCCATTACAGGTGCGATGCCAATGAAGTTTTTATGTATGTCAAAGCATAAGTAATGCCACCCCAAAATCACGGTCAACAATCTGTGATTTTCTGTGTTTTGTTGACTTTTCAACGTGGTTGTGGACGGCATGCACCAAGTCAAATTAGTGCAAGTCTGCACAGGTTGGTGAGAATAATTAAGGGATGGGTAAAAGCTAGAAGACTGCAAAACGAATCCCTCCCTTTCTTACTGTCTATTGCTCCATAAGATTAGGATGGAGCACCATTTCTCACTCTATCTATTGATCATGTCTTAAAGTAGTGTAACATGAAGCCTTTAGATGAAACTCGGGCGTTTTAATAATTTATTAGGACCCTCGCTTTGTCATGTAAAACGTTAAAGAATTAATATGCGCCATATGGGTATGGGATAATTCAAAAATTAAAATGACATCCTTCAACTTTTTGAATGCTTTGTTGTGAGGAGAGAGGAATGATCATTCAAAATAGAGCTTCCTTCTCGAAGCAGTAGCAGTTAGCAAAAGCAATTTGAAGACCTGGATGGTTTGTCCTAAATAGACTTGAGGAAGGTAATGCAAAGATCTAATCAGACAATTAGGGAGATCAAAATCCTTATTTACGAGGCCTTTATCTTTCTTAGCTTTAGAAAAAATTGCTTTCCAACTCAAAGCAATCCTTCGGTTTCTTTTCTTTTCTTTTCTTTTTTTTTTTTGGATACAGCAGAAAAGGGGGAAAAAAAACAAGGAAAAAGAAACCAATCTACATAATGTCATTATCTCGCAGCATGTCCATGGCTATGTCACCAAGGATCATGTGAAGACCTAAAGGAAGAGAAAGGGCTCTCTTTGTGAAGAAATCTGCATCTGTCTTCTCACTTCTATCCACATGAGCCAGCAAGACCTGCCAATCTTGTTGGAGCATTTGATGAGCTTTACAAATGAGATTGTAATCATCATGCACTTCAGGAATCTCATTTTCAAGTATATGAATAGACTCCATAGAATTCTCACATAACTTGATCTCTTAGAAACCATGGTCCCAAGCTCTTCGCATACCCATCAAGAATCCCTATAATTCTACAGAGAGGTTATCAAAAGCCTTTAATCTTAGCAAGAAGGCCTCAGTTAGCCTACCTTCTGCATTATATATCAATCCCCCACATCTTGCTGTACTGTTGGTATAAGAGAAAGCCCCATCCATGTAAACTATAGCCTTTACTCTATTATTATTTGAACTATCTTGGTTGCACTCCCTTATCTCAGATATAGCATCCTTATAATGTTTACACTTGGCTCTGTTCATGCAATTTAGAATCCTATGCGCTTCTGCAATACATGTTTTAACTTCCTCCTTTAAGTTCTGGCGCATGCATTCATTCTGCCGACACCAAAAGAGCCAATAGATAACACCAAAGAAATCACATCATCTGCTCCCCTTGTCTCCGCCCACATATCTAATGTTGATATCTAACCATTCTCGTAAGTTCCCTTAATTAAAAATGCTCCAACAATCTGATGGCACCACCTCTTGCTAGATGCCTCTAATCAGATAATAATTCTTGAGAACATGTAAAATGTCTTCTTTCATACCTCCACAAATATCACATTTTCCAGTTGGATGAAGGCCTTGACGAAACTTCGCCTTATTTGTCATCAATCAATCATGATTCACCAGCCATAGAAAGATTTGCAACATTGGGGAACTTAGAGTTTCCAAATTCGAGACCAAACAGAACATCACTCTCTAACCTCCAATAGTTATAAACTTTTATGCTGATTTTACCAAAAAAGAACCATGCTTTTCTGGTTTCTACCTAACAAGCTGTTGACCTCATCTATTGATAATCTCTGTACCTCTTTCAACAGAGTCCCACACAGTTTTCAAACCACTCCACAATCTAGAGCCTCCTCTCTTCTTATCAATTTTAGGAATCAAATCATCCCCACATCTATATTTTCCTCTCACCACCTTGGCCCACAATGCATCTTTGTCATTCATAAGTTGCCACCCAACCTTCATGTGATAAGCTTGATTTTGAAATTTCGAATGTCTTAAACCTAGGTCGCCAACTCTCTTATCAGTACAAATGCGCTCCCATGCAACCCCATGAACTCTCTTTTGATTTGCAGTAGAACCCCATAAGAAACCACAGGATCTTTTGCCAATATCATCACAACAACTCACTGGCATCAATGCAGTCTACATAACATAAGAAGGTGTAGATGATATAACAGATTTTAAAAGAGTTGTCCTTCCGATAAAAGATCGAGAATTAACTCTCCAACTATCTAGCGTAGCTCAAAATTTATCAACCACTTATTGGTAAGTATTTATAGACACACGATTGTGGTGTAAAGGAACCCCAAGTACTTCTCAAGGTCAGCTGCCCTACTATAACCAAGCTCATTGCTTAGTTGAGTCCTCACATTATGATTAACATTCTTCAAAAAAAAAAAAGACCTTTGTTTTTTCTTGACTTACACGTTGCCTAGAATCCTCACAAAATTTGTTCAAACAAGTTTTAATCACTTGAACTTGGCTAAGACTAGCATCAACAAAGATAAAAAAATCATTCGCGAAGAATAAATGAAATAAATTAGACCCAGATAAAAAAAATTCTTTTTTTAAAAAGAGTTTAGATCTACTGTTAAATGGATTGCTGATTTAGATGACTTTCATCCACCTAATTTTATAGATATCACTCTTGTTTTCAACAATTCAAAGACAATTAAAAGTATTCTTGATGGAAGAGATTCAGATCCTAAGGTTTTGATGCTTAAAACTAATTTGGATCATCTACTAAATCTCTTCAAAAGTCATTGGCGGGAAAAATGTACAAACAATTGGAAGCAATAGTGGAAAAATAAAGATAATTGTAATCCTTTATCTGCTGATTTTTTATTTTCCTGTATGACTTTTATTTGCAGTTGTTATTATTAATCCAAAAAAAAAAATATGGGCATAGGATGACCATTTTTTTTATCTGTTGTAAAAGAATAACACTAGTCACACAATTGCACGGATACAAGCAAGCTCCATTGGAGATGAACAAAAATTAGGCTGTGCGGCGTGCTTTATTTTCAAATGCAGATGCCCTTTTGTCCATTTGTGATTTTACCATTTTAGAGCGGCATGTGTTGCATTACTCGACAAAATTTCAAGAACCAAGGATAGTCTTTCATCAAACATCCCCATTGTACATTCGTCCAATACGATTTACATATCTCCCCCAAGGCCTCAGTGTAAGAGACGACTCTATCTCTTCTACAGGTTTAAACTTGATAACAATAATGAAACCAGGATAATCAATTCAAAATTCAGCCAGATAGCCACCAACAAAAACAAAGCTATATTAAGCATTAACCAGCAATTTAGTCACAAAATCATTCTCCTATAACAACCCTGACTAACCTCTAATTTCTTTTATAACATATCATTAGGCCTAAAAAAATAGTGAGTGCTCCAAATATAACAAGTTGGCTGCAGCACTTGATAAACTAGCTTATAACAAACTTGTTATTTTCAATTATTTTCAAATACAACCTTGTTCACTCACTAATTTTTTTGGGATTGAAACCTTGTTCACTCAATCCTACGGATTGAGGGACCAAATTGTCATCGAATAACAAGATCTTCTATGTCGGTTAGGAGACCTGCATTTCCAAGAGACTTTTTGTCAGGTTGGTTAACCACCAGCTGCCCACAAGCACCGCTTATGTCCTGACCCATCTGCTTCCGAACTGTCGTTCGAACACCATAGTTGCCCCTAAGAATTTTCTGAAATCTTGATACTTTCTGCTCACAACTAGTTCTGAACTGACTCAGGGTACCAATAGGGTTGAAAGGAATTAAGTTCACTACCTGCGTCACAAGGATCAAGGTCGTAAGGAAAAATGATTTAAAAACTAAAGAATCATGTTTGATGAATGGAAGCTTGTATTGGGGAAGAAAGGTTTTAGCAAATAATGTTTGGAGATATTGAACTGGGTATCCATAAGGCATGTACAACATAGATGATAGAACTTATCAAAAAACTCCGGTAAACAAGTGCAAGTATTCATACAGACAGCGGAGAACAACTTCCCGAAACTAGTTATATACCCTTAATTTAGTGATCTAGATTTATTTTCCGAAATGCCAATGCCATTCAGTACAAAAATCGAAACCAAGTATCAATTTGATCATTCAATTTCCTTGGATTTCTGAGAAACACCGCTATTCTCCTGCACTATTAAGGAAAGAAGGTTAAACAGTTAAAGGATTTATGTTAGAATAGCATAAATGCGTAAAAGAGATGAACCAGAGAGATAAAAGTACACAACATCGTCAAATTTTTCAAGTGGCATTAACAAAAGAATCAAAATTCAGATGCTTCTATCTAATATGGTTCAAAGTACAGTCTGAGTTTACCACTTGAAATGCCTCCATCAGTTTCCCCAGTTGGTGGGCATGTTGCTCTTCATCATTCACCCCATCAAGCATGATGTACTCAATTAAGATTTTTTGCTGACTGTAATTAAGAATGAAATACTTTCACATTAAGATCTCATGAATGAAAACATATATAATCCTAGAGAATATAAGGCAACAAGTAATCTAAATATGAAAGCATTAACTCACCTGTTCCTTTGATATTCTTGCAATGCATCCATAAGCTTTTCCAATGGGAAAGCACGAGCTGCAGGCATTATCTGGCAACGGATGTCTTGGACTGGTGCATGGAGTGAGATTGCCAAATTCAAGCCAGGCAGGTCATTATGAAGTCTCTTAATAGCATGAATAATGCCTACCTATTATAGATGAAAAGGAAAACAAATGTTACAGCTAGATATTTCCAGCATTCAAGAGTTTTTGCCCAAGGAAATCAGATATATATCAATTTAAAATGTAGGAAAAATTAATCATTTAGTCCCTATAATTTTAACTCACTTGTAACTTAGTTCCTAAACTTTGACACATTGTAACTCAATTTTTATAGTTTTAATTCAGTTATAATTCAGTCTCTAAACTTTTTCTCTTGTAATTTAGTCCCTATAATTTCAACCACTTAAATATTGGTCTCTATATGAAAAAATAAAATTATAAAGACTAAAAATATTTTGAACTTTTAATATTTATAAAGATTGAAATAATTTAATAATTTAAAAAATTAGTTAACATAATTCTAATCTTTATAATTCTATTACTAATACTATAGATATTGTAAATATTATAATTTTAATCTTTCAATCTTTAATTATTATAAATATTAAAAATTCAAAACATTTTTAATCTTTATAATTTTATTTTTTAAAATATAGAGACTAATATTTAAGTGGTTGAAACTACAGGGATTAAATTGCAAGAAGCAAAATTCAGGGACTAATTACAATAAGGTCAAAACTACAATGATCAAATAATTAATTTTCTCTGAAATGTATCAATGAAACAGTATCCAAAAGTGCCTTGGGTTGTAAAATGAGAAAAAAGGCCTACAATACTATAGGAACACCAAAAACAAAGGAGAAACCGACCCAAGAGACTTGAATATAAATAAGATTGCAACTCAATTTAAAATACATTCATAACATCGTTAGGTAGAAAGATCAAATTTTGTAATCAATATAACTCAATGGAAAGCTGTTTTCTTCAATCAAACATTTTTGGTAAATGTTATTGTTAGGACCATGCGAGATAAGATATTTTGCATTTACTACATACAAAATATGACATTCCTTAAAATGCAGCAAAGAAGTCATAGCAAGGACAGTGCCCCAACAAAATGCAATCAACATGATTCACTAAAAGGTACAGAAGCATTAGCTGATTGGTGATTGTTAGGCAATTAAACTAGCAGAGTTCAATCCAACCCATAGAAACATAGCATCGATATAATGGAACGAAACTGAAATTTTTGTGAATCTCATTTCTGCCAATGGCCAATTCAGGGCTGGGAAGGAAAAGACAGAAGAGAAACAGTGGTAGTCTACAGAGCATATATATATATATATACCGTTGATATAGTAATCTTTTTTGGTGACAGTTGAAATGGCAACCCGGTCATGACACGAATAGATTCTACCAAGGAAGAATAGTTATTCAAAGGCTCTCCCATTCCCTGCAACAAAATATATGATTAGACTGCAGACTGAACATTAACTACAAATGCAGTGACACTTGTATGCATTATGCTTTTATAATAATGCCGCAGAAGAGAGAATGCTTGCAACTTGAGAAAACAGAGAAGGAAAATAACAAGTAAACATGATGGTCATAATTTAACTTCCAACACATTTGATAGTTTATTCATATTTCCTAAGAGACTTACAAGTGCCAAAAAATGGAACCCAAAACACAGATGATAGGAACTAATAACACATGGTAATTCATTACATTATCGATATTAAGTACTACTTCAACAACACAACTGTGTGTGCTAATCAGACATGACATGTGATCACGGGAACTTTTTTTATTCTTTTCTTTTTCCACTTATTTTTGGACAATTATAGAACAAGGAATCAAAGTAATGTCAAGTCTGACGCTAGCTAACTACTAAAAAGTGTCACCGCAAGTGGTTATATAAGACCATTATAAGCCACAAAAGTTGATGATTTTAAAGGGGGAAATCAAATCTTACAATTTTGTCTTTACTAGAATATCATATTTTCATAGAGCAGGGAAGACAGAGAATACAAGGAAGAACATTGTAATTAAGTATTTTGCTCCATCACAAATACAAAAGTAGAACCTTTTCAAATCAACAATAGTGGAGAAAAAAGAATCACCATAAAAACAACATTACGGATTTCAGATAAACAAGAGGCATGAACCAATTGTTCCACAATCTCTCCAGATGACAAATTACTTTTGAATCCCATACTTCCCGTAGCACAGAATTTGCAACCCATTTTGCAACCTACCTGTAGAAAACAGGAGAAATAGGCTTTTATTGCACCAACCACAAATAAAAAGGAATATGCTTCAAGCAGCCGGAAACAGATTAACATCAACGCTCAATTCTTTTTTTTTTTTTTTTTGGGTGGGGGAGGAACCTGAGATGATATACACAAAGTTGATCTCAGACCACCAGGACGAGGTTTACCACCGTATTTGCCCAATCGTGTATCATACCTCATTATCACAGTCTCCACAAAAGCTCCATTCTAACAAGAGAAATACCAATCACAGTTTAATCATAATTGAAATTGAAATATATGTGTGCCTATGTTCGTGAACCAATGCTAAATTGCTATTAGCAAGGATGACTAACCAGCATGCTTCAAACTCCAAATAATTCGGCAATTCAAGAAAACAATAAGCAGAATATATAGAAAATCGTGGGTTAATAAAAAAAATTACAAGCATAAAAGTTCAATTGACATCCAGTTTATAATTAGCACGCCCGTATCAAAACAGAAACAGGAAAACTTAGCATGAAGACTTAGGCTGGGAAGGATATGCGGGTGTTTTAATCTTCCAAGAACTTGAAATCTTGTTTGTATATAGAAGACGGAATAAGTGCGAATACAAAAGATTATATATCATTTAGATCATCTAGAAAACATCAGTTCAATATTTTCCCATATACGTAGCTATTGTGTACTGAATCATAAAGCAGTTAGGTTTCCAATGCTTGGAAAATTAGAAGTTTTCACTTTTCACATAACAGACCAGGCTGCAGAGAATCAGTTTCCAAGCCCCCATTAACTTCTTTCTAATTAAACTTAATCACACCTCACAAGAATTGCCCATTTTGTCTCCCTCACCAGAAACTATAGTTCGACAACAGCCTACTACCGTTCAATCCAAAGTTCCTAAAGTAACCCCTTTTGCCCCCAAAGAGAACACGCCCTGAATCGCCCAGAGCAAGATGCATTTGAAAAAAAAAAAAAAACCGAACGAACCCAAAGTGGAAATCAACTTGGCGCTAATTGCAAAGTGATCAGAGGAATCATAATGCTGGATGCGATAAATAAAGGAAGAACGGTCCATTGAGACCGTAGACAGGGAGAGGATCGAGTAGTACATGGAGCTTGATGAGGAGCTTGGTGGTGAGGTTATCAGCAGAGTGGAACACAGAGTGAACAGAGGAAGAGAGGGGCTTTTTGAACCTGGAACGAAGCAAGGAGTATGCTGCTGAGGGCAAAGACGGAACTTGCTTCTCCCAGTCGAATTCCTCGCACTCACTGTTTTGCTTCTGATTCTGAATCACATGCTTCCATATAATCGGAACAAACTTCGGGTCAAGCCCTGCGTTTTGGAACTCCCTCCTGATGTCGGCCGCGTCGAACACCGATTGCATAGGCATTCTTCACCTCCTTTGCCGTTTCAAGAGCGGGACTGCCCGGAACCCGATTAGGGTCGATGCTCCGGCAAAGAGGTGGATATGGGTAAAAATGGTAAACCAGAACCAACGAAGAAGAAAGAATCTCATATAGGCCCTCGGAAACAATTTTTCTGCATGAAAACCTAAAGGAATATGAAATTCCGCCGCGAGCCCAAGGACATGTAATTAAAAGTTTTGTTGAAATATCAATAACATTAGGAATCTCACCATATAAGATTGAAGGATCATGTTTCTAGAAAAATAAATAAATGCATTAATTTTTTGATTCACATGATTTTTAAAGAATATTTTGAGATTTGATAGACTGTGCATTAATTGTAAGAGTTTTATAACTTTTTCTTTAACCTGATATTAATTTTTTTACACAATTTTTATTATGACTTTGTATTTAAGAAAAAAATTGTTGAAATGTCATCAATATTCTTATCTCTTTTTTAAAAAAATAAAAAATAAAGCGTCACAATCACCAATAGTCAAAATTCCCTCGCTTGCAAGGAGGACATCACTGCCAACGGCTAGCCACCGCGCGCACGCGCGCGCGCGCACACACAGATAATGTTGAATGAACAAGTTCTTAAAAAAACTAAAAAATTAAGTTTATTCAATTTTTTAATATATGAATAAGTTATGTTTAAATATTTATAAATAATTATTTTGATATGAATAATAATATATTCATAATTAATTACAGCCCATGAAAATAATTAAAAAAATTAAATTTATAATATATATATATATATATTATTTAATATAATATTGATAACTTATCAATTGTGAAGAAACAAATTGTTAAAAAAATTTAACAACTTGGTTTTTAAAATTGATAATTTTTTTTATGCATGAACAAATCATATTCACATATTTACAAGCGATTGTTTGGATGTAAATAATAATATGTCTATAATCAACTACAACCCATAAAAATGCTTGAAAAATAAATTTATAACACACATACACTATTTACCTATCAATCTTGAATGAACAAGTTCTTAAAAAAACTAAAAAATTGGGTTTAAAAAAGAGAAATTACTTTAGGTGCCACTCAAAACTCAGTTGTCAATGAACATAAAAATAATTAATTGTGTTGAGTGGGTATTGTACAAAAATCTCCCTTTAAAAAATTGAAAACTTTTTTATACATAATTAAGTCATGTTTGAGTATTTGTGAGTGATTGTTCTGACATGAACAATAATATGTCCATGATTAACCATATTTCATTAAAATACTTGAAAAATAAATTTATAACATATATGTTATTTAACATGATATTGATAATTTGTCAATATTTAAGAAAAAAGCTATTAAAAAATTGAATAAGTTATATTTTAAAAATTGATAACTTTTTTATATTTAAACAAGTCGTATTTACATATTTATGAATGATTGTTCAGATATAAACAACAATATGTCTATGATTAATCGTAACCCATATTAATACTTGAAAGCAAATGCTATAACATATATATTATATTTTGTAATTTTTAATGTATTGTTAGATAACTTTGGTCGTTTAATGGTAAACTACCTTTTATAATACCGCAAAGTTAAGGGTTCAAATCATTCCTTAACTCCCTTTGATCGGATTTGATCGTCAGTGCTAAGATTCAGCCACTGACGATGACAACAGGCTCCCTGATGGTGATGGATCTCTAGTGGCCATTACTCGGCAATATTGACACTTTTTTATAAAATAAAAAAAAAAAGCTAAGGGCATTTATGACACCTCAATACAAATTTTAATTACATGAAAGCCCTTGAGTTTATAGAGAAATTTCAAGGGAGAATTTTAGTTAAGAACTATTGTAGAAAATTAATTTCAAGTAATTTCAAATTTTTTTTTGAAATTTTAGTTCAATCTAAAGGAGAAAAGTAAAAAAAATTTCGATGATAAATATCTTTCACTAGTTATTTATCTTCTTACTGCACTTGTTAATTTACCAATATTACTTGTAAGTTACATCCATTTGTCAAACAATTAATAACATTAATTATTAATTTACTAACTTTATTTTTAATTTACTAATATTAGTTGTAAATTATAAAATCTGTCAGTAATTTACAATTGATATTAGTAAATTACAATACTTATTAGTAGTTTACAATTGATATTAATAAATTTACAAGTAAAGCTAGCAATTTAACAACTTATGATGTTATTTATGATTGAAAAACTACTGTCAAGTTTTATATAATTATTCACATATCAACTCATGTAATTTGCAATTAATATTTGTAAATTAACAATCAAAGTAATGAAATTAACAACTTTAATTTATGATTTTACATAATAAGTTAAGAATATTTTAATCTTTTTGTCATTTAATTTTTTTTAACTTTTCTCTTATGAACTGATTTGAAATTTTAAAATTTTTTTGAGCCCGCCTAAAATTAATTCTTTTTAGTGATTCTTAAGTGAAATTCTCCCAAATTTTAATTTTCTTTGAGCCCCTCATGAAGGTAACGTACTTCTGGGGATATCATATGAAATTTTCCCAATGAAAAACGTCACCACTTCAATTGAATGCCCATTCAACTTATTTTTTTATCCAAACGAAAAAGAAAGTCTTATTTCCTACTTTATTTTTGTTTATAATTAATCAATTTATTTTCATATCAGCAAAAAATTATTTGAATTACAATAAAATTATTTCCATCAATGTCATCTCACTATATATATATATTTAAATTATAAAAATTAATGTTGCAAATTGATTAAACTAAAAGAACTGAGAAAAATAAAATAAAACTATAAAAATTAAAAAGAAAACACAATCAAAGCACGTTGTTTTCCTTAATATTAACACATATATTGAATTTTATACTCTCTCTTTAAAAATATAAGACATTTTTTGAGGAGTTATATTTAAAAATATAAAGTATTTTTAATTTTTTAAGGTGTAATTATTATCTTTTTTTAAAAGTGCCCCTATTGATAATTACTTTATATTTATTATAGAGTATTTAATGGAAATAAATATAAAAAGATAGGGTTAGTTGAAAAGTAGGTAATTATTTTATTGGGGATGAGATTCGATTAAAAATATTTTATATTTTTAAACGGAAAGAGTATATTTTTATTATATATTTATTGGAACCCCGCAACATATTTTTTATGTTTTTTAAAATCTAAATAAAATAAATCATCTTTTATAAAATTTATTTATTTTTTAATTTTAAAACAAATGGATCCAATGTTTCTGATTGAGAGATTATGATTAATAATTAGATCGATGGATTTGCTTTATTTTTGTTTATGATGATGATGATGCTTGGTAGATCTATTTCAAAACGAAGACATACAACTACTTGCTGTACTTATTCTATGAAATGGTATTCTTTTAAATGATAGTTAGCGTTACAAAATCATTTAACGGATATCACAAACCATATTATATGTTTTTTATAGGTATATAACAATGAAATATTCGTAAATTCATGCAACTTGTGTGTCTGTTTGTGTATCCAAATAATGTGGATGGACTATCAAGCAATCTCAGCGTTAAATATTTTGACGGAAGCATTGGCTTGAGACGAAGCTTCCCTATCGACTATCGAGCTTATCTTAAGAAGCAAACTTTTGACTGAAGATATGCAATAACAGACACCTTCCTTCCTGAACTCTTGTTTCCCCCAAGTCCAACGTTATAAATATTTTACATTCATTGAAATGTGAAACCAAACACAAATAATATTACTTTGCATGCCATATTTGACAATAATTATGAATCTATCTTTGACAATGTTTATGATCAATATCCTATACTTTAATTGAAATAAATTCACATATTTCTTTTTGATGCTCATTACGAATTTCTTAAGACTATCAAGTAATTAAGACCATAATTGTCTAGATAAATAATTTTTTCCAACAAGATTAATTTCTTTCAAATTCACATCGAAGGAAAAGAAAATTGAATATATAAAATTAAAAATATATACCTACCCATAAGTTAATAACAATAACAAATGGCTTTAACAATTAAACACACTAAAGCTATATTCTTGTGTAAATTAATTAGCTTTCTTTTGTTTGTTACAAAGAGGAAAGAAAAGAAAGAAAAAGAGAAATTATCCACATTCTCATTACAGAAGAATTTATGATATGGTTACCCAATCGATCATGGTTGAAGATGAATAACCATACTAAACAAACAAATCCACCATAAAAATTAAAACAGCCATAGATGAAAAAGACCAGGAAAAAAAAAATCAACCTTGTGTGTGTTTCCATGGACAATATAAAATGAAATCCTCAGTACTTCCGAACGTTGTTGGAATTACGAGAAACTAATTGAGAAGCATGAGATGAAGCTGCAGATTTTGCAGCGGGAGAGGCAGCAGAGAGGAAAGGAGGAGGATCTCTTGGGCTGACCAGGAACCCGTCCTTGCCATACCGGTGATCCGAGAACTCTGCGGCGGCAGCGGAGGCCGTGGACACAGGGAAGTCGGAGCGGGTCCTGCGGTGGGATGACCCGCCAAAGGAATCGGATCCGAGGAGCAAATGATAGCTGCGGCCGTTGGAGCTGTCGGAATTATGAGAGAAGCTACGGCGATAGGTTCTGGAAGGAGACTTGTGTTGTTGTTGCTTCTTGATGGCATGAATAAGATATGGAATTAAACCTTCCATGTTAATTTTTTGAAAAAAAAAACCAAGAACTTGCCTGATTCTGTATGGCTTGGATTAAAGGTACAAGAGGATGATGATGGTTGACGAGGATGGATGAGATATGGGTGTGTAGATATATGTATATACATATATAGCGAGAAAAGCAGAAAATGAAGTGGAAATTAAATGGAGGACAGCTCATCAGAAATCTGATATGAAAAGAATATACATGAAAGTGTCACGCGCCTTGATATAATAATTATGTTGTTTTACATGCATTATGTTAAATGGATGGACCTTTGAATTGTACAAATTAAATAATAATTCTACAGAGGCGGCTTTGTATGTATATGGAAATACTCAAACGCAGCTTTATCTGTTTGACATTTATGAGGAGCCCTCATATCTGCATATACGCATCTATGTGCGATGGTCAATGAATTTCGGTTGGAATTGAAATTTCTAGAACTTGTGTCCAAAACTAAGACCAAAAACGAGAGAGTTGACTAATTTTTTTTGTATAATGATTCATGCATATCCAAATTAGTTTGACTTTCTGTTTTCCTTTCGCGTCTTCCCCAACGGCACGTCACGCAACGGCCACAAAGTCAAGCTATGCCATTATCATGTTTAAAGGAAATGGATCCTTTCCAGCTTTCGCCTTCTGCTCGCCCTTCTATTCGGAGGGGAAAAAAGAAATGGACTCAGGTAAAATTGAGAATCTGTGAATATAATTATTTTTTTTAAGAAAATGGAGAATATTTTATATTATATAAAAAATAATAAAATGAATAAAAATATAAAAAATTTATAAAAATTCATAAATATCAACTTTAAAAAATTTAAGTCAATGTTTAAATATTCACGCGAACGGACACACACACGATCTTCTTTTTTTCTGTAGAATAAAGTTTCAATGAGTTGGGTCTCAACAGTTTATTAGAGTTAGAATGTGCTTTCAAACTTAAAGAATACTTATAAAAGTATTTATAGATCAACCATAAAAAAGATCATCATATCAGCAGCAAAATTTAAACTAATATCCTGATGAGTTATGGTTAAATCCTTACAAAAGTATTTACAAATGAATCATAAAAAAATCCTTAGCAAAATTTAAACTAATTACTTAACGAGTCATGATTAAATCTTTGCCAACTGGACAACTTTTTTATCTTTTGAAAACTGGCCAACTTTTATTGGCATACACATGGAATTTTCGTAGGTCAAGAATTATATTTTCCCCCTTTTGGGGCTGACGAACCAAGTGTGCTTATTTTAATCAGTGTTTTGACGCAGGAATCTTTTAAGTATATCATATCATTGCAGGAGAATATAAACCTTCGCAAATCGTCTTAAAAAATGGTCAAGACGAAAATTGAACATGTATCGTGTGTACACTTCCCCTTCCCTCATTGTTACTCTTTATTAAAAACTAGAGAAATAAATAATAAATTATATACAGAGATTTTGGTGTTTTTGATCTTTTATGCTGAAATGAAAAGATGATGCGGAATTTTCGTAAATAATAAAATAAAAAGAAAAATGACAATTAAAGACCTCATAACAACGTTAATTAAAATTACACATCTTGAATGATTGAAATCCTAATAATAAACAATAATCATTACTTGCATTAAAGTATTTTTTATTGATCAGTTTGAAATTTACAACTAACTTTTGTAAATTCTCAGTTAATAATACAAAGAATTTTAAGTATCTTTTATTGAATTCCTAAAAGATATTATCTATACATTGATAGCAAAAAATTGGCTTGCAATTCATAACTAATTTTCATAAATTTTCAAACTAATGTTCCAAAGTGTATTTTGTAGGTTTTTCAAGCAATTTATTTATATATTGACAGCAAAAAATTATAAGTGATCAATTTGCGATTCACAAGCAACTCTCTTAAATTCTTAACTAACATTACAATTATAATTCCAAGTGTATTTTATTATTTTTTCAAGTAGGTTATCTGTATAATGAAAACAAAAAAATCAAGATTCATAATTGACTCTTATAAATTTACAATTGATGTTATAAATAATTTCAAGTGCATTTTATTAATTTTTCAACTAAATATTTATATTTTTTAATTGCAAGCAAGGATAATGATTTATTATTGAGATTTTAATGATTTAAGGTCATAATTATAATTGATGTCCATATGGGGTCCACAGTTATCATTTTTCCTAATTAATCTGTGTGCTTGATCCACATCTATTTTAAGTCAAATTGTATTATGGGAAAACATCATTCAAGAACTACTGAGGCAATTTAATATTAAATAAGGACTAAATAATTCTAAAATATCACCTCAAGAGTATGTGATTGATTTGAAAATAATTTTAGATAGGAAAAATTAATCTTTTAGTCTTTTAAATTTTAATTTACTTATAACTCAATCCTTCAATTATGATTCACCTATAACTCAGTCTCTCAACTTTTGAATCACTTACAAATTAGTCCATAAACTTTTGTTAATTTTTTTATGTTAGCTTATATCTCACATCAATGAATAAGGAGAGGGTATTTCAGAATAATATATGAGCATTTTTTATCCCTCTTATTTGATAAGAAATTTAAAAAAAATTAAAAATAAGGACTGAATTATAGGTGAATCAAAAGTTGAGGGATTGAATCACAACGAGTTATAATTGAGGAATTGAGCAAGTGAGTTAAAAGTTAAAAAATTAAAAGATTAATTTTTCCTTTTAGATAATAAAAGACTATAATACCCTTTCTTTTCTTAACGGGTACTTGTTAATTAATAAATGGATACTTGTTGAAACATAATTTATATTTGTCTCTTCCTTCAATCAAGATCTTTCATATTCTTAAACTTATTAATTAACAAATATGTTCTTGTTAAATGTGAATGAGTACTTATTAATTAACGAATATATACTTGTCAATTAAAAATAAAAATAAGGATATTATAGTCTTTTTTTATCTAAATTTAATTTCAAATCAATCCTTAATCCTGTAGTGATATTTTAAAATTTTTTAATCTTTATTTAATATTAAGTTGCCTCAACAGTCCTTAAATGATATGTTTCCTTATTTTACTTATGTGTATTTATCATCATATACTTTAATAAATATGAAACATTTTTTTTAGAAATATAAGATAAGAAATTTAACTTGAACGAATAAAATTTAAAATTTTCGATACAAAATCCATGTTATTGGGATAAGATTAATAGATAATGCAGACGAACATATTGGCATTGCCATTGAGGGGTGCGTTGACAGAAAATCAGAATAGACAAATTAAGATATTTATTTGTGCGCGAAACGTTAACAAGCTGGAGTAGCTCAGTTGGTTAGAGCGTGTGGCTGTTAACCACAAGGTCGAAGGTTCAAGCCCTTCCTCTAGCGCTTTTCTCAACAGTAAATATTTTCCTTTTTAAGCCAGAATTTAACTTCAACTTTCATAATATACGCATGACATATCACAAACAGGACTCCCCCAAATCCGACCACTGCTAAACTTTAGTATATGGCTATTCCAATTTCATATAATTTAGGTTGTAGCTACTAGATACTTTGGAGTCACTTAGACACGAAGCCTTCTCCATTTCCACTTCCTGAAACTTTAACATCAATCTGGTGTTTCACCTGAGCTTCACTGGAAGAACCCACCAAAACGGTGTGCTTTCCGAGGACCAACTTCCTCTTCCCTTCACCATCCACCACACTCAGGTCTTGGCACACATTTATCTTTACATTCACAAACTCTATCTTCCCAACCTCCACTTCCACTCTCTCAAATGCCACCAATTGGGTCACCGGAGCTCCGTAAATTTGCCCCGATCCCACTGGATCCCAAAACACAAGCACCACATGGGACCCATCATACTTGGGTCCGTTGTTCTTCACAGCAATCACAAGCAGGATTGTCAAGTCCAAGCAATTTAAGGTTGAGATGTCCAGTGCTTGGCCTTCATGGAGGGACTGATCAAGGTCGTGATTGAAGGGAAGCGACGTGGCGTTGCTTTGAACGAAAATGGTTGGAGGAGCAGAGGCTATGAAAATGGAGAAAGAGGAGTAGCTCAAGCCATGGCCAAATGGATAGATTGATTTTCCTGTGTAGAATCTGTAGGTTCTTCCTGGGTAGTTTCTTGTACAATTGGCTCTCATGTTCATGTCTGTCATGGGAACCTGATCCACATACGATTGTGGGTACCATGTAAATGGGGACCTCCCACCTGAAAGTTTCACACTTTAGTTAGTCATTAGTAGTAGTAGCACTACTATACAAAATGATCTATGAGAATACTCCTAGCATTTCTATGGGCAAACGCTCTAAACTATAGATGGGGTTAAGTGATAAATTTGTATTTAAATTGTAGGTCAACAAACTTATGGGATCTTCAATTTCATTTTTGATGCAATCTTTTCCTTTAGTTTTTCAAAAACACTGCAATATCATCTCTTCCATTAACAAATATTAACTTTAATTGTTAATTAATTAAAAAGTTGCAAAATGATTTAAAAAAATTTCTTGATCATTTTTTGCAATTTTTTATGACATTGTCTGTAATTTTAGGTCCTTTTTGTAATTTTGTTGGTCTTTTTTTATAATTTTATAATCAATTAATAGTTAAAGTTAACTTTTATTAATAATAAAAATGACATTGTATTATTTTAAAAAATTAAAAAGAAATATTATGTAAAAATTGAATTTAAGATTTCAAATGATTTTGACTTATAATTTAAAAAGTGAAATTACCCATCAAAAATTACACACCTGGGTTGTAATCTCCAAATATAACTTGAGCAATTGCATCTCCTCCGTCTTGGCCAGGATACCCGACCCACAGAATCCCCCCAATGTTACTGATACTTTGAGTGAAAGAAATGTCAATAGGACCAGCAGCCATAATCACCAGAATCACTATCCCATTGGAGGCACCAGCCACATCTGTGACAAGCTTCTCTTGAAACCCAGGCAACGTCAGGTTCACTCTATCAAGCCCTTCTGCCTCAACAGATTGATCCAATCCCACAACCAACACAACCACATCAGCACTAGCCGCTACTTTGACAGCCGCTGCAATAAGACTCTGATCACCACATTTCACATTTCTACAACCAGGTGCATAAGTTAGGCCTGGCACGTACTTCTTTAGCCCTTGTAGAGGGCTAGTGTACCTACAGGGTATGCCAGCATAGTTGCTGATCATCACTGTGGTGGCATTGGCATTGGGTCCAATTAAGGCTAGTTTTTTGGTGTTGGTTTGGGATAAAGGAAGAGAGCCTTTGTTTTCCAGTAAAACGATGCCTTGTTTTGCAGCTTCTAGGGCTAATTGTTGGTTGCTTTGGGTGCACACATCAGATGGGCCTAGGTTTGCAAATGGAAGTGACTTTGGGTCATCAAAGAAGCCTAGTCTCATAAGGACAATGTAATTGTACACGAGGGCTTGGTCCACCGTGGATATATCCACTTTCTTTAAGTTCACTGCACTTGCCGTGTACTTTCCTAGATAGTTTCCACAGTTCATGTTTAAACCTGCATGATAATTGATAACATTTATGACATTTGGTATTAGAATAATAGTATAGGTTAGTCAAATGTTATTATTTAGTGTACCTGCTTTCAGTGCAAGAGCGACTGCATCTTCTGGCGTTGGTGTGTACTTAATTGTCTCGAAAAAGACTTGCACTGAATCACAGTCTGAAACAATATATCTGCATTGAAGCCCAACAGGAAGATTATAACTAAAATGCTTGAAAACTAATTTAATTTGTTTATATTTTATTATTTTTTTGGGAGTACTCGTGGAGTGAAAGAATTACTTAATTAATTAGTGAGGGGAAGCCATACCCGTCAAGATCCCATTGGCCTCTGACAATCCCTTGGAGGAGGTCAGGGTCGGCGCAGGTGGGAATCCCGTTGACTCTGTTATAAGAGCACATCACGCTGCTGACGTGTCCCTCTTCCACACAGCTCTTAAAGGGAGGCTGATATGTGTCCTCCAAATCTTGCTGTGTCACCTACACCAAACCTCTCACCCATTGGCCATTTCCCAAATAATTCAAACAAAAAAAAACTAATTATGCATCTATGATCTGTGCCTTCTATGTATTTAAGATGGCAGATAATATCAACCTGTAAAAAATAATATCATATAATATTTAATATTATTAACACCCCTATATAATAAGTGCATTAGTCATGAAAAATACGGCTTGTTTTATAGAACTCTGCAACATACGGATCATGGAGTATTATTTATTTTAAAATTAGCTGCCGTAAAATATTTAATGAATTTAAAATAAACAAATTGAATTAATCATATACTCTGTACTTGATTTATATATATTATATAACATGTAAAAATTATTGACATTGTCTAAAAAATAAAGAATTTTTTTTAAAAAATATTTTCTCTCTTTCACATATAACTGTTTACTTCATTCCTAAAAATTGTGAAAAAAAAAATAAAAGTGAAAGGAAGTAATTAATAACGCACCGTGTAAAGTGACTTGTAAAAAATACCATCAATTCTTTCTAGGTGACTTGCATATATAGAATCGGAAAGAGTGACAGACAAAAACATGTAATAATGATAATGTTAAGCAAGTATGCGTAGCGTAGATATGCCTACATATATGAATGAGTTCTATACTTTTTGAGGTAATATGCATTATTTAATTTCATTAATTAATCCTTCTTATCTGCGTTGTGCACAAACACTGCAAAAATATTAATTTCTGTTCAAGCAATTTAGCATCAAATAAGTCTCATTTACCTTGGCGTCAAAATGAAAGCGATCAATGCCTTTCCAATTATCAAGGTCATAAGCAGTATAATGCTTACAACAACTTGAAACCTTAAGCCTCCCACCCCTCTCGTCGTCGTCGTCCTCGTCGTCACCGTCAACTTCTTGCAGGCCACGAACGTACCTGACGGCATACCTGCTCACCACCAAGGGGTCCTCGCCGGGAGTCTCCTGGCCGCGGCCCCACCTCGGATCCCGAAACACGTTCACATTAGGACTCCAAAACGTCAACCCGGCGAGCCCCACATTGTACATGCTTCGAGCCTCCGTCGACACCACCCGACCCATCTCCAGCCACAAGCTCTCATTAAAGCTTGCCGCCGATAGTATCACTGCCGGAAAGCTCGTTGCGCCGGGGACAACTTTGTTGAACTTGGTGCCCGGGCCTACGTTGGAGACACCATGAAGCGCCTCCGACCACCACTCATAAGCCGGCACGCCTAGCCGGGGAATGCCAGCAGCAGTGTTCCCGAGCTGCTGGGCCTTTTCTTGGAGGGTGAGGCGAGAGACGAGGTCAGAAGCTCGGGTGTAGTAAGGTAGGGTAGTGTCGCAGAAAGGGAAGATGGCGGTTTGAGAAGAGGCATTGGTGCATGCATGTTTTTGGCTAACTATGGGAAGGGTTGGACTTAGAAGGAATGAAACACAATAAAGGAGTAATACAAGTTGGGTTTTCATGGTTTAATTTTGTGTTGAGATTTGAGTGTTGTGTATGTAGGGTATATATAGAATATAGTGACTACACTGCTTCATCTATTGATGGAATAAAAGTAGGAAAAAAAAGTAGAATTGAAGATTTATTTAGACACTCTGCAGATTTCAAACTTTAATTATTGTGAAATTGTATTTATTATTATCTTTTTTTTAATATTTCATTGATTATTATTATCTTTCATGATATTTACATTTAATTTTAGGATTTTTGAAATATTCTCACATTTAATTTAAAGGTTAAGTTAAACTGTTAAAAGTCTATAAATCACATATTAATTCTTGAATGAATGGAATCAAATAGTGAATTTTGACTTTCTTTCTTTTTCTCTTGGACATGTCGATCCAGAAACAATTGTGTGGGGAGCCAAAATTTATTTTAGCATTTTTCACAATTAAAAACAAAGTATTTTTTTTTTAAAAAAAAATTGTGATAGGGGTGCTTGCCTCACTAAGTCCATCCCTGCTTCTTAGTTATTTTTTAATCATCTCTATCAGCTCTTTCTCTCCCGAGATTCCCTTTCCCTGCGTGTGTTTGATTAGTTGTGAGAAAACGTGAATATATATGAGAAATAAGGGAGTGCAAATATTTTTTTTTTCCAGTAAAGGAGTGGAAATTTTTTTAACGGCAATAACTGTGTTTGGGAAAAATTCTAAATGATATAGAAATGCACAAACTGTTTCTTACAGAAAACTTTTTATTATATATTTTCAATATAATTTCGGCAGCTGGCGTGATTCGCGTAAATGAACTATTTTTAAGTGTTATGGGGTGATATAAGTTATAAAAATATCTATATATTACCACATGCATAAAAATGTTTAATTATATTCTGGATATACATATATATGCAGGTTTCCTTTGGTGCGAGTTCTAAAAGGTGGTTGCTTGTGAACTGAGATAGAATATGGCTAGAAAATAGATGTCGATTGTATGGTCATTCATATCATATTATCATATATGTAATGATCATGACATGCTTAGGCGAAACAAAAGCTTCTTTATCTGATCCACTACGTGGTCGGATGGTCCAGCACGTCGATCGTCCCTGTTGACGTAGTGCCGATATATTGTTTAGACCAAGACTCCAATCAAGTTAATCAAGTTAGTATACTTTCAACTTTGCCTAGGAATTGTATTATGTTTTCTTCTGATGTAAGTTTTCTCGTACTGCATGTATATAATTGATAGAGAAAAAGGGGAAGAAGAATCACTCATGCTTGGGTGACTTCTAAGATATACACATTATAGAGACAAAGACGTGCACCCACCTTATCCCGCCCAGTCATGATTTATTAGACAAGACTTTAATATTTTAAAGTTGATTTTTTTATTTTTTTTATAAAATATAAAATCTTATCTCTCTTTCTTTCTTAAAAATGTAGATTTTATAAAATTTACTGATTCTTATTTGAAAAACCATACTCTAAAGTCATATTATTAAAACCAATGAACCAATGCAAAAGAAAACTCGGGTTATTGAATGAACTGGTGCCTAATTCGGCCAGAAATGACCAGAATCAAACTTTTCATGATTGGGCCGGTCAATAACCATAATACAAATTCAAAGCAATTAACTGTGGTGCCCCTTATGGAAAAATACCTTGGGCCTGATTGGACCTCAGCCCATTGTGCTTCAATAAATGTAAAGTGAGTAGGAAGGAATGGACTCGGGAAAATCCCGAAAACGCAGGACCAGGCCTTCATCTTGTCAAGGAAAACATACCTGGAACAAATAAACTAATTAATTTTTAAGGTGTTTAATTTAAAGTTTTAAACTGAATGCAAACGAACATGGTGAACAGAGACTCTTTTATCTATTATATATCTATTTTTATTTAAAATTATAGCACGTAAACTAAGAAACATGAATAATGTAAAATACTCTTATTTTAGAAACAAAAGGAGAAATATGATAATTGGAAAAAAAAATGATAGGTAAGAAATAGGTGATAAAAGATTAATATAATCAGGAACGCATTTTTACACGCCTTCTATTTTCAAGTTAATAATCAATAATACTGAATAAACGTTTTGAACGAGAACATAAGATGGAGGGAATGGATTGTAGCAAGAAGTGAAGCACTATTTCATTGCCCATGAGTAATTATTATAGCTATGCATGAAGAAGTTGCCAACAAAATCAGCAATTGGCCAAAAGGGGGGGGGGGTTAGACCAATTCGCTATAACCTGAATGCACTAACCTTAGGTCAGACCAATTTGCCATAATCCATCCGCACTAACCCATCCAATTTTTAAATTGGGTTTGCATGGAGCACGAGCAGTGCCAACCCATTTTTGTTGTGTACTGGATAGGCTGCTGACCAGCCTATCTTGCTTATTGTAACATCATAAATATTCAACTTTAAAATTTCAAGCATCTGAAAAGAGTAAATTTGTCAAAGTAAGAGATTTATAAATTAATTATGTTTTTGGCTGACTAATACGGTTTATGGATTATTAGACAGTCTTAGAAGAGGGCTAAATTAAAGTTGAGTGGGCTGAGGCATAGAAGGAGGCCTAAAATAGTGATAAGCCTTTTCTGTGTTGCAGATAGACAAAAATCTGTGTAAATCAGTTTCGTCTTCACATCTTAAATTGAAGGGAGAAAAGAAAGAAACAAGAGAGAGAAGATGAAGCAAAGGCTTGGGATTGCTAGGGCTCCATTCTTGGACGGATTTAGAGGCATTTGGAGTTTGCTACACGTTTGGGTAAGTTCCTTTTCACTTCCCTCTCCCTTTATGCAAATTTATGTAATTTTGGTATAATGTGGGGTTTGATTCCTGTTTTTTTAGATTGTGATTAAACCCATTGCCTTAGTTAAGGTCTTAAAAAGTTAAATCAAGCATTTAAACCTAGATTTATAAATTTTATAGTAATTTAAAATTTTATATTAGAGTTTGGATGAATCCTAAATAAAATTTAGGGGTTTTGAAACAATATGGGTAAAGGATTGGCGTCATTAGTGTGTTTGGATACTAAAAGAAATTAAAAGAATGTATTAGGAGCCTTCATGGTGTTAAAGTAAAATTTTGGATATAGTAGGTACCCAAAATCATACTAAAAAGAGGATTAATTAGAATGAGAATTGATGTTAAAATGTTTAACCTCATAGGTTAATTATTGATCAGGAATTATTATGCCAGTGGATACTTGTGGAGCTAAGTTTTGACCACGATAACCCTTTTTGTAACAAAAAAATTGAGGTAACCAGATTATCTAAACTTTCTATTTGTATGTTTGGATGGTTGTGTGTTAATTGAAAAATAATCATTATGATTTTGTACCAGTATAGTATTAATATGAGAAATGATTATGATGTAAAGTGAAATGGATAATTATGTTTTGCACACTTGTGGTTTTGAAAGTTTTGTGCTAAATCATATGTTCATGTATATGCATTCGTGAAATTGTATAATTTATAGTGGAACTAATTACTCAAATATAATTCATATGTTTATGGCTATGCATGAATTTGTTGAGCACGTCTTTAGCATGATCACTGTAAGATGGTAAGAGTTCACCCTAGTATTTGTTTGGGAATATTGTTTGAAAATTCATATAATACACTAGCACCATGGAAGCTCCAGTGCATAGTTCTATATTTGTTTGGAAGCCCTTGTATTATTTGAGCTAGATTGGGCATACGACACTTTAAGTATTCATGAAATGGGGGAATTTATGGTCCATAATGTGTGAAGGCACATTTGGCTAGGGTTGGCTCCTACGATTGGTAAGCTTAAGCCTATCTAGTCACTTGGATTTAGTTCTATTGAATTTTCAACCCACAGATTCAGTCGGAAGAAACAATAAGGATATAAAGTGGTGTGTTGATCATGCATATCTCTAATGGATAGCCATGTGTGTGTGTGTAACATGATATGTATAGGATATGTGTTTTAAATGTAACTTAATATGCTCACTAACTGTTCTCACACATGAGTGGTTTGTTTAGATTATTTAGTTACTAAGTCCCCGATTCATCCCGTGGTAATATTTTACAAGGCAAAAGGAAGGAAGGTGCTATAGAGAATTGAGACTTGTATTGTATAGTCTTCTTTCTCCCTATTTTGTGGTTTTGTAATGAATATTAATTGATATTCATGCCAACTTAGACATGATTTGTTTAGGAGTCATTTGCATGAGAACTTGTGTAAATGTGTGTAGTACAACTTAAAATAATGTATTTATGTTTTTGTATTGTTTACATATTGGAATGGCCAAATGATGTTTATTGTGAATTATTATCACCCTTTGAATTCATTATGGAATTAGGGGTTTTGTTGGCCAGTTGTGTTTGGATTATTTTAGTTATTGTATATTTCGTCTATCAGGCTATTCGTGGTCTAATTGAGTCGATTCAAGTGGTTCAAAGCTTATTGGCACTAAGGTTATAGGTTTAGACACCCTTATAGTTGTTTTGAAAGGAAATGGATCAATTTGTATTCAGGTTTTCAACTTTTGAATGGTTGAGTATTTGGGTGTGAGACTGGTGTCAATAGCTAAGTGGCTCTAAGAACTACATGTGGACACTTGAATCGCTCAAATCAAACGTTGGATAGTGAAATGTCACTCTTCTGAAGTTAGTCTCGAAGTGATATCATGATAGTAGGGGTGTGTTGCGACGCACTGCACAGAGAGAAACATGGTTCCTTTGTGTTATCTGTCACAATGGGTAATACCTGGCCGTTGCGGATGGTGCATTTTGAAAGAATTTCATAGTACTTCGTTGAGGTAGTTAAGAGTTGTAATTTGTTTCCTATGCGTCCGCTATCTTGTTTATTTGACTTTAAATAATATGTTGGGCTTAAAAGTTCTTAAAAAAAGATTTCTTCCAATCTTTAGAAGTAATTTTCTAAAACTCTTGTGTTATGATAATTTTATATAAGAAATTTAATTCATCCTAATTATCATAATTGTATCTTGTGCCTCGTATTTCGTGTGTTTGGTAATGTCAGAATGAACATTATACCTATTACTCAATATTGGGGGACTAATCAAAAGGTCAAGATACCTCCTCGTTTCTCAAGTAAATTAAAGTCCATTTGGTACAATGGAATTAGGCTGTATGGGAGTGAAATTGAAAATGAAAATCATATATTAGCTTGTTTGGTATGTCAAATTTCAATTTCATATGGAATCAAATTCCACGAAAATGATGGAAATGATTTCCACTATATGACTCATGGAATTCTAAAAAATTCCATAGAAATGAGATCTATGACATTTTTCTCCTTCCTTTTTATCCCCACCTTCGACAAAACTTGTTTACCTCTTCCTAGATAGATCTTGCATGATGACGATGATGACAACGACCTCCTTAGTGACGGTGAAGGTGACCTTCTCAGCGACGATGATGGCTTCCCCTTTATTGATGGAGGTGATTTTCCCTTTCCATGGAGTTCGAAGCTTGCGACTGCGATGGCTTCCTCATTACCCCACTATCGATAAGAAACCTATTTCACAAAGCAATGATGATGGCTTCCAGAGCTTTCTTCTCCTTCATATATAGACAGCAATGATGGAGCAATGATGGAGACGATGAGCAACAACCACAACATAGTAGTAACATCTTACATCTCCTCCTCCCTGTTGTTTGTGAGATCGTTGATTGTTCTTCAATTGGGCTGCCTTTGATTTCTTGATTTTTGAATCTGGATTGTTGGCTGAATGGTTATTTCTTTTTTAATGTTGGTTTTTGGTCTTCAATTTGATAAGTGCTCTTGGCTGTACTTTAAATGGTGTTTTTTTGTTTTGTTTTGTTTTGTTTTACGGTCTTCGATTCAGCCTTAAATGGTGGTTTTTCGCTCTTTAGTAACGGTTCCTTTAGCAATCTTCAACGAAGGGTAATTATGGTGAATCTGTCAATATCTTCTTTTTTTCCAATTAAATTCATGGGCAATTTGGTCTTTTCAATGTATAAAGAAATACATTAAATAAAATTTATATCATATTTTTATGTGTATATCGAATATATTTTATTATTTTTACATTTCATTTCTACTTCCGTCTACATCCCCATCTCCACTTTCATTTTTGTTTTTATTTCATAAAAAACACTTTTATTATACTAAACAGCCCTCAAGCTTTTTTAGAGTATAGTTTCAAAATTTTGGGCCATTTATATGTTTCTTGGATTTTTGTTTTTGTCGTCTACCATTGGGCTTGAAGTGTCCAAATCTATAACTCTGCTTTTACTGGCGAGATGTATCTCTTATCTTTCATGAAGTCTTTTTACTACTTGCCCCAACGTCCACTTTATTGGGTTGGTCATTTTTTATTAAAGATAAATTTTTATTTCAACTAGAAAATGCCCTATACAATGTATGGAAGGGAAGAGAAATTCACCCGTTTTCTTATTCTTTTTTATTTGTCTCTGGACATCATGTGAGTATGTATATTTATGAGAAATTATGGCTCAATAGAGTGTGATTCTTGTGTTCAATGAGCCTATTTTTAGCAGGCCACAAAAATATGTTAATGTGTTAAAATGATATCATAAATACAAAATATCGTCACATGGTATTATAAAAATATAGTGTGAAAAATTTATTAAATATTAACATTCATAATTAGGCATGCTTTAATTTTCATAAACTGAAAAGGATGATGAATATAGAAAAAATGTAAATTTTTTTTAAAAGTCCATAATTAAGATTTAGAGTAAAATATACTAACTACTCTTCTATTATTCTTTAATTTAAAAATAACTAACTAATAATTATTTTTATTATTATTATTATAATTAAATATAAAATATATTTGCTTTTTATAAAACCTCTATAAGATTAATATAATTTTATAAAATTTTTAAATTATTTAAAAATTACTTATTTTTTATTCTTAAAACAAATAGATTCTTAAATTTTTTGAAAAAATTACATATATATTCGATACAAAAAATTATTTATTATAAGATTCATTAATAATTGAATTGAGATCATTAACAATACAAATTTTATAATAATTAATTTTTTTGTATGGGATTTGAACATAATTTTTGTTATTTTTTTTAACTATATATAAAAAAAGATGATCATATCAAAAATGATACAGACAAAAGAGTTGAGGGAAAAACAATTATTTTTTAAAAAAAGAAATTGACAGGTCTACAACATAGTTTTTTGTTTTAAAGAATGATCAAATTTTATTAAAACACAAATAAATCGATTACAAATACAAATGCGCAACGAATTTAAGTTTCATGCTCTCATGTCACTATTGATTTTATCGCTTCAGGAACAATAAAAAATTATTATGTTATATTTTATTATATTTTATTTTACTTCAATTTTATTATGAAGCGGACTTGTTTACTGAAATAAAAAAGAAAATGCTAGGATGAAGCATGAAGAGTCCATGCTTCGTTGTTAAGCATAGAGGGCGCCATTTATTCCGTGGACTCATGAAAGAGTCAATAGATCGGTTGCGTTTCCATCTCTAGCAAGTCTCCCTTCCCTTCTCAGACTTATTTCTCACACAACCATTGAACAATAACCAGCAAGTTCCAAGCTTGTTTTTATTTCCGTGAATTTCCGACCAAATTGTAGTGAAGCTAAGAATAAAGGCATGACTATTAACATCTGGGGTTCTTTTTCAAATTGAACTTCTAAGCTAACTATTTGAAAATTCTGGAAATCTCCGTATCTCTTTCTCGTCGTCCTTACAGTGCAGAAAATGAAGCTTCGGAGGTCATCGCTTTCTTTTCTCCTAGGGTTTCTGTTGGTTTCCTTCGTGCCCTTATCAGTGGCGAGATTCGTGGTGGAGAAGAACAGCTTGACGGTTACGTCGCCAGAGAAGATTAAAGGCACACAAGATAGCGCAATTGGAAACTTTGGGATCCCTCAATATGGAGGCAGCATGGCTGGGAACGTCGTGTACCCGAAAGAGAACCATAAAGGGTGTACAGAGTTTGGGGATTCCTTCAAATCAAAGCCTGGAGCTCTTCCGACCATCCTTTTACTCGATCGTGGAAGTAAGATTCTTGTACTTCGACTAATCTGTTGTTTATGTTGAATTTTGGGGTTCAGATGTTTTCGTTTTTTTTTTTAGTTCACTAACTGCTAAAATCGAGCAGTAAGATTCCTTTACTTCTCACTCCGTCGATTTTTCACTTTTTACTAATCTGAAATGGGTAGCATCTGTTGGTTTTAGTTAATTGCATTGATTTAGTTCATGGAGAATATGCCTCTTTTGTCAGTTTGTACTAACATCATAGTATATTTGTGCTTCACGTCTATCTCTTTCAGGTCCATCTATAATTTTCTATTTTTATTAGTTTTGTTCCCTAAGAAGTGTATTCTAGTTACCTTGTATTGATTCGTTGAATCCTATGTTTATATTTGTCTAATTTAAAATAATTTTGAAAAACCATTATTTGCTATTTCAGTTTGTTCTAAATGATTTGATAATCCAAGAAATGACATTAGGGTTTATTTGATAATTACAAAGTTAGCGGTTTGGTTTAGACATGCAACTGAAATGAACATATTTTGGAATCAGGACTAAACCCCACTTCATGATTATGTTTATGGATCAACAGCAATGCGTCTTAGTTCTTACAAATTAGGCCCTTTTAACGTTTCACTGTTCTTCCAGAATAATTCCTTTTTCTTATCTTCTCAACTCCTTTTACACTGCTTCAATTGAAATTTGTAAATGGATTTGTTTCAAGGTCCATTCCAGTTTGCTTACTGGTTGGATCTCCTGGTTGGTTGAGGGCTTTTGGTCTTATTTTGAATGAGATGAATACAATTCTTAATTGGGCTTGAGACTTGGTCATAAGAAACATCTTCTGAGTTCAGGAGGCATACAGATGACCAAAGGAGCTGGAATAAACTCTTACAAATAATGCTGTGACCATCAAATAATTATCACAGAGCAGCTTGATCAATTTGTAAAATAAATTCCTGATACCTCTGATTTGAAGTGCACTTAAATTTAAATTAAATGAGATTTGAGCCTTGAAACCTTCAAATTTATTTATGATGTAATGGCTTTAGCTTGTTCATATTTGACATGGATTCCTGGAAATCATGCTCATAATAACTATTTGAATAGTTCATTTGCTTAAGAATTATAAGCCTTCCAAAATTAATGAAATTACAGTGACTTTACCACAATACGATGATCCAAGTTGGTGATGCTTTCTTTGCAAAATAATAAGTATATGCAGGTCTAATGGATTGTCCCTATGGGCATTTTGCATTAACTTTTTATTGACTTGTTAGATACGGTAATTCATTGTTGCAAGCAATATGCTTGATTCATTTGGAATTCAGGTGGTATGCTATACATATGAGAGCGGCTAAGCTTCAATCTGTTCTATTGGGTGCATTCTTAGAGCTTTTATTTTGTTCTTTCAGATTGCTTCTTTGCTTTGAAGGTCTGGAATGCCCAGAAAGCTGGTGCTTCTGCAGTTATTGTTGCAGATGATGTTGAGGAACCCTTAATAACCATGGATACACCTGAAGAAGATGCAGCATCTGCAAAATACATAGAGCATATAACAATACCATCTGCACTAGTTGAAAAAAGTTTTGGTGAAAAATTGAAGAACGCCATAAGTGGTGGGGATATGGTTAATGTAAATCTTGATTGGAGAGAGGCAGTCCCCCACCCAGATGATCGCGTAGAGTATGAGCTGTGGACTAACAGCAATGATGAGTGTGGAGTTAAATGTGACATGCTGATGGACTTTGTGAAGGATTTTAAGGGAGCAGCACAGATATTAGAGAAAGGTGGTTATACACAGTTTACACCTCATTACATAACTTGGTATTGTCCACAGGCATTTACATTAAGCAAACAGTGCAAATCCCAGTGCATAAATCATGGAAGATATTGTGCTCCTGATCCTGAGCAGGACTTCAGCACAGGTTATGATGGGAAAGATGTGGTTGTTGAAAATTTGAGGCAGCTATGTGTTTTCAAAGTGGCAAAGGAAGCCAAAAAGCCTTGGGTGTGGTGGGACTATGTAACTGATTTTCAAATTAGATGTCCCATGAAGGAGAAAAAATACAACAAGGAATGTGCAGATTCTGTCCTAAGATCACTTGGTGTGTGGACCATCATTGATTACAATCTTTTTCTAGGGTTATGTTATTGATAATGACTTGTTAACTGTGTTTAATTAATGTGTGCAGGTCTTGACATTAAAAAAATTGAAAATTGCATGGGGGATCCAAATGATGATTCTGACAATCCTGTTTTGAAAGAAGAGCAAGATGCTCAAGTATTACTCTTTAGAATTATTATTAGTTTCATTTAATTACATGTATCTGCTCAGTAATTCACAGCTGCTTAATGAGAACTGCTTTTTTTGTAGATTGGGAAGGGATCACGAGGTGATGTGACAATATTGCCAACACTCGTGGTCAATAACCGACAGTATCGAGGTATATCCTGTATGCTGTGCGATCGGTGACAGTCTACTTTCTCAATTCTAAACAGTTTTTTTTTTCTTGTCCCAGGAAAATTGGAGAAAGTTGCGGTTCTAAAGGCCATTTGTTCTGGTTTTGAGGAAACTACTGAACCAGCTGTTTGTTTGAGCAATGGTAAATGTTTACTTCCTTTTCATACTGAGAAATGTGGGGATATTTTTTGTTCCTTGTTAGTTTTGAACCTTTTTCTTCTAAAGTGTTGAATTTTGTTTGTGATTATTGTACTTTAGCTAGTCTATTACACCAAAATAACTCAAGATACTTGGCTAGGATTTGCCACAAGCTTTAAGCTTATATGCCCCTCATCTTTTTCATTACATTCAGATACAGTTCTTTTTATTATACTCTAATGCTGAGTGGCATGCTATTCTTGGCAGATTTGGAAACAAATGAGTGCTTGGATAACAACGGTGGGTGTTGGCAAGACAAAGGAGCCAATATTACTGCATGCAAGGTATTTAACTATTTATATCTGTGATAAAAAAATTTGCGATATACCTAGTGCAATTAAAATTTCTAGAACCTGATTTTCTATTTGTACATATATGCTTATGTTTTTTTAACAGGATACATTCCGTGGGCGAGTATGTGAATGCCCCTTGGTTGATGGTGTGCAGTTCAAAGGAGATGGCTATACTATCTGTGAAGGTTAAATTACTGCAAAATTTACTTTTCTGTTTGTATATATTTCACTAGGATTTAATCTAAATCAGTGCATGATACTTGGACTGGAAGATGAAGAAAAGGGTGAAATAAAAAAAAAATCATACTCCTTCCGTTAAAAAATGTAAAGATTTTTAATTTTTCAAGGTATAATCATTTTCCCTTTTCCAAAAGTGCCCCTATTGAATAAATCATTTTATATTTATTTTAAGGTGAAACACCCTATTAAATAGGGGTAAATATAAAAAGATATGGTTATTTTGAAAACAAGTAACTACTTTATTGGGAAGCTAAATTTTGTTAAAAATCTCTTATATTTTTAAACGAAGGGAGTATTAAAACATTTTTCATCTTTTATTTTTTTACAGAATGGGCAAAATGTCTCATTCTTTTAATAACCAGAGAAGATTTCTACTCTAAATTTTGTCTATTATTTCAAACAAATAGCATGGTTGCAGTATATGTTGGTGAAAGAAATGAATGGTTGCAGTATGGGAGAATGTAGGCCAGAGAAGTTTCAGCCTGTCACCCTTAAAAGGGGCAAGAAAAAGGAAATAACTATAAATATAACCAATGACTCAAAATAGGAAACTATTTAAGGACAATACAGGATTTGACTTCAGCCTTTTAATCAAACAAAAACAAAAAATGTGATTCTTTTGCAGAATCTGCCCACTACGTGCCAAGAATCATGTCTTGTTAACTGGAGAACATAAGGAAATAAATAAAGGCATTATGACCTGAGAATAATCTCATGTTATATGTTTTGGCCAGAAAAAGCACATGTTAATATGTTATACGTGATTTCCAGCAATCTGTTACTGATAATTGCACTATTACTTCCCCCACATGCTCATGCTAGCAGAGTTTCTCTTTTCAGCTATTCAGTACTACTTGAAGGTTAAAAATAAAATAAGATGATGACCCAAACATGAAATTGTGTTTTCTTTCATTTTCTCAATTGAGGTCTGGGAGGCGGGTTTATAACTAAATGTGGTGAACCATGTGAATAACCTGGTGGTTATTGACTTTTGTGGCGATTTATGTCACTTTCATACTGTTAGTATTCCAAAGAACTCAATAATATTATATGAAGTTTGGATGGTTATCCGTTTACTGATTACGAGGTCCTTTAAATATTTAATTGGAAGGATTTATCTGCTATGGCATTGAGCCTCTTGGATTTTTATTATCAGTATGGTACACGTTTCATTGTTACTTGAGTTAGTGAATACTGGGCACTGTTCTGCAAACTTGTTTCTTTATGTTGCTTTTGTGGTGACACTGAAAATCTAAAATATCTTAGATTCTAGTATGATGGTTATTCAGTGATACATGTTTGGACACTCCCTTTCTTGATCTGTTGAAATGTTGCTGCATATTTTGGTGATCTTGTTTTATATTTTCCATGTCCTTGAGTGGATTTATCTTCAATGAATAAATGTCATCTGATAGAGCTCTGTTCTATATTAATTACTTTCAACAGAACTTTAAATGCAAGAAGGAAATAAATGAGGGAAATTTTGAGGTTTTGATATTAAGACTTAAGAACCGAATCAGTGTTATAAAAGAGAAACTCACTGATTTTGGCCAAAACCCTATTCCTTATGAATGAAAATTACAAGAAAAGGAAATAACACAGCAACAAGAACACGGTCTCTCACTGGTGTTTGAGAGACCAGCACTCTCCTCCCTTCTGTTTGACTCACAAAAACATTTTTGAGTGCTAACTAAAACAGCAACAGCAAAATAAAGCAAGCAAAAGGTGACCCTTGTATCTAAACTGAATCTAAGCCACCCTACCATACATCATGACTCAATCCTTAATTTCTGGATCCCAAGGATATTAACTCTGATCCACTGGGTATTTCTTTTCTGCACCCACCTGCCCCCGGATCTCCTCTTGTAAGTCTGACCATATCTCAGGGTTACATCATCATCATACATGATTTTGCATTCTTTCCCACTTAGATATGGAGATTACTTGCTGTGGGTTTGATCATTCTTACATCCAACTTTGTATTTATTGTTGCATTATATTTGTTGAGAAAATGAGGAGAAAAGAAGTTGGGGAGAAATGGAAAGTATCAAACAACATAACCTATTGAAAGACACACCCACTCAGATGGTGTAACCTAATATCTGAAAGGATATATGGATTTCATTTTGTTAATATCCTCTTTCATTTTTTGGGAGGTACTGAAACTAATATTACGGCTTAAGGTTGACGCAAATGGACGTGCTTTTAAAAAAAAAAAAAATTAAACCAGAAGATTTGACGGTAAACACTAAATGGAATATACGGCTGTACAAGACAAACAAGTGCATGTCAAACCAATCACTAACTGTTGCATTGACATGAAACATCTTATTTTGCAAATCTGTTTTCCACACTTGATTGAGTATGGTGGTCCATGATGTGTATGTTTTTTGCCATCAGTTATGTGGGTAATAGATCAGATCCTGAAAATGTAGAATGTCTTTCATTCTTTATTTATCAATGAAGAAAGCCCAGATTGGGATTTTTCTCATTTTCTTATAAATCATCTAGTTATGAAGAATGAAATAGGAGGGATGAGTCAGCCACTAATCAACTGCACAATCCCAAGATTCTAGGAATTAGATGATGACAATAAATTACTATTGGAGCATTGATTCAAGACTCTTAAGAGATAGGAACTGAAAGTCAAGAAAATAAAGATAAGATTAAGCTTTAATTGTTGAGGTAGTGGCCCACAATCTAATTCACACTTCTATTAAGCTAGTTTCTTCTGTGTTTACAGCTAGTGGACCTGGGCGATGCAAGATAAACAATGGAGGTTGTTGGCATGAAGCCCGGAATGGGCATGCATTTTCTGCTTGTTTGGTTAGTACCATTTAAATTTTTGGGCCCATCATGAAATTCGTGATGGTCAAATTTTAATATTTGTGGACCCCATGATGGAAACTGAATAATTGCATAAGCTATTGTTGCTTTGCCTACAGGATAATGGAGAAGTTACATGCCAGTGTCCTGCAGGCTTTAGAGGGGATGGTGTGAAAAATTGTGAAGGTGATAGATGCTGGTGTGTGTGTGTGTATTGTAGTTCAAATTCTTGCAGTAAATTTTGGTATTCAAAACGTTGAGGAAAATTCAGCATGCCATGAGTAGATTCCCATATCTTGTTCTGATATTATTAATGAAGTGTAACAGGATAATCCATGAGTGTCTTCTATGTGTACAAGATGGAGCAATATTGGGATTTGTGCTTACAGTTTTATCCTTTTTTTTTTCTTGGCCCATTGATACTTGACTCTGAACACCTGGGTCTAAATTGAGTTACTCCCTATTCTCTCTACCTTTCGTAGTCTCCCCTATGTTAAATTTGCTAGTTAGAATTTGATGCTGAACCCATTCAATTGACATGAGATAATGGAAGTCAATTAATGTGGGCCACGTTGCAGTATTGTGCCTGGACAGTATGCAATGTAGGCTCCTATGTAAAGTGTGCTTCTATAATTTGACACTTGGGCAACTTTCTCAACTATGTCTTTTTGCGCCACTCGTGAAATGATTATGGATAGTCCATTCTTTGGGTTTGGACAAGCATTGTGAACCTTATTGTGTCGTTTATTGATTAATGAGAAATGTGAGCTGAGGACCTAGGGAGTTATTTGCAGATAACTAAACGATGAATGTCCGAAGTTGATCTCTCTCTTCCTTCCTTGCAGACATTGATGAATGCAAAGAGAAGAAAGCTTGTCAGTGCCCTGAATGTAACTGCAAGAATACCTGGGGCAGCTATGAATGCACTTGTAATGGGGATCTACTGTACATCAGGGACCATGATACCTGCATAAGTGAGTCCATCAAACTCGACACATTCATTTGAGTAATGCTTTGTTTTTACATTCCCTGTTGGGTAATCTGCAGGTAAAACAGCTAGTCAGGGGAGATCTGCTTGGGCTGCTTTTTGGGTCATTTTAATTGGCTTGGCCATGGCTGCTGGTGGAGCATATCTAGTTTACAAATACAGAATAAGGGTAAGCTTTTTGCGTTCCCTTAGTTCAGTGATGTTATTAAATACTCTATTTATTGCTAAATTCCTATTGCATGGTGGGCTGTTGAGTCTGGCACTCGAAAGAAGAAAAATGGAATTTGCAAATTTTGATCTCATTCCCATGGAAAGTTAAATATGTGATTAAAATGGCCATTTTAATAACGAAATTATCCGTTGTTTTTGAATTTGCGCATTAAAGTTTGAGCTTGAAATGCCAGAAATTGTCAAGAATTTGAACACACTGCATGAATGTTAAATGAGACAGAATTTGAATCATGGGAAGACACTGATTTTATAGTCAACAAAGGGGGGATCAAACTGTAATTTTACCTTTATTTTTGGCTTGTGTAGAGGGTGACATTTCCTCCATTTATTACTTCATCATGTTTGATTGTGTGCAAATCTGATGGTATTATGGTGGATTTTGCAGTCATACATGGATTCTGAAATCAGAGCTATCATGGCACAGTATATGCCGTTGGACAGCCAAGGAGAAGTTCACAGTCATGTCAATGATGAAAGAGCATGACGAACGAAACACTGATATTTCTCTCTTGAGATCCTATCTCATGACACGCAGCATATACATGAATGTATCTTATCTTCTGCTCTTTGTAGCCCTTCACAATTCTCGGGATTGAATTTGTTGGCTGTATCATATGCTCAATAAATTACGAATGAGAAAGTTGTCCTGCGAGATTTCTTTTTCTTTTTCGTTAGAGATGTAGGATTTTAGTACAGGCTTAAAGTTGATGTCCAGATGATGTATATTGATTTGTGGAGTGACTCCTCATTTAGTGGTAATTTGCAGATCCATATCACATGAGCGCAATGTCTATACTGCTGCTACTAAAGAAATTAGCATTCACCGCCCGTGCGATGCACGGGTGCAATAAATTTTTCACAACCAACAACTCTTGTATAATAAATTTGGAGAAATTAATACATGAAACATTAATATCTAATGAGATGCTGAAGAATAATAACATTACACTATAGTTATCTTCAAGACGAATTTTTGTCTTTCTTCCCTCACTACTACTATCCCCCAATAATATTTTCAAACCTCTAATTGATTTCACTCTTGACAAACATAAAGTTGAACATGCATAAAAATTGGCCTCGTCAAGTATAATCCAACATATTTTAATGATTGACTTTGATTTTTATTAATAGTCATTGCAAAGGAGAGTGTGATGGGGAATTGTCTTCTCTGCATACGAAACGGCCACCTACTTTTTGAAGGATTCATGTCTATTCTATGGATTAACATTTTTTGATCACACTTTGATCCATTCAATGTTATAGCTTCAATAACTTATTTTTCAAGTCTTATAATTGTAAGTCGAGTTCTATTGCATAGACCAACAGCTTGATCAATGTTCCTCAAAAGCATGATTGGTGCCCCGACTTTCAACACAAGTTTGTGTGGAGGTAGTCCAGAGCTGTTTATTGTGTTCAAAAATCCTGTGATGTAGAGATTTTCAAATAAATCTGCATCTTGAATTGATTTGAAAAGAGTCTAAACTATAGTATTCAATAGAATCTCCTGATAGTAATGAGCACATATAATCATTGATTTTATTGAGAGTTTATTAAAAAACTAAACTAAACTACGGAGGTGCCATCAATAAACTAAACTACGGAGACACCTCATCTTCATGAGTGCCGATTTTTAACAGTTGAAAATTAACATTATTAGCCGACTATCAAGATTTGATTGGACTTGACTTCATGTTTGCTCAAGTTTCTTTAAGTAAGCTGCTTCATTTGATATTTCATAGTGTTTTTATTTATTTATTTTGGGTTTTTTTTATTATGTATAAGTGTTTTTTTATTAAAAATAATTATATTTGAAACACGATCAAATATTAAATATGAGTATGTCTTTTAACAAAAACTTAAATTTTAATATATTATGAAAAATTAATTCTTTTTATTAAATTCAAGTCTCGTGGAATTTTTTTTACATATAAAAAAGGGTCATTGCTCTAGTAATTTTCCGTGAACGCAATTAAAGTTTTCCTTTAAAACTAGAATCATAACCATTGTCTTGAACGGATAAATATTTACAGTAAATCGTAACTTATAATGACTATTTCTTGTCCTTTTGTTATCTTAATTTGATGCCTTAATATAATTTTTTCAAATATAAACTTTCTCACTCCACTGAGTTGACAAGCTCAACCAAGCATTATAGTATTGATAATTAATAATTCGTATTTTTATATAAAGTGATTTATAAAAAAAGTATTAATTTTTTAAAAAGGTGACTTACATATACTTAATAAAAAAATATGAGATATTTTTAATTAAATCTCATCTTCTATTAAAGTTGTTAACTGCTTTCAAACTAACATCACTTTTTCATATTTTTTATATTTAATAAAATGTTTTATTTTAAAATAAATATAAAGCAATTCATTTATTATGGTTAGTTTAAAAAAATATTAATTACATTTTAAAATACTGAAAGCATTCTATATTTTAAATATTCAATTCTTCAAAAAATATTTTATATTCTTGAATAAGACGAGTACAAATTTATCAGCCCATATGAATCTCATGAATGTGGTTAATAATACGAGTGGAAGCTCCTCAGTGTGTATTTTGTGCCACGTTCTCAACCAATTCATGTTGGATTTATATATATACGGAGGGTGTACAAAATATTACGCTGGACATTTTGAATCCATCATTTATTCTGTGTTTATTTGTTAGTGAGCTAGCAAAGCCTCATTGGCTATGTTGTAACGGATACATGTTTATATATATATATATATATATATATAAATGAGGCTCAAGGAAAACAGCTTGAGCTCGTTCCAAATCTTCAGGACTCTTTCCAAACCCCTTTCCCAATGGGAACATCAAGTCTATTTTAATTCACATACACTTGGTTAGCACATAAAGATGGCTAATATATTATAAATGAATAATTCAATTGATGTCTAGTCTATATATAACTTAACATTTTTAATAAGCCTAACTAGTTATAAACCATGAATAATATGACTTATTCCTCGGACTCTATGCAGCATAGAGAACCTATCCTAGTTATTTGATAAACAAAATGAAAATGAATGCAGCAAAAAACATCATGACATAATGTCCTTGGGAAAAGAAAAAATGGTGCATCCTGTTCCTATTGCCTTTCTTTGAGGTTGTTTGGTTGGGGTGATATTGAGGTCTAATCCAATATGCAATCCGTTGTAAGCAATAGGAGCATACATCCACAAGTCATCAGAGCTTAAAAGCTGTTAATTTGAGATCACAATATGAGAGGGAAAAAACAATTAAATTGAGAATCATCTCTCCAAAAAGGTTTTAGATGATGAAGTAACTTAGGTTGTTACCTTAATTTGAAGTTGTAGAAATTTCACATATTGGACAGCTTCCTCAAGCATTGTGCTGATATCCACCTGCATATTTTCCAAGTTCATCCAGCTTCAGAATTTAAGCATCTTAACCAATTGTTTAATACTAGTTTAAATTCACAGAATGTTAGGCATATTTTTGTGTCTCATCCACTCGAAAGTACCTTTGTTCCATTAGGGACAAGGTTTTGTAAGATTCTCAACCTTTCATTTATTCTCTCTCTTCTTCTCTGCATAAAAGAAGAGATATACATATCAAGTTAGTCATGCATAAGAACACAAGTATGTCAAATGTATTTTTTCAGCAACACTTGACATCTGAATGTACATGATAAGCCAAGACGACTAATGAATTGCAGGAGGCTTACTCTTGCGCTCGCGCACTGAGGATCAGTGGCATGACCTCTATCAGATCTTGATTTTCGATTTGGCTTGAGATCTATATTGTTTTTAGGGCTTATGTCATCTTCCTCAGAAGTATTGGAGTTATCATCTGATGAGCTATATCTGCTAGAGTTCTTCCCCTGAAGGCCTTCGTTGCTTCTATTTCTATTATCCTCTTCCTTGTTGCTTGTTGAACACTTTAAATTCTCCCTGGGCTTAACACTCCTCTTGTCCTTTGGGATCTAAAACACCAAGTCATGATGACAATCCCATAAATCAGCTGAAGAATATAGTCTACAGGCTAAATAAAATGCATACTGATATGAAAAAAGGGCTAATATACCTCAGTTGAGTTCCTTGATCTCTTTCCAGAGTTCTCCATGGAGCTGCTTTTATCATCCTCTTGTACTGGCTCAGAAGCTTGTACTTCACAATCCATGGACATGGAACCAAAGTTAATAGTAGGATCAGCAACATTTGAAGGGAAATAGAAGCTTTCGTCACCAGTACTGATGCCTATAGGCCAAAATGCAGAAGATGATTGAAATCCAAAGTTGGCATTCCTATGGAGATCATCTGGGACTGAACAGTTTTCAAGAAACTGGGTCATGAACTCAGCTTCCTGGGCAGTGTAAAACCCACTAAGAGAGCTCCATTCTTCAGAGATTATGTCACTAGCAGGCTCCATTATTTTTCTTTCCAAGCATTTCAGATAGAAGGGTCTTTCATTTTTTTTTCCAGTGTTGTTTGTGGAGAAGTTGGGGTTTTGTTTGAATGCTTGGAAGGAGAAGTAAGATGAATACTCTCTATTTATACCCAAAGAAAGTGTGAATTCATATAACAGAGTATATGTGGACTTGGAATTGCCAATAATGGGGATTTGATTTGACGAAGTGGTGATTCCCTCATGAAATGAATTTGCACTATAAGTTGAGGAACCAGACCCACTTCAAGGACTTGTCATGCATCATAATATTCTGCCAAAAGATTCCCCTCCAAGTATGTTAAGGTATTCCATTCTCCTACCATTTACTTACTAATATATCATATGGTCTCATTCATTGTATGAAATTTGAGAAACAAGTCATACTATTCATGACTTACAAATATTACACTTGTCAAAGTTATTAGAGTTTTTATAATATTATATATCCACATAGATAGTTGCACTTGAGTCATGCATGCATATATATCATACCAGACACTAGCATCTTCTGTCTGGATTGTTGTACCCACCACAACTATGTTAAACTGAAAGCTACCCCTTTATTTCAGAATAACCACATATATTATACTTCTTTCACACATTAGTTGGATTCTTCCCAGTTCACCAGTTTCAATATATTAGTCCATTGTATTCCTTTATGTTAATATGTGATTATTACTAACTACAGTATCACCCCTTGTGCACGTGTAGTTGCAATTTTGCATGCAGTTCAAACTAAGCGTTGGACTATTCATTCAGACTTGGGTGCAAGTGCAAGAAGACATTACACATCAAAGTTGTCTCCTGGTTTGAAACTGGCTTCTCCAAGTTAAAGTAAGCCTACTGACTTTAACTTTTGAATAATAGAACTAGAATCTTCTCTACTTTGATCCTGTACAAATCACCTTTTGGATGGGCAATAATCTTGTAAGTAAATTTTCATTACAACAAACGAAGAACAGAGGAAAGCGGTTTACGTGTATGATGATTGCACATGTTCATTGTTTGTCCTTTTTGCCACCTAATTTGCATTCCCTACCAGAATATATATTTCTGCAGGGTTTGCACCAAAAAAAAAAGGAAAAAAAAAAGATAGATATGCATTCAATTGATTTCTTATTTTATTTTAAGCCACTCAGGATGCACGCAGGACTGCAAAAGGCATATTTGTTGAATATCAAGAAAGAGCTGGCGTTTGGTTTTTCATATCCCACAGTTTTCTAATTTTTTTTAGATTAAATTATATTTAAAATGTTGGAATTATTTAGTATGAGCAAGAGATTCAAAGCAAATAGAAGTGAGCTAATATGATCTTATATTTAAATAACATATAAATGTTTAATGCACAATAGTTGCATAGAATGAAAAGGATTCAAGATTGTTCATTAACCTACCTTAAATTTATTTATGCCACTTAGACCCTACACACTCAGTCATACGAACACACTGATTATAGGTTAATTAGGTCGTAATCTCGTAATTATATTTTTTTGGACCAGATGCTGTTGGTTTAAACTATGAATAAAAAGGAAGTTTATTATTATTTATGAACTAGAGATTGGTTGATAGTGAAGAAGAAAAGGTGCATCAATCAAAATGGGGATAGTCAATTGTGATATTAATAGCACAGAAATTAAAGAAAGCGATAAACACAGATGTGCCGTCCACTGTTTGTAAACCAGCTTCTCAAACTAAATCAATTCTAATTTAATCAAACAACAAATTAAAACAATTTTGCTTACATGGCCTTTATTCATGTCACTTCTATATTTAATTATTATATGCTACAATATTTTCTGAGTTATATTTAACATTTTACACGTAATCGAATCCATATTGGTACACTATATAAACAAATATATTAGCTTAAGGCATGTTCTTAACTCTTATTTTTCACATTTTCTTTGTACATCATTGCACTTAAGAAAACTTAATGCTAATTAAAATCTATAATAAGGTAACAACTTCATTAACTAATGGTGCCGTGGGATTTGACTTTGGGAGCTCCCAAAATGCTGAGTTTCATAAGGATTGACTTTTGATTAATTTGTCAGCACAATCATACACTACACTAATTGATAATTTCAGCTTAATAAAACCCACATGTCAAAGAGGGTTCAGTCCAAATAATTGAACTTGGACATCAGATTTAAATCCGATGAGCTTCTTTTTTTGTCATATCTCTTTCAGTTGGACTTTCAAGTTAACTATAAGGAAGTCCATCACAATTGACAACCTGAATAGTCAAGTTTGTGTGGGGATTTTTTTAAAAAAAGTTTACGTATATGTATGCATTGCATATATACGGTAAACATATACTAATCTCTCGCTTCACTCTGAAAGGAAGGAAAACAAACAAATCTTATCCAAGATGGCCTAAGGGTTTAGAGTGTCGAAACTTTCATGCATTTGATTTGAATGAACAAATTACAGATAATTCTGTCGAAGGTATTAATGTAGGAGTTATAGTTGAAGACTTGAAGTGATCTGGGCAAATCGGTGGTGCAACTACATAGATTCAAGATAATTACAGAGCAAGCCGATAAAGAAAACGTGTGTAAACCCCATATTCCAATTCCACCCCAAACGAACGGAGGGCAAAGAACATAGATGCCTGTGAAGGAATTTAACGCAACACATTACTGTCATCACCATTCAAATGAAACTTATCTTCCATGCACTTATATATTTTTAACGAAACAGCAACTGGTCCGAACAATGGAGCCAAAAAGGTAAGAAGCGAGAGCACCGGTAACCAGCAATACTGAAACTTAACATCTCTCTAGACTTTCTGTGCGTCAAACCATCACACATCATCAGGAACCTCTTCACCAGGACCTCGTTGCACTAGTCTGTAATACAATATACCCATGGTTGCCATGCACGCCCTGCAAATAACCATAAAAACTTCATCATTACAAGACCGGCAGTCTATTGCACCACTATAGTTGTGTATCTGAGTTTTTAACTGGGATCCTCTAAACTTATTAAACAAGCTATCATTTTCAATTTTGAAGAAATATAGAGACAATTTTGAGATCTAGCATTTGATTCGTAGATCCTACTGGTGTTGCTAAACTTGTGTCTCACTTTTCTTACAATAATGATAATGAAATTAGAGCATGACTATCTTGTGCCACAATAGCATTCATGTTCCTCTGGGAGCAAGAAAAGAATGGTGTCCATGAAATCATCTCGAGGAATGTAGATTTAAGAATAATTGGACGTGAATTCAACCCTTAAGCTGTTGTGATCCCCATCAAGCTTGGAATACATGCAATTTATAGAAATTAAATGACATCTCACTTACTCACTACCTTCTTACTAGTACTAAAGTATTTTACCATTAGTCATTTTATATGTGATGCTGAAGTAAATCTCAATTCACAGAAATCTCAGACCTTTTGTTTTTCATCTTTTTAGTTTCTCCAAGACACAGTTTAATAGGAAAGAAAATGTAGAGGATAAGAAGCGAGAGATTTACATAATTGCAATCATGAGAAGGATTTTTCTTGGGTCCATCCTTGATGATTTTTGATGACGTGTACGGCCTTCTGAGGCTTCGTTTCCGTTTGATGCATCCTTTCTTGGAGGTGCAGTAACTGGTAGAGTAGGCAATGAACTAGACCAGAAAGGAAGCAATGCTCTAAGAAACTTATGGCGGAAGGAACCTATACATTTGAAATGATGAAAGCTATAATTAGCCAAGTGCCCATCATGAGAGCAGACGAAACTATATCTAATCAGAAGGTTTAGTTTCTAATCACATTAAATGGAGGCTAGAAACAGAATGCATAAATATCTTGACTAAATATTGAACATTTTCATCAACTTTCATAAAGAATATATCACCTCTTCTTGTATACTTTTTATGATCCCCGTCTTCATCATCAGCATAATATGAAATTTCAGAATTTTGCCGGTCAGCATGGAGAGAACTCTTCCTAGTGGTAGCACCAGGCTGCATTATTTGCAAAAATGAGGGGGAAAATATGTAATATGCATGTTTGAAACAGCACAAGATTCACAATGGAACAAAACGAGCAAAAATTTGGATATACTCATCACAACGGCAGGTAAATGCAAACAAGATAAGTGCACCAAAACTACTTGATTTTAAATGCAATTTCTGAGTAAAATTCTCTTACAAGAGCAGGACTCGATGTTTTGATGAGATTTCCTGCTGAATTAGGACTGTCTATTTCCACAATATCTGACACAGAAAGTTTAGGTCTTGTTCCAACTGGAGGTGAATATCCTTCAACTGAGTCTGATATTTCATTATTTTCCTTATTGATCAATGGATCTGAAGCAAATGCTGGAGGAGGACTGCGAGATTCTGTGACTGGCAATGACACTGGATGATTTCCAAAAAGACTCTTTTCCAAACCAGTCTATAAGAAGCAGACACAAAAATATTCAATATATTTTGCTTATACAATGAAAATGAGAGACACATAAAGAAATTTGGATGCAGAGAGAATGACCCGCTACTTTATCACAGGGAGAAAAAACAACTACATAAATTCAAAGTTGCATCACTGAATTGAAAATTCAAGGGTGGTTTTTTTTCTTTTTTCCTTTTGGGGGGGGGGCATAATTTATTTTCGCAATCATGGATCAGTGTTACTTACAACACTGAGCATTCCCAATTACATATAAACGAATAAGGACTTTGAATGAACATCCAAGATGGTATATCATGGCGTCTACCCTGAGGTGGCCCAAGAGATTACTTACCAAATGAGATAAGCATGGAGGTAAAACTAGTAACATCCTAGTTTTCATATAAATTATAAAGGAGAGAACAGCATAAATTATAGTGAGTGGTTTATTGCTAGTGAAAAATTATGCTGGCATTCCATATTATGTTACTTCATAGATCAAAAGTTTAATCCCAGATTTATCCACCCCAAACCCAATATATATCACCTTTTTGGGGATTTCAGGCTAGTCATTTTCTAATCTTCTACCCTTCCTTCAAATTCCCAACTCATTTTGTATCTATAGCCATAATAAAACCACAAAGTAAGCATCCCCTGTTCGTGCAACAAGGTTCAAACCCAGTATTATCCCCCCCCCCAATTAAAGAATCAGAAACTGACTCCTCCAAACAGTATGCATTTAATTTACATACCTGCACAATAGCTTCCTTCAACTTTGAATGAAGACGAGATCCAGAATCTTTGATGCTTTTGGGAGGCCATATCTGCATGCAACATATAAAATTTCATTTGTAATGACCAGGAAACAGCCAAAAGGTGCCAGAAGAGACTTCTAAAAGTTGGAAATACATGCAAAATCAAAGTTACAAGTGAATATAACACGTCATTTGTAATTTGTAGCTAACAAAGTGCTAATTTTTCAAATACAGCACACTTATATTTAATTGTGCACTTTCTTTCTATTCTATTGATAGAACTGTTTGTCTTGACGCTTCATATTATGGATAGAACTATTTGGTTTGGTTTGGTTTATCAAAAAAGACAAAGGAAAAAATGATGATGAATAAGAAGAAGAACTATTTGATCTGGCAAGTTACCATTAGTCTTCCCTTCCTTTACCCTGTTTATACATGTTTTAGGTTCTGACCAGAACCTTTTTTTTTTTTTTTTGGTTGGGGGCGGGGGACAAGCTAACTTTCAGGCAAGGGTAGACACACTATTTCCTACCAGAAATCAAAGTTATTCCTGAAACAGAAATCATTTTAAGGTAAATCTTACCGCAGTGGAACAAGAGGGGCACACAAATCCAGCTGGGGCAGTATGCGGAGGAAAGCTCTTGATATGTGAGAGCAAACAATTTGTGTGTATAACATCTATAGAAATTTTAAGTCCATATTACATAATTCAGTCTGTGTTCCAGAGGATTTCTGTAGAAGATATATATTTATGTGCACATGTATAAAAGCAGAACAACATACGCAAGCAACCCAGCCGAGTTGTTTGAGATTCTGTCCCCTCTTCTAGAACAGCTTGACATTGGCAACATTTAGGGGGCCAATCATACTCGCCATCTATAACCCATTCAGAGTAAGTCCGAACCTAAGAATAACGACACAAACAAAGTTCAAGCTCAGATTGTGCCTCCATAAACTTATACGTCCTCTTCCTTCTTAAATTAGTCCCCGAGAAAACATTAAGAAAAGAATAAAATTGAAGTCTAAGTCCACAACATAAAGAACAAAACCTTGATAATATAAATGCGTGAACAAAGTTCAACCAAATCAAAAGGGGGCGATCATTAGAAGGAAGAGAATCCGGCCAGGCCATCTTAGCAATAATTATAAAACAATTTGAGCAACACAAACTTACCACGCAGATTTGGTGCTCCGGGAAACAAATACATTCTCCGCAAACAGGAACTTTGTGCACGAAGCAATACAACTTAGTGGCCTATACGCCAAAGAAAACCCAATTCATAAGTCAATACTTCGTATGCAAATTCAATTGACTGGCGCACGTAGAGAATACAAAACCAGCTTTGGCCAAAAGGCCTCACAATAAAGACGAGATAGAAGGTGACCGTATTCCCCGAAGCTAGAAACCAAATTCACAACAACGATATGCTCAGACAGATTACTGCTAAGTTCAAATCCAATAATCAGCTTATGCTTGCGTTTCAAACACTTAATTGCATGAAACTAATGCGTAAGCTTATAGATCACACATGATCCCAAGTTACCATGCCAATCCGATCTATCTATCGGTTTATAAATAAACCTTAATTGCCCAACCGTATTCACAGTGAAATCACCGAGAAAGCATTGCGGCGTGATAGAGAAACAGGCGAACCTTTCGACACTTGCAGACCACCATTGCATTGATAGCTAAAATCTGATGAGATTAAAACAAGAGAACTTCACAATGATTCAGCTAGGTTTGAAGGTCATTTTCTGGGAATTACAGCGAAGTGCGAGATCGAATAAGCTAATTAGAGGAACCAGAAAAACACTCTAGATATTTTTTCAAATGTTTTTTTTTTTTTTCACTGGTATTGCAAGTTCATACTTCTCTCGCTGAGCTCACTGCGAAGAACTCCGTTCTTCGGCCGTCGAGATCCGTTTCGTTTTTTTTTTTTCAAAAATTTCATAAACGGATACAGAAAAGATGTTTAAAAAAGCTTTGGGCCGGGTTATAAATCGGGCCCAATTATCGATATACAACGAGATTGCAGCCGTGGCCATAATTTTGAGATAGTCATATTTTTATCGTTCTATGAATAAAGGAGGAAACCGTTAGAATTTAAAGTGGGCGATCATGTTTTCTTGAAGGTCACCCCCATGACAAGCATTGAGAGATCAATTCAAGCTAAAAAGTTGACTCCACGTTTTGTTGGTCCTTTTGAAATCCTAAAACGAATTAGGACACTTGCTTATTGAATTGCACTACCATCAAACTAAGCCTAAGAGAATAGTCGATGTAAAAGAGAAGTAGTTGAGGAATAAGACCATTCAATCATCATAAAATGACTCCCGAAGATGCTACGTGGGAAACTGAAGAGAAAATGAGGCAATTATACTACCAACTGTTTCCATGAGGTATGTTTTAAGCAATTATATGAATTTTGGGAAAAAAATTCTCAAAAAGGGAGGAAAATTGTAACATTCTCAATTTTAAATCCAGTTAATTAAGCTTAAATAGGCTAATTAAGTGTATTAGTAAGATGTGTGGCTAGAATGGCCTAACAGCCGTGTTTGGTCTCAATTTCAATTCTAAACGCAGCTTCAAAGGAGAATCGGATCACCTAAGAATGGAAGAGGAAGAAATTTTGATAAAAGTGATTCTATGCCACACACCGCGGCTTGTGGATGAGCTACGCCTGTGAGAGGCTCTCTGTTAGATTTTTGCTGTACTAAGTCGTGAAACTGAAGCAAAAGAGAAGATAAAACAAAAGGGACTAAGAGGAGACGAAAGAGCTAAGCTAAGGCGTGAAGAGACCGACTTATAGGAGTAATTTGAAGCTTATAAACACCAAAAGTAAGTTTTTTTATTTAAATTTTTCTCTCTTTTTCCATTTTCTTAATGGTAGAAGTTAGAGTTTGATTAATAATGGTGATTTTTAATTCATAAAGGCTATGGGTTCGAATCCATTAACTTAAATAGAGTTAATGGAAGTAGATTGAGCTAAGTAAACTCAGTACTTATGGTTTTATGATGATTGATAGTTGGAGGATATTAAATGTATGAAATTCTCATAAATATGGTGGTTAGGAATAAGGTGGTTTCATTAATGATCGTTTAAGAGCTCAATGTTGAGTATTAAAAAATCTTGAGTATTAAGAAATGTTGAAATATTAGTAAAAATAGCTCAAATATGGATATTGATGTTTTGCATGATAAATGATTATAGAGTAACTACCTTTGACACCATTCAAACTTCTTAGAAGCTTTGTGAGTGAGAAATTAAGGGGTCAAACCTTTAATCTCTCAAAGGTTTAAGGTAACTAAAAGAATTCTATCTTATGCTTTTGTGTGTTTATTAGTTTATCGATTTATGATTGATCATTGAAATGTATAAATTAAAATGAAATGCAAGTGTGGCTTGATTTGTTAGAAAATTTACTAGATTAATTTTGTGAGTTTTATGCCTTGTGATGTGAAATTTTTTGATAACAATATCGGTGAATTCTTGTATTATGAAATGGGAGTTCTATGAATTTGTGATTGAGAAGTAACATAAATTTTTATTTATGAGGAGTTAAATGATATTTTAAATAGTGGAGTTCAATCATTTTATGGGCGTGAGATATAATGATTGTGAAATTGGAGTTCGATGACTTAGTTGGTTTGGAATTTCATAAAAATGTGTTTAAGAAGTTTAATGATTTGTGAAATGATAAAGTCCAATAAAACTGATTACGTGAAATTCTATAAATTGTATAAAGTGTGAATTATTGCATAAATATGCATTGCATAATTTTGAAAAACGAGAATTCTCCTAGGAAAAGGAGTATATGATAAAATTCATGTGGTAAGGCCTTATCTGTGTGATGGTTTACTTGGATTAGTTATATCCATATTGTCCCACTTGTTCAATAAGGGACTATCCCACTAATTCAACGAAGGACTTGAACTTAGCTAGCTATCCACTAGTTCAATTAGAGACTAGTTTAGAGTGTATGACATCCCTTAGTGTGAGAAATGGGAGAAACAGTGTTCCATAAGTGAGTTGAGTGCACTTTGACCCGGTGATCTCCTTACAAGTGTTTATGTTAGAAAAGTCATGAAATATGGACTATCCCATTATTTTATAGCCCACGATTTTATATCAAAGGAATAAGGAGGGTATAAGAGAGTATGATCATGCATATAATGAGTAAAGAGCATATAGTTATTTATGTTGTGACTCTGATAATAATAGTCATGAATTGAGTGATAATTACTCTTGAATATGTGTGATTGTATTGTATGACAAACTTTCTAAGATGTGAAGATTGTTGAAAAATTTTATTTCCTAAATATGTACTATTATACTTGGAAGTGTGAACATAGATTCTCACATGGTTTAAAGTATTGATATTATTTACCACTTACATTTTAAATTGATTGACATACATAAGTATGGGTTAGTCAGACCCTGATTACTGAATGGTTGTATTCATCCCATTATCTTTAATGTTACAAGGAATAGCTCAAAAGGTGTGGATAGAGGAAAACACCTAGAAGCTTAGGAGCGAGATCCTATTATAGTAGGCCTCTTTATTTTGAGAATTTATATGTGTATGACAATTTCAATTGCCAAATTAGGAATTCTCATTTGATCCTCACTTACATTATGTGAATTGTAAGTTGTAAGTATATTTTGGGTCCTAGGAAGTAAGCTAATGATATATGTTATTTGCTATAGGGCTAAAGTACTAATACAAGTAAGAGTAGAGCATATTATGGAGTATTTAATGAAAATTATGGTAAACTCCTCCTTGTATGTTTTTTAGATTAAGGAATTAAGTGATGAAAATTTAATTTGTGAGTATTTCACGTGATTTAATGCATTGTACGAGTTAGTCTTAATGATTTTTATGTGGTCAAATTGGTGTTAGTAGTTATTGGCTATTGGTAAATGTTTTGGATACTTGATTTTATGAAAATTGTCAAAAAAGTATAAGTTTTGAAAAGTGTGTCTAATTTTTTATTTAGAATGAATTTAAATCTAAGATCAATGTCATTAGTTAGAGCTCAAAAAGAGCTTTCTGTAAATACATAGTTTGCATCAATTGAACATCGGTCGGAGATTTAGGATGTGTCAGAAGTTGCCCCTAATACTGTCAAATTGATATCAAAAATTACTGTCAAAATTCGTGCAATTTCGCCACAATGCATGGTACCACGAGTTGCGGCAAGTGTCCCACAGGTAAACATGTCACGATGCATGTTCAAAGAGCCGTAACGCACGCCTCAAAATTTTTCATAAATTCTTTTGTTTTAAATTCTTAAATAAATGCACTCACATATGTAATGATCCCATGCTTTCGCATATTTGTGAACTCTGATTTCTCTAGTTGCAAGACTTTGAAAATGATTTTAATTTTGCAAACTTGGGGTCCCTATTTTGCTAACCATTGAAAACTTAATATTTTGTTAATTACTATAATCTCATTCCCTAATTACTTGAGACTTAATTTTAATTATGAGATTAGAAGGAAGAGGATATTACAAAAAAGGAGTGTGGTGACTAACTAAATTATTTAATAAGATCTTATCATCCAAGAAAGTGTCTGACAATCAGAGGAGAAGCACCTTAATTCCTATTTATAAAAATAAAGGAAATATTCAAAATTCTGCTAATTGCATAGGGAATAAACTTATGAGTCGTATAATGAAATCGTGGAAAAGAGTAATTGAGCATAGGTTAATATTAGAGATTGGTGTTAATAAGAATCAGTTTTGCTTTATACCTGGTAGGATAATTACAAAAGCGATTTATCTACTAAAAGGATTAATAAAAAGGCATCAACGCAAAGATAAAAATTTACACATAGTTTTTATTGACTTGGAAAAAACTTATGCCGTATACCGAAATAAGTACTTTAGAAAGTCTAAGAAAAGAAAGGAGTATGAGTTGCTTATATTAAATCTATACAAGATATATATGAAAGGGCAACAATTAGTATAAAAATATATGGTGGTAAAATAATAGACTTCCCTATAAGGATTAGCTTACACCAAGGATCATCTTTGAGTCTTTATTTATTTGACCTGATCATAGATATCTTGGTTGAGCATATTTAAAGGAAAATCCTCATATGCATATTTTTCACAGATGATATATTTTTTATTATGGAGACAAAAGAATAGATTAATTGTAAACTTGAATTTTAGAGGAGGATATTGGAGTTAAAGTGTTTCTGCTTGAGTGGGAGTAAGATGAGATATTTACATTGTAATTTTGATAAGAGGTCAATCAATAATAATTTAAAAGTAAAATTGAGAGATTAATTATACCTTAAGTGAAAAATTTTAGATACTTGTGAGCTATTATTTAACACAAGGAGAAAATTGATAGGGATATTACACATATGATACAAGCTAGGTAGTTTAATTAGAAAAAGGTTAAAGGAGTTATTTGTGATCGTAAGGAAGTTAATAAACTTAAGGAAAGTTTTATTAAACTGTTGTAAGACCAACTATATTATATGATAGTAAATGTTAGGCTTTAATGGAATAACAAAAGTATAAAATTGAAGTAGTAGAGATGAAAATGTTAAAATGGTTGTGCAATCATATAGATAAAGATAAAATTTGAAATGAACACTTATGAAAAAAAGTAGGCATAACATCTATTAAGAGAAATGATAGAAAATCGTCTGAGATGGTTTAAACACGTGCAAAGAAGACCATAGGAGGCACTGGTAAAGAGAATGAAATGGATAATTTCAAGCAATGTTAAGAGGGGTAGAAAAAGATCAAAAAAAACACTTATGAAAGCTGTTGACTTCTTAATTAATAATATTCATAAAAGTTTGATAAATGATGAAATATATTATTATAATGATATCATACAACCCATATAGTTGACCCTACTTATTGAGATAAAACTTCTTGTTGTTGTAGTATTAGGCTTCTACAGGAAGTGTATTTCCCCATCATCCACGCCCTTCTTTTTTATATGAGAGAATGACAATAAAATTCTTCTGAATTATATAAATGTTAATTTGATCTCTTAAAATATTATAATGTCATTAAAATTTTAAAAAAAATTCCCGTCATTAATAAAGTTATATAAATAACCAAATTGCCTTAATAACAATATCAGGAAGTTGTAATTTACCATTGCATTGTTTCAAATATAAAAAAAATAAAGTTGTGATTATTTAAATAAAACTTGTGATCATTACTTGTTATTTCCAACACTTGTAGCAATATTAAGAATTTGTGATTTGTTGTTACATTATTGTAAAATATAAGAAAGAAAATTGTGATTATTTAAACAAAACTTATAATCATTACTTATTATTTTTAACATTTGTAGTAATATTAGGAATTTGATATGCGAAGTTGTGATTTGTTGTTGCATAATTGTGAATATAAGAAAAAAATTATAATTATTTAAATAAAATTTGTAATTGTTTTATTTTCAATAAAGGTGATTTGGTCACTTATAGAAATTTATTAATAACAAAAAAATTTTTAGAGACTTTAAAAAAATTATGATATTTTAAGAAATTAAATTATCATTTATATAATTTTAAAAAAGTTTATTGTTATTTTTTATTTTTATATTTCTGTTATGAAAAGCTACAGAGGCTGTTAAATGTTAATTGAATGAAGATTACGAATTTGCTCTTAAAATAAGAATAAATTACTCCCTCCGGTCTTATTTATAAGTCATTTCTACCAACCTCATCAATACCAATACAATAAAAGTACAAGAAATAAAAGTAAGTGAAATTCCAAACATGCCCCTATATAATAAATCTAAAAAGTAATGTCCTGTTACTTTTTCTCTTTCATGAAGGGTAATTTTGAAATACCTCTCAAATATTACCTAAAAAGACGCACCATGACTTATAAATGAGACCAAATATACTTTCTAAAATTGGATTTATAAATGGGATCGGAGAGAGTATAAACGAAGTTTTTCATTTTTTCTATTATGATCTGATACCTGGCATGCCACTCATTAGTTAAACTTAAAAACGACTGCGCCGTTTTAATGGCTTCTCGAGATAGTGTTAACACTTGCCACCGGGAATAATGGACGTCCTTGATTTGAATTTGAGTACTCCCGAGACCTTAAAATTTTGAATAACTCGGCGTCTCTCTCTTCTCCACAAGTTCACATCAAAAGACAAAAATTTCAAATCACTTCCCTCCTACTTACGTTCTCTCTTTGCTCTGAGGTTTCCTCTTATACAAAACCCTAAGATTGCTGATCGATCACAGCATGTCGTCTGTGATACCGCCGCCGGCGCCTGGCCGAGAACTCTCGAACCCTCCCTCCGACGGCATCTCAAACCTTCGGTTTTCCAACCATAGTGATCACCTGCTTGTCTCCTCTTGGGATAAGGTGTGTTCCTGCTCTCGTTTCTGGTTACTTGTCGTCTTTACTGTTTCCGCTAATCAACAATTTAGTTCGTGATGCTGAGCTTGAGCTTCGGTGAATATCTTATCAGAGTGTACGATTGTATGATGCCAGTGCCAATGTGCTCAGAGGAGAGTTCATGCACGGTGGACCTGTGCTTGATTGTTGTTTCCATGACGATTCTTCAGGATTTAGTGCTGGCGCCGATAACACAGTGAGGCGGTGAGTTTGTTTCTTTTGAAATTTCCTTAGTTCCTGAGACGTCTTGTGTGAAACGTGCTTAGGCATTTTTCCCCCGCCTTTTTGTGGTTTACGGTTGACTCCGCATGTTGAGTTGATTGATTGCGTGTAGTAGCATACTGCGATCATTGCAATGTAGTTAAGCTCCATGAATGTGCTTAAGATCGATTCTGAGAAGTAGGGTCAATTTACTGGTGTTTGTTTAGACAATGAACGTTGCTAAGGTTAGCTTCCTCTTTTTTCTGCATACTGTTAATGCATTGGTACTTTCATGACTCTAGCGATGATATTCATGTCACGTGTCAATAATGTGAATCCATGTGCTTCAGATATAATGTTATTTACGAATTCCAAGTTCTATATTTTATGATTTGGGAGATAGATATTCTAAACACATGCCATCTGAGTCCATTACTCCTATTTTGTATCCTTTGTATTTGTTTCTATTACTCATCATAATTCACGGCTTCCTTGATTTTAGTCAAATTCCAATTTCATCTAAAATTTATAATTGAAGTTGCATATCTTATATCCGGCCAAAAAAGAAAAAAGTTGCTTCTAGGGTGCCCACACATAGCCTTGTGTAGGTCCAGGTTGCCAGCGTGAGTGCCAGGTTGCTTGCCCAGGTTGGCACAGGCGTCCTGTGCATGGTCCAGGTTGCCTGCCTGCACTCTTGCGCAAGCAGAGGTTGCCTGCAATCAGCCTCACACTTCGTCCAGGTTGCTTGCATACTGCAATAAGTTATGATTCTGCCATCTTTTTGGGCTTAATCTAAGTTGAATTTAAATGTAAATATGTAATTTTTCAAAGCAGTTGAACATTGCAATAAAGTAGTTAAAGTTAAAGTCCAGCTTGTAATGTAATTGTCATCTAATGAGAGTTGATGTTAACTGCATAATTTGTTCCAGGTTAGTTTTCAGCTCTAATAAGGAGGATGTTCTGGGAAGGCATGATGCACCTGTTCGTTGTATTGAGTACTCTTATGCAGCAGGTCTGTTATTGTGGTCATCAATATCCACTTAGAATTTACTAATATTGCTTACCTTATCTCATTAATTTTCTCTATTTTTAGTTTTTCCTTATATGTAGCTGAGGTCCATAGGGAAAGAAATTTTTCTCTGATATGATTTTACAGTTAGAATTAGCAATGACAGGAACAGATTTTGATTATTCACTAATGACCCTGTATCACTCTTCCATGCCCTTGGCTCATTTGAATGTTAGTTTCATGCATATTGAATTTATGCTTCTCTCCCCAGCCAAATTTAATGTGCCTTTAGTCAGAAACCTGTAAGAATAGCAAGTAAAAACTCAAGATATTGCTCATAAAATTTTGGATTATACGCTTACTAAAACATTGATCAGAAAATCATTCTGGATATCTTCAAAATTTTCGTTTGGTCATGTTCACTGGAATGAATAAGGTCATGTAGATGAAATCTATATTTCCTTGAAGACCATCACCATTATTGAAATGGTTTATCACGTTAAATTGTCAAACAGTTGTTGCTATTTTGATGTATCGTCTTATAGAAGTTTTGTGTACATATATATTATTATACTGCCCTCTCTTTGGAATTATTGTTCTATAGTTGATGCTTGGCATCGTTATGATGAGCAGCTTCAATAATGGTATATCTCTCTTATTTGTTGTTGTGACAGGCCAATTGATCACTGGTAGTTGGGATAAAACCCTGAAATGTTGGGACCCTAGAGGTGCAAGTGGGCAAGAGCGTACTCTTGTTGGGACATACCCACAACCTGAGCGCGTTTACTCTCTTTCGCTGGTTGGGCATCGTCTAGTTGTAGCAACTGCTGGAAGACACGTTAATGTTTATGATTTGAGGAATATGTCTCAGCCTGAGCAACGGAGAGAATCTTCATTGAAATATCAAACCAGATGTGTGCGCTGTTACCCAAATGGAACAGGTATTTACTTGAGCTTCTGGGCATTTTTGGGTAAATTGTTCAAAGTTGTCTCCAAATTCATATTGACTTCCCTTGATAAAATGACAAATATTTTCTCTCATGCACAGTGCTTTAACGTATTATTTTAAGCCCTAAAATTACATATGCAGAGGAACGCTACAACCATGTGCAAATGAATGAAGGAATCTTTGTATATTCATGTTGTGCATCGTGTAGTGAAATCCCGCTGATGACGTACTGTACAACAACAACAACAACAAGCCTTTATCCCACTAGGTGGGGTCGGCTACATGGATTGCAAGACGCCATTGTGCTCTATCATTTATTAAGCTTTTAGAAATATTATTAATTAAGAGATCACGTTCAACAACTTCCAAGAGTGTTCTCTTAGGCCTTCCTCTACCTCTCTTAATCGGACTCAAAGTTATATGTTCCACTCTTCTCACTGGTGCCTCCCTTGGTCTTCTTTGTACATGCCCAAACCATCTCAACCGATTTTCTACCATTTTTTCCTCAATAGGTGCCACCCTCACTTTTTCACGTATGTGCTCATTTCGAATTTTATCTTTACGTGTATGTCCGCACATCCATCGTAACATTCTCATCTCTGCTACTCCAACTTTATGCTCTTGCTGTCCCGTTAGAGCCCAGCATTCACTACTATATAACATTGCCGGTCTGATAGCAGTACGATAAAACTTTCCTTTAAGTTTATTAGGCACCTTACGGTCACAAATAACTCCTTTAGCTTTTCTCCAATTAAACCACCCAGCTTGAATTCTATGCGAAATATCTCCACTGATTTCGCCATCATTTTGAATAATGGCTCCCAAATATCTAAACTTTTCCACTTGAGGTATGATTTGATCTCCCAATTTCACTTCCAAATTATTTTCGAATAGTCTTTTACCAAATTTACAATATAAATATTCCGTCTTACTTCTACTCAGACGAAAACCTTTCGACTCCAATGTCCTCCTCCATAACTCAAGTTTGCAATTAACCTCTTCTCTTGTCTCTGCTATAAGAACTATATCATCCGCGAAGAGCATACATTTCGGGATTTCCTCTTGAATATGTTCCGTCAAAACATTTAAAATCAAGTTGAACAAATAAGGACTCAGAGATGATCCCTGATGTAGTCCAATCTTGATAGGAAAATCCTTTGTTTGACCACAAGGCGTTCTTATACTAGTTTTTACCCCCTCATACATATCTTGTATGGCTTTAATATAAGCAATCCGTACTCCCTTTTTTTCCAACGCTTTCCAAAGCACTTCTCTTGGTATACGGTCATAAGCTTTTTCCAAATCAATAAAAACCATGTGTAGATCTTTATCTTTACAACGATACTTTTCCATTAATCCCCTTAGTAGATAAATTGCCTCTGTAGTTGATCTACCTGGCATAAAACCAAATTGATTCTCAGAAATACTTGTCTCCAATCTTAACCTGTGCTCAATTACTTTCTCCCGCTGATGACGTACTGTATTTTGTCATTTTAAGTTTTATTCCTTATATATGATCCGATGCATTCTGTACTCATATGTTTACTCCATGCAGGATATGCACTTAGTTCAGTTGAAGGGCGAGTTGCAATGGAATTTTTTGATCTCTCAGAGGCTAGCCAAGCAAAAAAGTTGATTTTTTTCCCTTCCGTATATCTATGCATGGAATTCTTCTTTTCTGAGATTGAAATTAATATTCTTCTTACCTCTTTTCAGTATTTATGATATATTTTATGGTTTCATGTGAGAATAGCATATGTTCGTCTTCACCAAACTTCTTGTCAGCCAATGACTTCTAAGCTTTCTGCAGATATGCTTTTAAGTGTCACAGAAAATCTGAAGCTGGAAGGGACATTGTCTATCCCGTAAATTCCATAGCATTCCACCCCATGTAAGTACTATAGAGTTCGTTAACTGGGTCTTGTACTCTTGTTTATTGTCAAGTTATGAGGCACGATGCAAAAGGTTATATATTTAATTTTTGCTCCAAAGAATGACTAAAAACCGAGGGTTGCTACGATGTAGTAGGGATGCAATGGGAAATTCCTTGGTGTTTTGCCAATTTCCTTCTATGAGATTCAACAATGGCTCCTTTATACAATCTCAAAAATGATGGGCATGAGTATGATGTTAATTAGACAATTAAATACTTGCGCGTATGCTTGGAACCATTAGCCACATTGAAGCTGAAAGGTGACAGATGATACCATAACTAACTGTGAAATTCAGCTGACTGAAAACCAATTGGTGAAAAATTGATCTGGGATGATGTGAAATTATGATTGTTCTTGGCAGCTGATTAGTCTGTGCTGGATCTACAGTAATACCCAACTTAGTTGATACTTTATGCTTAAATTCATGTTTCAACTATACTAGGCTACAAAACTGAAATGTTTTCTTTGCCTTGTTGATCTGATTGGGATATGACGGAGTTGTTCACACTAGGATATCTTGGAGTGATTAACAGGGTGCTGCATGACTTATTCTACTTGCAGATACGGTACATTTGCCACTGGAGGTTGTGATGGTTTTGTAAATGTATGGGATGGAAACAACAAGAAGAGGCTGTACCAGGTTTTAGTTGCTTTATTTTTTAAAATATTTATTTCTATCTTTCACCTGAGTGAATTGCTGAATTACTGTTCTCTTTCAGTACTCAAAATATCCAACTAGCGTTGCTGCACTTTCATTTAGTAGAGATGGACGCCTCCTGGCTGTTGCATCGAGTTACACATTTGAAGAGGGGCCTAAGCAGTACTCTTTCTCTCTCTCACACCCCCCTCCATTCATATGCATTTTAACCTGAGTATTTTTGCCTAGTTAAAAACTTTTGAAGAGATTGTGCTCAGAACACTCTGTGACTTTATTATCGTTGTTGCTATTTTTGTTTAGAAAAAAGAACACTTTGTAACACTAACCTGTGTTGCAATTACTCTGCAGGCATGAACAAGATGCCATCTATGTGCGCAGTGTAAATGAGATAGAAGTCAAACCGAAACCCAAAGTCTATCCTAATCCACCAGCGTGATTCCTGATGAACGTAGTAATTTATTTTCTTTTTACCTACTATGCCGTGTACTTTGCCCAATTCTTTGTTACTTTCGTATGTAAACTAATTATGCGAAGTTCTCAATTTCTAGATACCAAATATGGCGAGATTTCAGCTTTTTCTACTTTTTACTTGGGTGCCTCTATTCATGGAGATATCTATGTTGTATAAGTTGACTTCAAGATTTCAATCTAGTGAGATGCCTGTCCTCACTGTTACATATGGTGGTTGACCTGCCAATAGGATTAATCAATGCTCAAAATATTTCAGTTTTGAAAAAAATCCATTTAATTTCACCTTTTTGGACACCAAGTCTAAATCCAAGTCGACAATTCAATGTGGTAGTTTCTGGTCCATGTGGTTATGGGCTGAAGACATATCTACAAGAAAGTAACTCAAATATTTAGTCGGTGATGAATGAATGCTGAATTAGTCTAACGGATTTCCGAGGCGATTATTAAAAAAAAAAATGTCTAGATTTTTCTTCTCTTTACATGTTGTTGCATGTATTCTTAGTGAGGGATTGGTTGAGCTTAGACAGGCTAACTGTTGTTTCTATTCGTCGCTGAGATGTGGAAAAGATAACTGATTGTATTATACAGGTATTTTAAATTTATTGCCAATGATTATCCAACTTTACAGTTTACACACATACAAAAAGATGGATTGCCCATTATTTTCCCAAAAAGATAAAAAGGTATGCTGAGAATACATGCGATGAGGTCATCGAGGGATAGAGCAAGAAGAAACAGCCACTAGAATGGGGAAGTATTTTCTTCCATTTCCCTTCACTTCTCTTATCTCCATCATTTATTAATTTTTTATTTAAAAAAATTATTTAATAAAAAATTTTGAATGATAAAGATGGCGGAAGTGGAGGAAAAGAGAGAAAAAAAAAAAAAGGAGAGACTCCTGATCCCTATAATGGTCACTTGCTTGAGAGAAAATTCATGAGGATTGAATCGTGTCAGGGTAAAGCATCTAGAACCTTCCACGTGGCACCATGTCAGCTTCACCACAGATTTGGACGGCTTTTTAATTTAATTTATTTTAATATATCTTGTTTGCGATGTTCCGTGCCGGATGAGGATGAAAGGAGTAGTAGCACTGTTTGAAGCGAACCAGTGGATTATTAACCATCAACGGCTTGTCAGTTACAGCCAACATGTGGAAGTACCTGAACTCGAGAACTCAACCGCCACGTGTCACCATAAGGTCCCTCCCTTATGGCTCCTTTTTTGTCCCTCTCTGTAGTCCTCACTCCCGCACTCTTTGTGCCTTTACTTTAAATTAAATTTTTACATACATATACATGTATGTATGTATGTATGTATTTAATTAAGGAGCACAAGAGAGATGCCAAGCAACATTTTTTTGGTATATATTTAAAAAATAAAAATAAAAGGGACGCAAGTGAGGATGAGGTTGGGCGAGTGAGCTGGATCCCCAAGTGGCCAAATGTGCGACTGCCAACCAGTGATTAAAAGAATTAAGGGAGTGGCCACCGCCTAATTGGGCGCGACTGAGGCGCGTGACGTTAGTCTTCCCTAAGGCATGACACTAACAAGTAGCTATGCTGTTCCTGCTGCCTCCATTACTCCGCATCGGACTTGAATTCAGTGGGCGAATTCAAATCCATTCACTCCTTATTCCGTTATAGTCAGTATATTTTTATTAATATTTAAATATTATTAAGATACATCTTTTTTGAAGAAATTTAAAATAATTCCTATAATGAGGACACCCTCAATCTCCTTGAAAAAATTGAAATTTGACATATTTTGAATATTACATGACAAAATTTTTAATAATAATTTAATTAAATTGAATGGTTATTATGGTGTTATATGAAATACTCGATAAATGAGACCACTCGATGAACACAAATCTTCACCGGACTCTAATTTTTTTAATAAAACCAAAGGCATAAATAATAAACTTCAATTGATATGATTGGAGTTGGGAAAAGCTTCAAGATAACAAAGCTCTCTCAATGAACATTTATTAATTGAGTTACATGATAATTAAGTTTACCGTAATGTTATTTTAATAAAGTAGTATCGTTGAAACGAAGGGATATCGGGATGATGATTCAATGGGATTGAAAGGTGAAGATGATAACAAGTAGATGGGGGTGAAGGGTTATGGATAGAAGAAGTAGTTGAGTGAGGAGCAAAGATGGGGAGAGAGAGAGAGTATTGGCGGAACAAGTCACAAAGGTTACGTTGACACATAAAAGACGTACGCGGGTGACAGATAGCTCACTTAATTAACCCCAAAGTAATTCCAACGACAGTCTTCTTCTTCCCTTCACCTTCCTTGCTTCCCTTGCCATCCCTCCGCGAAGTAACCTCCACAAAACCGTGTTTTGCACGCATCCAAACAATGTTGACTTCCCTTTTCGCGTTCTCATTTTGAGTTTGTGTTACAAAACGCAGACCCCATCACGTACCTTTGTTTTGACTTGGAAAAAGTCCTCTCTCTCTTCCTTATTTGACCCACTTCACTCGCTCTCTCTCTCTCTCTCTCTCTCTCTCTCTAACTCTTATTCCACCAACTATCTTCTTCCTTCCTTCGTTTATTCACCTTCTCTTACTATAAATTCCTTCGCCTCACACCCCCCTTCCTCATATCCACTCTCTATCTGCCTCTCTCTCTCTCTCTTTCTCTCTCAAAAGCAGTTCACTTTTTAACCTGCTTCACTCTCTCAAACAATGGCTTTAGAGGCTCTCAATTCTCCCACTACTGCTCCAACTTCTTTCACCTACAAGCAAGAGGAAGACGATGATGAGCTTGATCTTCACTGGTCCAAGGGCAAGCGTTCTAAACGACCTCGTTTTGACTCTGCCAACCCTCCTTCTGAAGAAGAGTATCTCGCTCTCTGCCTCATCATGCTCGCCCACAGCGGCCACAACAAAACAGCCACAGACTCCGCCTCCGCCGCCTCTCCGCCGCGTCCTTCTTCTTCATCATCGCCTCCCAATAATAATCCTATCAAGCTAGCTCATAGGTGTACCGTCTGCAATAAAGTATTCTCTTCTTACCAAGCACTCGGTGGCCACAAGGCCAGCCACCGCAAGTCCTCCTCGGAATCCGCCGCCGCCGCCGACAACGCGTCCACCTCCTCTGGTACCGGCACGGGCAGGATGCACGAGTGTTCCATCTGTCACAAGGTCTTCCCTACTGGTCAGGCCTTGGGTGGGCATAAGAGATGTCACTACGACGGCGGCAACGCGAACAGCAGTAGCGCCGGCGCCGGCGTGTCCTCGTCCGAGGGAGGCGGCGCGTCCACTGTAAGTCTCCGGGGGTTTGACTTGAACCTGCCGGCACCCCTGATGGACTTATCACCGGTGGGACTCGGTTCCGGCGGAGATGATTCCGGGATGAAGAAGAGTGTGGAGCAGGAGGTGGAGAGTCCGTTACCGGTAGCAGCCGGTAATAAGAGAAGTCGTGTGCTTTTTACCAGTGAAATGGACGATGTAAAGCCTTCTTCGCCTGCGTCGTTATAAAATTGATACGGTTCTTAGAATACAGTGAATGAAATGAATTGATTTGTAATTTAATTAATATCAGTTTCTTGATTGATTAGGATGAGACTTGATTCCTTTTTCACTTATTGCTTTCTTGTCACTCTGTACAGACATATTTGTTCATTGCTTTTTTGTCATGAAATAAATTTACCATTCTCATTTTTATTTACATTCACGTGCTGAAATTAATTATTGTCTAAGGAATAAGGATATACATACTCTTCCTGATCATGATATTAGTAAACTAATCTCGGTGCAGGTCACTTGTAAATGTTCATTGTTCATTAAGGATATGTATTTACCATTCTCAGATTGATTATTTTTCTCGAAAGATCAAGAGAAGAGGCCAAGGGGAAAACAGTAATCACTCGCAATAATGCAAGAGAGAGAAGTGAATCATCATGCTTTTGTTGAAGTGGCCAATAAGGGAAAAACACATTCGATTTCCAATTTTTTTCTTGTACTTGAAAAGTACAAGGTGACCAAAAAGGCCGTGGTTTAGCAGATGTACGGCCTTTGAGACAAAAACTGGAAATCTATGTTAAAAGGGGCATAATAATTATTAGTAATTAATAAAGGACGTCAATTTAGATATATAACTTTATGATTATTGATTAAAAGTATTTATACTTATATATCATCCATTAACAATATCCTTATACTTAAGTTGAACTTAATCCTTACAAACTATATTATATTTATTTTGATAAATCATCCTGAGTAATTTTGCCAGTTAATTTCAAACTAATTTCAGCTTACCACTTGTGTTTAAAAAAAAATCTCCTTTTTAAGATAGATGACTAAATCATCTTCTATAAATTATAGTACATATTTTTCTCATTAAATGGCAAATACATTTGAAATATTTTATCTACTCAATGGCATTTATCTCTCAGAAAACCAAAAAAAAAAAAGAAAAAAAAAAAAGAAAAAAAAAGAGGGAAACCCATTAATGATGGGTTGGCATTATGAAGTTATAGAAGATTGACAATTGAAGTTAGATGAAGTCAAGGTCTTTTCCAATCAATCACCAATTCTCGTGGAATTTTCTCTCTCAAAATTCTAAAACACAAAATTCCGCAGCCGCGTGAACCCCATTAATACCACCAACATTGAAAACGAAGAATTCCATGCCAGTCAATTGTCACTTGCTAGCATTCATTTCTTCTTTTTTTTTTTTTTGTAGCATCTGTTATTTATAGGATATTCTATTTTTTTATATTTATCTTTATTTTTATACATTTATTAAACATTAAAAAAATTTAAAAATATTTTTTGTCTTTATTAAAAAGGTAAATGTAAAAATTTATTAAATTTTAAGAGAGACAGTAAAATTTAAGATGTTCTTTAATTTCGGTAAAATACGTTAAAATAACTTATAAATAAAATTAAAAAATATAAAATAATTTAATTTGGATCAATTCAATTAGATTAAATTCAAGTATTATTGGAGAATTTGAATTAATAATAATTAAAAGATTAGGCAAAGAAATTAATGACGAGGCAGCGGCATGTTAGGGGGATAGGGGAAGGTGGGTTGAACCAAAACCTTCCCATGTGGTTGCTGTCTCTAATCAACATGTTGGAATCATTATACCAAATTTCAAATTAAATGCCTTGATCTTTTGGCTTAATTAGGGACACTCTCACTGCTTGTTGGGCTGGTGAATGATATCTACCCACTAATTTATA